GTCGAGGACAGGAGGAATGGATTGTGGAAGACATTCTTGACTCCCGTATTCGACGCACGCACCTTCAGTACCTCATCAAGTGGCAGGGTTGGCCAAGCTCGGAGAACACATGGGAGCCAGTGGAACACCTTGCCCGATGTCAAGAGCTTGTTGCCCAGTTCCACCAAAAGTACCCCGACAAACCCCGACCAAAGCCTGCCAACATCAAAACAACATCCGGACGCCGTGGCTAAAGGAGGGGGTGATGTTATGGACGACGCGTCCATACCATGCGCTTACCTCATGACAGCATCCCAACAGTCAGTCAATGTCAATTCCCTGTCAAAACCTGACATCTGCCAAACCTTGCAGCCGCACGCAGCCGCGCTACCCCACACCTGCCACTGCCTTCATTTCTCCACGCAGCCGCACGTAGCCACACCTCCCAACACTCGGCGCTCACAAACCCTTCTCCATACTTCCCCACGTACCCGCCCACAGCCTCAGCGTAGCCACCCCATCCCCAGTCTTCTGTTTCTATGCTTCCCCACCCTTGGCGCTTCTCTTGGCTTCCCTCTCATTCCGTACCCTTCTGCTTCCCCACGCTTCCCCAGCCTTCCCAGAAAAACATAAATAGCCGCCTCCCCTGAGCTCCCCACTTCCTGATCCCCCAGCAGATCAACACCAGTTCTTCCTAGTCTTGTTCTAGTTCTTGTTTCGGTCTGAATACCATTACCTGTCAACAACCTGCACCACAAGTCGCCTCTATTTCCATCGGCTCCGCCCATTCATAACAGCGGCAGTGGAGTTGAAACCATGGCGGACAGCGGCGGCGGCGGTGGCAGTGGCGGCGGTGGAGTTGAGGGAGTTGACGAGGACCAGGCGCGACAGATGATGAAGACTACCTATGATGAAAAGCGGCTGCTAGATTTCATCGCGCGAATGGCAGAGACCATCAACACACTCCGCACCCAGACAGACGACTTGGCAGTTCAGCTCTCTTTGGCAGCTCAGCTCTCTTTGGCAGAGCCCAACATCGAACCAGTCGAACCCGTCGCAGCCGCCACTACTGAATCTCCTACGCACGCGCGTGTCAACAACAAAGAGCTAAACCCCGACCCCTCCGCAATGAATATAGTCGTTGACAGTTGGTGGAACCGGCCGCCGGCAATGTGGAAAGGCGAGCCGTGGCCAAAGGTGGATGAAAAGCATCTCATCTTCCTTCAACGTGTAATCAGGAGCAAAAATATGCCGGTGGGCCAGTGGGCTCTCGGTTGGGGCAGAAAGGAAGGAGAAGGAGACCTGAGGATACCGGCAGGGTTGTCGATCATTGAACCCGCCACCATTCGGCGGATTGTGAAAACCGATAGCTGGCTGAACGATCAAGCTGTCAACAGGTTTGTTCCTGCTTTCCCGTGCGAGTGTGTGTCATTGTTGTCACTCACTGATGCTTGTGTCTGGATATATAGGTGGTGCGTGTTGTTACAAGCCAGGTCATCACGGCACCCAACCATTTATCCGCCACTGCTAGCCGTCGGATCCACTTGGCTCCAAAGTGTCAAAATGGCACGGAGATCCAATGTCCCTATTCGGCTTGTTCCGGTAAGAAAAGTTACTTAACCGTACCGTACTTAACTAAACTAACTTTCCTTTTTTGTTTTATGTTAAGCGGTCGATCAATGTTGCAGAGTACAACATACTGCTATTCCCAACAAACCCAGATAATCTGCACTGGGTCCTGTTTGCAATACTTGTCGCGGTGCCGGCGCCCAAGTCCGCAAAACCCCTGGGCCCCCCTGGTTCGCCATTAACCAGACACGAAAACGTATCCCTCGTTTTATTTGACTCAAAGCCTCGCCCGAATGACGGCGACTACGTTGATAAGATGGCCTATATCGGCTCCCTCTTGTGGGATTGGTACATTACGGCCACTGAAGCCCCGCTCAATCACACACTGACACCAACGGTTGACACCCTCTTCACGCCTCGACAGACCGATGACCAGAACTGCGGTACATTTGTGTGCATGATGGCTGATGCCATTGCCCGTGGTGCCGTGGGTGAGGTTTACGAATCATGGGTCAATCCGCAGACCGCCGTCAATGCCCGCCATAACATCGCACTGAGCATCGTGTTGGCCATGTTTCTTCACGATGGTGATGCTCATCAGTATACGGATGTGACGAAGTGCTAGAGATGGAAGATGCAGATGCCGGGATGGAAGGTGCAGAGATGTCGGCGTAGGAGGAGGTGCAGAACGGGGTGCAGAACGGTGTTGTGCCGAAAGATGCAAGCTCCTAGTTGTGATAGGGGTAGAGTATAGTATATTATACGTATAGTACGCGCCTTCAGCCGAGTCGTGCTTCAAGTGGTGCCTCTGTGATGGCTTATTTTACGGCCACTTCGCCCTACTTCACATCTACTTCATATCTACCCGATTTTCACTTCCCGGTTCGACGTGCGGGGGACAAATTTCTCCCCAAAATCCATTGATGGCTGACTAGTACAAGTACTGACGCCTTCCTGTCAGTCGAGCAGCCACCTCAAGACGCATGGTTTGAAACCAAGCCGCCATCAAACTTGCAAACAATCCCGTGGATCATCAGCAAACGAAACACATTGACGTTCGACACCACTTTATTCGGGAACTTGTAGCTGAACGCAAGCTAGATATTCAGTATATCTCAACAAAAGAAATGATAGCGGACATCCAAACGAAAGCTCTTCCGAGACCGGCCTTTGTTTATTTACGGGAATTATGTGGGCTACGACAGTAAAGTCTACACTACACGCCGTATTGTTAAATAATGGCTCTTCGGAGCCAAGTGAGCGGCGGAGCGTCAAAAGCTACATGACACGACGGACACCGAACTTGATTTGACGGGGGATGCCGAACAAGATAAATGGAGCATCAGTTGCATATGGTGCAGTTGCCACACGAGATCACCATGCGACACGAGATGGGATTAGTGCCGCACATGCAGCACTGACGATTGTGCCGGTCCCGGGTTAAGTAAACTGGCCACGGGGCTCTAAGAGAAGCAATCAATACACGTTTATCAGTTGAATTACCTCCTCTCACCACTCACCGACAAACGCCACAGCGTGGGGCGTGCAATTGAGACACCATCTCCTGGACGATGCACGTACGGCAAAATAGGTGCCCGCACGGCCCGTTGTAGATGGCAGGGTTGACCATACAGATTGGGCAAGTTGGACCACCGTTCGGCATCTTGATGGATTGGTTGGATTTGGGTGTTGGAGAGAGAGAGTGTGTTGTTGATTGGAATGGAGCTATGAGCGGGAGTTGGACAGGCTGACTTTTGGACAGCTTGAGTCGGGGGAGTGTTGTGCAGAGATGCGAACTATCCTGTCAGTTGCTGTCATTGCGTAAGCAGATGCGTAAGCAGTCTGGTCACGGTCAGAGAGACAAAGACCCCGACGCCAGAGTCCGAAGTATATAGACATACAACAAGTAATACAAAAAGACAACTAATGGTTCTACTCTTCATCGGCTACTTCCCAGTAATAATTCAACACGTTCTCCAATAAGACCGGACAACCCAACACACATTACACGTTTCCCCAAGAATGGGCCGCTCAGATGAATGATCAGCCCGTCGGGGGCTGTAACCGACTGATATTTCAGTGCATGCACCCCCTTATGACAGTTGTAAAATTGCCGTTGCCCCTGTTTTGGCCGTGGGATTGGACGCACGGTGCCATCGATAAAACCGATACAGGTGCGGAGGGCGCCCGTTTTCTGGAAAACAGCATCAGCGTATTGACGCCGGCATTTTCCATCCATTCGCCTGCCATCAAAGTGGAAGAGGATGCGATATTCGCTGTAAAGCAGCAAGATGGTGTGATTGAAAATTGTCGAAAGCCACAGGATAGAGCGGCCAAAGATTGGTTCCAAATCCGGCCAGCGGCAAGGGTAGGCAAGCCGCCGTAATACAAGCAGCAGGGCCTTACACAGTTGTCTGGGAGTGGGAATTGAACTCGCTACCTGCACGTCTGCAAGGAGAGCAATATTCAACTGTGCCAAAGCGCCAGTGTTGTCAGAATGCAATTACAGTAGTACCAGAAGGGTGTACTGTACGGTACAGGTGGTCAAAAGAGCGTCCGAGAGAGCGTTCCATCACATGGGTTTCATCCCCTCAGGCCCCCTCACAAAAAGCGGCCTGTAAAAACCATGCTTGCAGACCGTGTGTGCTAACAAAACGTCCGAGAGGATTGGCGAACGACTGTTTTTCTCCCTGGAGGTACATTCAGAACAGTACTGGCATACCATACGCCAATGGACAGTCTGGGTCTAGTTTGAGGCTGTGTCAAACCGAAGGTGTATTGTAATGTGTTGCACAACGATGAGAATTTGGATGGGAGGAGAGCCCAGGCCTGGTCGAGCTAACCCCAAAGAAGCTACCGCGCAAAGCTCAACTCTACGCGAACCGTGTCAGCCGTTCTATTGACCGAGAGCTTCGTTTGCTTGCTCTATAATAAAGCGTCTGGCTTTTCCAACCCTCTTTTTGAAACACTGGTTGCAATGCCCCTGCTGTGGCTGGGAGCTATGGGTTTTGAAGGAGGTCGCTCGCGTCCAACGCGTTTGCGCGTTGCGAGGGTGCTTACGTGAAGCAGTGATTACGTGAAGACTGAATCCATCTTATGTCAGCGGGGATGGAAGCAACAAAGATGACAACGCGTTTGCTGGAGGGGGGCGGTGAAACACATACAGTACTGTACTATATGAAAACAAGTTGACGGATCGTTATCACCCTCGCCCCCATCCATGCATGAGGCTGGAAATCGAGCGGACGGATGCACGGAAGGTCGCCGCCACCCCAGACCGCACTCCAAAGGGGATGCCCAAAAAGTGCACTTTTTCCCACTCGCAATTGAAGGCTTCATTTACACAAACAGGCCAGCAACAACACCCACCCGGCCAGCAACACTCAGGCAGGCCCTCGTCATCGGAAAGTCACCACCATACTCGATACGCTCACCGACCGGCACTTGCAACAATGGCCGCCAAACTAACTGCAACCCTGGCCGTCCTTGTCGCCACAACCGCAAACCTCGTCGCAGCCCAAAAGTACCCTTTCATGCCCACAGAATGGCCCAGTCAGGACCAGAACCAGTTCATCACTGGAAGACTCTTGGAGGCTCCCCTCATTCTCGACGGAATGAAGAAGGTTCAGGCCGCCGTTCCCGAAAATATCCTTGCCTTGCCCGTCGCCGAATTCCACAATTACTCAAACACCACTTACCCTGGGTGTACCCCCTCTGAATTGCCTGCGGGAATGACTGTGAACCTCAATTCTAGTAAGTTTCCGTGCGATAGTTCCGAGCCATAGGAGAAGGCCAGCAATGGCGAGCCCCAACTGGGCCGTGGGCCTAGCAATGCTAGAGGCGTGAGCTATGCGAGCCGCGAGCGAAACGACCGTGGGTGTTGTACCACAACGAGCGAACGCCTTCTGGTTTGCGAGCCTCAGCGAACGTCAGATCTTTTAGCGAGCGAAGCGAGCTACGCTCCGCCCACCGCAATGGTCGATTATCGATGACGATTCGTCGATGGTTGATGGTTGATGGTCGATGGGTTTTGGTTGTTCGTCCGATGGGTTGATGGTTGTTGGTCGTTGGTTTGACGGGTGATGGTTTGCTGTCGCTCAAAGTGGCTTTCGCTCACGCCGCCTCATCTTCTTTTCTTAGCCCAAGCACAAGCCGCCTGCTGGTGGCCCAGCAACAACTGCATTCGCACGACCGCCACCTCCTACTACCAACCGGACATTGTCCGCTGCAAAGGCCAAAACGTATGGGGTTTAACCTACGACGACGGACCAACAGTCGCCACCGCCGACAACGTCGCGACGCGGAATATCACGGACATACTAGGGCGCCTCGGCGCCAAAGCCACCTTCTTCGTAGCCGGCTCTGCTGTCTCCAACGCTCCAGGGGAATTGCGCAGGGCTTTCAGCGAAGGACATGAGATCGCCGTCCACACATGGACGCATCACCCGCTGACAACCCTCACGAATGCGCAGATTGTCGCGGAGATTCTGTACACTGAAGCGAAGATCTACTCTATTCTCGGTGTTGTGCCGCGGTTTTTCCGTCCGCCGTACGGCGATGTGGATGATCGGGTCCGGGGAATCATTTCGGCGTTAGGGTACGTTTTTCGAACCGCTGCTTGTATTGGCTTCATCTATAGACTCCGCTTACACTCTGCATTCCCAGATATCTTAACGTCATTTGGACAACTGAGCCGCTCAACAACCTGTACCGCGACACTCGAGACGCCGAGCACGTCTCGAGTGCCGCGGACATGGCCTCAGTGGTCACCGAAGTTGAAAAGTGGTTCGTCGAGCAGCCCGGGTTCATTTCCCTGGAGCACGACAGTAAGTCCCCTTCCCCGTCCCTCTCCCACATCCCACACCGCTCATCTAACTCCCATGTTTTTTCAAATCCTGCGCCAAAAAGTCAACCCAAACACCTCAACAATCGCCATAAATCTCCTCTCCAGAATCGAATCCATGGGTCCCGCCTTCCCGTTGAAACTCAAACCCATCGGCGAGTGCTACAACATCGCGCCCTACATGAACGTGCAGCCGGGGCAGGCGCTGCCGCCGTTGCCGGAGTATAGGGCGAACCCGACGGATGTTGCGAGTGGGGCGCTTGGTACGGGGGTTGGGGTGGCGGTTTGGAGGCGGGTGACGGTGGCGGTTGTGGCCGGGTTGGTGGCGGTTATGGCGTTGGTGTGAGGCGTGTGAAACCGGGTTCGGTTGGGTTCCCTTCGGCGTATTTCATCACGACGAACGCAAGATTTTGTTTCGGGCGCTAGTATATTCTAGATCTTCCAGAAGGCACCAAGACATTTTACAAATCAGTACATAGACACTTTCCACCCCCTTCTCCCATGTTCGGATCTGCGGCGTAAGAAAACAGTCAGTACCGTTACCTTTGTTTATAGATTTCTTTTTCCTTGTTGTGCATATCAGTACATTCCGGTTTTCTCAGTCGGCCCGTCCCTGTGACCCACGCAATCCGAGTCCACTACTTGTCAAAGAGAATCTTGCGAAACGAGAAATAAATTACATGGGGACGTACGACGACGTAAAAAGGGGAACATAATCTATGTACAGGAGGGATGGAAATCAGACGATTGTTCTGAAAAGAACAGGTTGATTGGTTGGGGGAAGAACCATGAAGCGACATAGAAGCCGGACATGCAGAGACGAAAACCCCGATATGGATGCAAGAGCTGGGGGGATCTCTGCATCCACACCTCGTCTCGGGCTCTATGGGGATCGTGGGAACTGCGGGTGATCCATGAAGGCCCACCATCCACAGTCCACATCACTCCGGCCTCAAAAACCCCGCCTTCTTCCCCCCACTCAAGTCCTCCACCTCCCCCCGTACCCTCGCCTCCTCGGCCCGTTTCGCACTTCCCCTGAACCGCGTCGCCGTCCCCGGTCCCTCTCGCGCCGCGTTCGTCGTCGTCGTTGCTGCCCGTTTGCCGGTGGGGGGGGTGTCACCGCTTTCGGATTGGGCGGAGGCGGGCCGTTTGCGTTTACTGGATTTGGAGGCGCCTATTGTTTGGAACCGGTCGACCATTTCTTGTGCCGAGACGGATTCGCGGCCTTCGACTTCTTGCGCGCGTTTTAGGCGGGCGGATTTGGTTGCTTCTTCGTCTAGTTTCTGGTTGGGGGGGAGGGGGTTAGCGGCTCGTTCAAAGATGCGATCGTGAAAGCAGAGCGTTCAATCGGTCAATTGATCCGTTGCGGCATCCACCGCCCTTTTCTCATCGTCGCTTCCCACACTGAACACTGAACACCAGTAGCCAGAGCGGGACCTGCATTCGCCCGGGAAGCACAATCAACACATAGAAATGACAGACAACATACCTCAATCTCCTTATTGAAACTTCCAAAGGACTTGCGGCCAAAGCTGGATTCCATGAACGGGACGTGGCTATTATCGTAATCGAACTGCACGCTGTTGATGGATGCAGAGACCAGGTAAGTCCCCTACCCAGCGGTTCGCCCAAAGCCCGTTCAAATTCCAGATGGCCGTCCCGCATCAACCATCCCAGCCCTCGCACAGCCGTCTCCCCCGTCTCTGCATTTTCGGACATACCTATCCCGCTCATCAAACCCAAACCCTTCAAGCACCCACTGCGCCTCCTTCGCGGCCTGTTTCTGCTCCTCTTCGAGCTTTTGCCGCACTTTCGCTTCCTCCGCGCGGTGCATGAACTAATCAAGGTAAGAAGGAAGCGTGGCGGTTAGAGATCGTTGTCGTACGGGTCGTCGATACTTCGGGTATTCGCCAAATGCCGGACATGATCTTGTCCCAGGAGGGAACAGGCAGTCTCCGCCCCAGGCGTCTTCTTATCGCTCCTGCTCCTCTATCTTCGGGAGTACTCTCCCATTGACAGACAGCGGGGCTCGCTATGGCTCAACCGTTCCTGTCCCGCTCGACAGCTCGGTTTCCAACCCAATCACAGGTGCCCCTCGTCTGTATGACCTCCCCCGCAATGCCCACGGAAATGTCGCACTTCGATACATGCTCTACCCCTCCTCAAAACGCTCGGCCGTACCTTGAGCGCTAGTACACTCGTTGAGAGCGCTTTCACTTCTTTCGATGCCATGATTGCTATGCTTTTCGAAAATTTGCTCGCCAGTCGGAAGTTGGAGTTCGATTTTGGTGGAGTGCAAGACAAGGCCCTGTATGCTGTGAGACCGGTGCCGGCGTGGTTGATAAATATTGTGAATGACGAAGAAAGACTCCGGAGACTTCGTTGATGGTTTTTGTCGTTGGTGAAGTTGGCGAAAAGGGCGAAGTGCCTTCCTTACTTTCCTCACGCGATAAATATTGTGAATGACGAAGAAAGACTCCGGAGACTTCGTTGATGGTTTTTGTCGTTGGTGAAGTTGGCGAAAAGGGCGAAGTGCCTTCCTTACTTTCCTCACGCGTACATACAGTACAGTAAGGTCCAACGAATTCGCACAAAAGCCCACGGCCGGTGAGCTGCTAGCCCGAACAGACAAGTAGCTCCTTCCTGTCGAGGCTCTTCAGAAGCAGTTGAAAGGCTAGCAGTCAAGCACCGTCCCGTTGGCACAGCTGTCTGCCTGATCTACATACAGTGTACTCGCCGTCAGCGACACTCCGCCCTCTGAGAAACAAGAAACAACGAATTCCGCCGTCACCGCACGCCGTTATGCGAATCCTATGGCATTCGGCCGTCCACCGGCTCGAAGCCTGTGCCTACAATTGCTTCAACGGCTTCGTCTGGGTCGCCGGGCCCGCCTTCATTCTGATAGCAGTGTCACTGGTCTCCGGCGTAGCTTACATATATTTCACCGTTAACCTCCCGTACCTTTTCCCCGCGGACACCACTCACCCGACACTGAAAGCTGCTAATGTCATATGGGCGATGTACCTGTTGGTGTGCTTGGCGTTTCACTATACTCAGTGTATACGAGTGAAACCGGGGAGTCCGCCATATCGGCCGGAGAAGAACGTGCAGCAGGAGCGGGGTGCGGAGGGAGGGGCGAGCAACGATGATTTTAGGATAGATGTGACGAGTGGGACGGATACGGAGCTCTTACTGCGATCGGACAATGCCTCATCGAGTACAGCGGTCGGGGACGGCGTGGGGTTACAAGGGAGGACGACATCATCCGGAATATCCCCAGTCGCAGCAAGTACAGTCAGCAGCAGCACACCTCGGCAAGACGAGCACCGACCACGAAAGCGGCACTGCAAAAAATGCCACAACTGGAAGCCCGACCGAGCACATCACTGCAGCGTCTGCCAATCCTGCGTCCTCAAGATGGACCACCACTGCCCCTGGATCCACAACTGCGTCGGGTACCACAACCACCGCTACTTCTACCTCTTCCTTCTCTACATGTTCCTCGCGTGCGTCTACTACACCGCGATATCGGTCAGCATGTTTCGGTACGAGATCTTGGATTTTGGGAAGTTTAACTGGCCATTTGAGGAGGCGCGCATGGGCTTTGTGTTTTCGTTTGTGCTGGCTGTTGCGATCGCTATTGCGATGGGCGGGTTTTTGGCCTGGCATACATTCCTCGTTGCGACGGCACAGACTACGATCGAGTACTATTCGAATCAGTACGAGGCGTATGAGGCAAAGGCCTGTGGAGAGGTATGTTGGCCTGCTGTCTGGGCGTTATGCCAATCGGGGACATGTGTTCTCACATTCCGGTTCCATCAGATATTCTACAACGAATACGACATGGGCCCTCGTCGGAATTTTGCAAACTTCTTCAACATCGGCCCACGGTACAAATGGTGGACCGTCCTTCTCCCCATCCCTATCCCGGCCCAGGGCGACGGCCTGCATATGCAAAGGGCTATGGATGTCGATTATTATCCGTGATGTCGTTGACATGTTAGAGTGAGGAGATACTCGCCCGTTGGGCATCATTCTATCTAATCTATCTAGCTAGCAAACGCCTGCATCACTTTGACGTGCAAGAGTACGCCGGCCGTGGTATCTTGACGTAACCTAGGCGCAAAAAGGTGTGCAGCCATAATCTGTATATAGCTCATCCCACAATCAACATGCTCGCTCAGCTGGGCAGAGGCGTGCAGGTCACCTCAAATCTTTCCGGTATACCGATGATGTGCCTCCCAATCCGCAACCATAGCCTTCAACAACGGCCTACTCCCTCCATGCGGGTCCAACGCCGCAAGCACAGCCTCCCGTCCATGGTCCCCACACAAATCCAGCAGCGTGTAGATCCCCTCCATAAGCGCCGCCTTGACATCTGCAGGAAAGGGGCGCACGGAGGCTTGGATGTGCAGGATGGTGGAGAGCAGGAACGGGGCGTGCTTCATGATGGGTTTCACGGTTGCTGAGGCGGCGGTTGCTGCTGACGCTGTTGTTGTAGTTGCGGAGGTGGATGTTGTGGCGCGTTCGGAAAGCTGGGCTTTCTGGCCGAGGGCGACGAGGATGCGGGAGAGGTCAGATGCTGATGAGGTGGGAAAGGGTGCGTATTGGGCGAGGAGGGACACGGTTTCTATTTGGATGATTAGTTTGGCGGGTGCACTTGTGGCGGTGAGTGACGATGCGTTGGGTAGCTGGGTTGTGGTTGTGAAGGGTTGGGCTACATCCCACGTTGTGGGTATGTCGCTTTTGGCATGATGCCGAGCGGTTCGCGGTCCGTTCACTTCGCCTCCTGTTCGCTTGCGGAAACACTACATCGGAGAGTTGGGCAGATGTTAGTCAATAGATTCATGAGAATATCCGAGGCATCGGCTGCTACGCACCATGAGCAAATCCCGTATCAACCCAATCAAGCTCGGAATGACAGGAACCAAAAGCTCCTTCCTGAACTTCAACAACGCCAATAACAGCCGATACACAGCATCAAAAAGCTCCACCGCCTCCTTCGGCGCCGCCTCCCCACCCTTCCGCAACGGCATTGCATCTCTCAACCCCGACGAGTTGGCCGTAATAGCGGCAACAGCGCCAAGAATGAACGCGACGTCCGAGTGCCGCATCTTCAGATACTTGTCCATGCTTGCCCGCGTCAGCAGGTGGAGGATTTCCATCGCTGTTGGGAAGGAGGTTGTTACCTGCAGCACCTGAGCGAGTTTGGCGAGAAGGTTTGGCAGGGCTTTTTTGACGACGCTTCGGCCTACGGCCCGGTTCTCGCCGGTGAGGATGAGGTGGACTGCTTTGATTAGCGGGAGGGAGTCGGCGGCCGCACGGACTGGAGCGTCGTTGTCTGCCACGAACACAGATATCCGAGATGGCTCGCGTTCCAGTTTGTCCAGGAAGTATGCCGTCAGAGCAAGGTACTGCTCTTTCGATGTTTCACGTACCAACGACCCCAGACATTTAGCGCACGTCTCGATGGCCTCATCTGCCTGCGATGCTGAGGTCGACGCTGTACCCATGATGAACTCCAGAAGCTGACAGATCGACCGGATAGCGTCGCTCGTACCAAAGCTGGTCAACTCCTTGATGTTGGCAGAGAACACAGCGAGCAGGTCGGCGACCAGCAGAGTGATCTGTGCATGCAAGGCCAGGTCGCCAACCGCCTCGGTCGGTGAAGCACGCAACAATTGCATCGCCCCAGTAAGCAACGGCGCAAGGAACATCATCAGCTTATCCCCATGCGCATCACCCTCAAAATGATGATACTTAAGCACCAACTGGAACACCTCAAGAGCCGCTCGCGCGGTCTTGCATCCCTCCACATTGAGCGGTGGGCGATCAACCTCCATATCGTCTTCCGAGGGAATGGTCAACGCGCCCATGGTCTTGAACACCTCTGCCTCAAAGCCCTGCACGAGTGCCGAAAGCCCACTGTCCGTCTCTGCGTTCGCGAGCGGGGCATCGCTCTTTGCTGATCGTTTCTTGCGGGCTTCGAGCCACGAGAGGATCGGTCGCATGACATGTGCTGCCAAGTTGAATTTCTCCATGTCATCGTATGTGGATTTCCATGCCGCTTTTACTGCCTCGAGGTACTCGGTTGCGGTGGGTCCTTTAGCTTGTGGTGTGGATCCGCGTTGTAACGCTTTTCGGCAGACTAGCTCCTCTATCATGAACGTCGTCTTAACAACATTGTCCATGCCGTGTTGCAAATCCGAAGCGCGATAAGCAGTTGCAGACATGAGATATACTCTCAGCATCGTGGGAGAGAACAGATTGACAGCCCGGTCTTCACGTGCGCGCATGTAGCGATATAGCAAAGATCGACATAAGCCGATGTATGCAATAGCCGTCTTTGTCGGTTGTTCTCGCTCGTACGTCGGCTTTTGCAAAACTGCAACGGAAAGCGGGAGTTCCAGATTTATGGCAATGAAAATCATTGCATCCCGCTCCGCAACACTGAAATACGACGACGGCAGTGCGGACAGCGCTGTAACTAGCGGAAGAGCCTCCTTTACATAGCGTTCCGGGTCGTCGACGAGTGGAGACTTGACGGACAAGACATTCTGCAAGTACTGCAGAGCCTCCTCCTCGCTCCGCTGACCGCTCCCAAATTCGACAGCTCCGCCCAGCGCAACCAAGAAATCCATATCGGTTGAGGGATCGGCGAAGACCGTTTGAATGCGCTTGATTAGTCCGGGAACCAGGATGTTCCTGATCGCTCGAAGCTCGTAGAACGCTGTGCTTCGCAGTAACTCGAACGAGACGGATCGCATTGAATGTTGCGAAGGTCCCAAGGCGGAATTCTCCTCAGTGTGTTCAAGTGAATTTAGGATGGTATTCACGGCGAACTTGACGTCCTCTTCTCCTGCCAACCGGCTGATTGCCGGAAGATGGTTCGCAATAACGCCCCAGAGCGCAACTACAGCGTTTTCCTCCGTGATGGATGACACGCGCCCGTCCCACGATGCACCCTTAGGGCGATGGAACTTGGCCCGGCGGCTGAGTTCGGCATACTCCGCGATGATCTCCCGCACGATATCGTCACATCCCGCGACTCCTAGCGGATCAACACAGGTGCTCGCAATACGATCAACATGGCACAAGGCAATGTCGTCCTTCAGATACGCTATCTTGGGATGCTGTTTTGAGAGTGGTCGCAGCCTTTCCATCATCCGGGTCACACCGGCGGTGCTGATATGCTGACCCCAGTAATCGGGTGCGTACTTCACCAACGTCAGTTGGAGGGAGAGGGCTGGATAGAGCTCGTAGTCGCCGGATGAGCTCAGCATCCTCTGTATGAAGTTGAGATGCAATTCCGCGACGATCTGGTCGTATGCCGCTCGTTGCCCTTGGGATATTTGTGAGTGCTGCAGGATCGTGCACAGTAGCGATACCGGCAGTTCAGCCGATCTGCCGGACCCGTCCAGTGCTTTTTTCTCCGCCACCGCTTTCGAACCCTTCCCTGTCTTCCGTTTTTTGGTTGGCGGCTGGTCTTGTGTCGATGGAAGGTACTGTTGCATGAGGGTATCGGCTATCATTCGAATCAGCTCAATGGCCTGCACTGGCAGTAATCGTTCGCTGCACCGCGCCAGCTCATCAAATACCGCCGAAGATGAGAACACGATGCGGTCAGCACCTTGACCGCTATCTAACTGGAGCGTGCGAATAGCACGAAGATAGTCCTCAATTAGAATATTCAGACTCCTCGCTTTCGTAAACGTCGCCAAAATGACGCATATGAACGATGATGCAGAGTCTCGGGCTTCGTCTGCAGGTGAGAGCACATGTGGCCAAATGTCGCGAATGTGCGTCTCAATGATCCCGTAGTCCAACAGCAGCAGTACACCCCATCCACGGAAGACTTGCCCGTGATGCGAAGGCGGCAGACGCGCAATGAGTTCGTAGAGCTTGCCGAACAGGGTTTGGAAGTAGCTCAACTGTCTTTTGGAGGAGGCGTCGTTGGTCGATCGGTACACGTTGCAGTCCGCGAAGGACTCTAATAGGGTCACGGAGACGGTGAGTATCCTCTGCACGCGATCGGAGATTGTTGCGTCGTATTCCGTCCCCGCGGGTATGCCCTCGAAGATCAATTTCTGTAGCTGATAGAAGAGAGCAAAGGAGGGAGGTACGCTGCTGGTTCGGAGACTCGAGTAGCGCTCGCATGAGTCGGCAAAGAGTTTGAAAAGTAGCGGGAGTGCCTCCATCGTGGCATCGGCGTCTAATTCATTCCCTTCCAGAAGTTTCCGAATGTGGTCCAGCAGCTGCTTCGGATACCCAGCTTTCTCTAGATTGACACCTTTCTTCTCGAACAGCTGATCAAGGACAGTAGCGAACTCCGGCAGATGGTCCTTGTGGAATAGGGTTCGCTGTACAAGGATTCGAGCACTCGACAGCAAATCGCTCGTGGGAACTGCAGAATGCACCGGCCTTGCTGATAGGTTCTTATGCAGTGCAAACAGCGGCAGTAGCAGCTTGCCGATGCAAGTTGTGAAGACCTTCTTCTGATTGGGATACTGCACGGCAGAGCTTGTAAGCTCCTTCAATGCCCTCGCCAAGAAGGCAGCCGACGCGCTCTCGAGTGCTAGCGAAGACGATGTCTGGTCCTCCCCCGAGTTCCTTCTCGCCAGGAGGAACAATCGTATCGCAGAATTCGTCAAGGAGACGTGCAGGTCTAGCGTGGGACGCAACACCTCCGGGAGTTCACTCGCCAACAACTGCAGATTCTCGAGGCCCAGACGCAAGAGTTCGAACGTGGAGGGAGAGTCCAAGCTTTCCGCATCTGACTCCTCCAAGTCCGCAACATCATCCAGCAGCGCTATGAAGACATCCATCATCCGAGTTCTGACGTTGTACGTTCTCAGTGGTGTCGACGCCGCCGAGGCCCCTGCCGCCCAGTTGCCCAGTTTCTGCAGTTTGCGTTTCTGCGCCGCAAAGTGTTCTAATAGCGAGTGAAGGAAGTTCCAGAAAGGGATATGCAAGTGAGGGCACTCCTGCTGCTTCCTGCGAAAGTGAACACCTCGTTAGCGCTCGACGCTTGTTACAAAAGCTAACTTCCACTTGCTGCCGGACGTACCCCAACTCCTTCTTCTTGATCCCATTGAACATCTCCGAAGTCGTCCAATCCAATAGGAGGTCATCTTTCCCCGGAACGAAAGTTATTGTGTGCTCCCAGAGGTTCTTCGCAGTGGCCAGTCGTTCAGGGGAACTCCGTGAGGCATCCCTCAGGAGCTTTGTCACTGCCTCGGCGGAAGTCGCCTGCTCCTCCGCAACCGCCTTCGCCATATTCCTAGTTTTTCGTCCGCCCTATGACTTGCGCCGCTGCAACGTTGCCTCCCTATCCTGTTGGCCGAATTTTATAGCCTCTTTCGTTATTTCTGCAAACTGTGGAAACGAAAAAAGCAAACGCGTTCATTTCTCGCCTGCGTTTTCCGGCACGGCCCACTCACGCTCAGACTCACGCTCGGGCATTTCAACCCCCAGCTGCCGACAACTCGAACAACCGCAAGAGCGATGCCGCCAAAACGACACGCTTCGGAGGAGGTTGCTGGCGGGCCTTCAGCGAAAAAAGCCAGGCCCGCCGGTCAAAGAGGATCACAACAAGCCGTGGCCGCCGCGGGAGCAGCCTCAAATGAAGCCCGAAGCAAAAAGTCCCACCACAAGCACCCGAACCCATTGGCTCGCAAGTACGGCCATCACCTGAAACAGCAGGGAGCGAAGGAAGGCGATACAGCTGAAGCGTCTCTCGCAAAGCTGAAGAAGCAAATACGGGACGCTCAAAGAACCTTGCGACGGCCTAATTTGACCGCGACTCAGGAAAAGGAGCTGCAACGGAGGGTGAAGGCGCTGAACTTGAAGGTGGAGGAGCAACACCAACGGAGCAAGGAGGAAGCTCTGAAAGCGAAGTACAAATACCTTCGCTTTGTCGGTATGTCTTGGGAGTCATTTAGTCGGAGGTGCATTGAACTCGTCAAGTTTGGTCCCTCTAAACTGTGGTTTACCGTGAATGACCTTCCAGAGCAGAAGAAATGCGATCGCAAAATAGCGTCCCTCCAAAAAGAGCTTGCCGAAGTAGATGATTCGGAAGAGGGCTCGGACGAACATCAGCAGATCCTGGCGGAACTTAGAACCTACGAGACGAACGCAGCATACGTGAAATACTACCCACTGGACATGAAGTACATAGCCCTGTTTCCGAAGGAAACAACGACGGACACGCCTTCGGATGTGAAGAGGGCGAAGATATTGGAGGCTATCAGAGAACGGCTTGACAAGGGAACGGAGCCCATCGTGATCAGAGAGAAGGATGTCTTTGAAGCGGAGGGCGCAGGCGAACAGAGTGAGGACGAAGATGGCAGTTCCGGAGACGAAGGAAAGAAAGCTGGTGAAGAGCAGGAGGGTGGAGATGATGATTTCTTCTTGGATGGGGCTGAAGCTGGTGCCGAGGAGCGCCTTGATATCCCGCGAGAGGATTACGTTCCTCCTCCAAAACCTGCTCCTCAGCAGGCACCGAAGAATAGGAAGGAACGAAGGAAACTCCTGCAGCAACAGCAGCAGAAGGAGGAGGAAGCTGATGCGTAGGAGCAGTCCATAGCGATTAAGATAGCCAACGACACCCCGATACCGGTTACCCCATCACCGTTAGCTTATACGTAGATACAAGAACTTTATCTAAATTAACATTATCAGTTCACATATTCAAGCACAAGATCATCAACATTGAGTGAATCTGGAAGCAGCCGGCCCGTAGACACAGTATAGTTGAATGTCCACACTGTGCAGTGTGGATGGTCGCCTCCCCAGTCTGGATGCGTAAGTGAATATTGGGACCGCGCCACGTCAAGCCACGTGCTGCGCCACAGCTTTTCTTGCCCAACCCCACAACGGCAATTTCACTCGGTGCTTCTCGAGGTGATCTCCGAAGGGACAAACGGCCCATTTTCCCTCCCACGACTCGTTGACTCGACGTCGAACAACAACTAGCTGCGTCGCTTTGTATAGCCGTTTGGGTTTGAGTGACCCCCACATACACCTGTGGCTTGTTGGATCTTTCGAATCGACACAATGACCGTTGGCGAAGCACCTCGATTTGTCCTCCCGGAGGTTGTTGACAACCCAAAGGGATGGGGACCGTCGAACTTCCCGGACGAGCTTTTGCACGTTCCATATGCGCCATACTCCAAGGCTGACCGTCTAGGCAAAATTGCCGACTGGACAGCGCCCGCCGATGGGTACCAGGACCGCCGCTTCGAAAACAACAGACGTCGCTTTGGTGCCCAAGAGGCATTCGGAAGCGGACTCTCATCACTTTTCGCATACACCGTTGCCGCTGACGATGAGGCCACCTTCTCCGTCGTCGACCGTCAAACAACCGTCCAGAAGAAGCCCGGATTCAAATCTGCGCGTGGTGGACGTGGTGGAGGTCGCGGAGGATGGCAAGCGGGAGGCCGTGGAGGCGCCGCTGGTGGCAGGAGAGACGACCGTCGTGGACCACATCCCGCAGGACCAAAGAGGCGGTATGGCGGTTATAACGACAAGCCTGCTCGCGTTCGGGAATCCAGTGTTGTGGCTGGTCCCGAGTGGAAGTTGTTGGAAGACCTGGACTTCCCTCGTATGAACAAGCTGTACTACGAGGTGGACGAACCACAAGACATGTAAGTTGATCAAGCATGGAAGTTGAATTTCGAACCCCGCAGAATATTGTTTCCACTCGAATCGCGAGGAAGGGAGAAAAAGAAGGATGACTTTTAATTATGTGCTTGACGAATGCTGGAGGCACAACTGTATTCACACTGTCTGACTGAACCCCCGAATTACTGGCACCCATTCACCACGATCCATAACATGAACGTGCACTGACGATTTCTGTATCGTTACAAATTTCCAGCTCTGCTCACGGTCAACTGCACTACATCGACAAATCGTTCGACCGCATGAACGCGAAGTCCGAAAAGGCTCTGCAGCAAATCGACCGCAGCTTCCTTAACTCCACTGCCAGTGACGACCCGGTTCTTTTGGGCGATGCGAAGACCCGGTCGGAAGGAGTCACGGTTTACGCGACAGACAACGTCCTGGCGACCATCATGTGCGCTACTCGCTCCGTGTACTCTTGGGATATCATCATCAACAAGCAAGACAACAAGATCTTCCTTGACAAGCGTGATGGGGGTGTGTTTGACTTCGTCAGTGTCAACGAGAACGCTGCTGACCCACCAATGGAGGCACCTGAGAAGGAAAACATCAACTCTCCACAAGCCCTCTCAATGGAAGCCACCTACATCAACCGCAACTTTTCCCAACAAGTTCTCAAGGAGAACGAGCGCGCATCTCTGCCGAAACCCAACCCCTTCGACGACAACAGCACGTCCGAGCCACTGGCACCCGTCGCGTACAGGTACCGTCGGTGGAACCTCGGTAACGACATCACCCTCGTCGCCCGTACCCAAATCGATGCCCTCTTGCACACTCCCGGCGCCGTCCAACAAACGGCAGCCACCTCGGGACCAACGAAACTGCGCACGGAAGTCCACCCGGCCAATGAGACCCTCTTCGTCAACGTCAAGGCCCTGAACGAGTTCGACTCGAAAAACGCCGGCTCCGGCGCACCTGACTGGCGCCAGAAGCTCGACTCCCAGCGCGGTGCCGTCATGGCCACTGAGATCAAGAACAACGGAAACAAGCTCGCCCGATGGACCACCGAATCCATCCTTGCCGGTGTCGATCAGCTCCGTCTTGGTTTTGTGTCGCGAGCTACGCCAAAGGACAGGACCCGCCACGTCATCCTCGGCACCAACACGTTCAAGCCAAAGGACCTTGCGGCCCAGATGAACTTGAACGTTGGCAACGGATGGGGTATCCTTAAGATGTTCGTCGACCTGTGCATCAACACCCTGCAGGACGGAAAGTATGTGCTGGTCAAGGACCCTAACAAGGTATGATTTGCCCTTTGTGTGCCGCTCAATGGTTTTACCCGACATTTGACCTAATCAAATCTCTTATCATAGGCTGTTCTCCACCTCTGGTCCGTCCCGGAAGACACCTTCGAGGAAGACGAAGGCGGCGACGAGGACGATAGCGAGATGCCGGAGGACGCTGACCAGTAGAGGTTCTGAATCTCACATCTTCATCTGCGAAATCGACCCCACTCTCCAACAACCCTGTACCTAGCTCACCCACTTTTACTCATTTGTTCTCATTAGATCAGCATGTGTGCGATATGCGATGTTAGTGTTATATATTTTATATACCATTTGATGATTGAGCGTTTGATTCGCATGGCGTGCTGGCTGTAGGATATCACCAGAATTATGGACGGATGAATTACCAAAAAAAAAAAAAGATGCGTTGATGTGGAATGTACATATCGCAAGGGATGCGAAGCGAGTCTGTGTGTGATGCCATTACGGGGTATGTGGGCACGACATGATCCTCGGATAGTACGAGTTGACACACGTTCGTTGATGGCGTCTCGGGTATGCGTATCGTGTGCGTGTCGTGTCGCGGCGTCTATTCAGTCGCCTGTCCATCTGCCTTTCGAGTCTTGCCGTCCAGAAATCCCTCACTCAACCGCTACGCAATATGCGCCAACGCATAAATCAAATCCGAAGCCTTAAGCACGATACTCGGCAGCGGATTCGTAAATACAAACGGCAGCGTATTGCCGAGACCGACGTCGGGCGCGCGCAGCAGGCCGAGCGGGATCACGCCTTGGTTGAGGGAGAGCTCGTGGTAAAGGGATATGAAGGTTTGGCCCTGGGAAAATTGTGTGAATGAACGTTGGTTGTTTAGCTGAGGTCGATCAGGCGGTATGAGATCGGGATGTACACTTTGCGACATACCACGTAGTCTTCTGGAACGTCGATGTAGCAGAGGAACGAGGGATCTATTCCCATCTTGGCGTCCATCTCGGAATCGCGCTGGTGTTCGGAAGATGAAGAATATCGGTCGCTTGGTGAGTAAATGAACAGCTGGCGCAAGTCAAAACCTCAGATGCCCGATCCGCGCCGGGCCATCACCTTACCTTATGCCTTCCACCGCACATGAGCTTGAATATATCCAAAACGCCTTCATTGAAGTACGTCTCAAACAAAATCGAATCCAGCATACTGGCCGATATCACCCGTCCAGCCGCATAGGTCGGCGAATACAGGTATCGGTCGATGCCGAGGTCGGCTTTGAAACGCTCTTCGCTGTGTACGGCTTTCTTGCGTCTGTGCTTTTTGCGGCGGTCGGCGGGTTGCAGGAAGCGGACGTGGCTGCGTTTTACTGTGGGAGGGATATTGGTAGATGGGAGGTTAGTCAATCGGGAGTGGGTGGGATGTGGTGTGGGAAGAGACTTACGCAGCTCGGTGACGGTGAATTTGTGGTCTCCTGTGTTTTGGAACCTGGTGAGGCCGTGGGAGTTGCGAGGTTAGTGATGTGTCTCTAAAGTTCATATTTTTGGCGGACTTCCTTACATGTGGTAGATATTGTGGCTGACCATGCTGGTTGGAGTGGAGAGCGCGTGAGTGGATATAGTCTGGTGAAATCCCAGGAAGGGAATGCGGGTACTCACATCGCAGCGCTGTCCGCGAAGGTATCAAACCCCTCCACGCCATCCGCATTCACCGATTTCCGATTCATATTCATGACCACAACCTTATCCGCACCATGTATCCCCGCCTTCTGCAACTCAGCCCTCTTCCTCGGATCCCCTTGAACAATGTACACCTCCGGAAACTGTCCAAAAAGCGAGATCTCATACGCATTAGGCAGTGTGCTGCACAGCACCACCACGGTGCGGAACTCGTCGTCGGAGAGGTGCGCGGCGCGTAGCGTGCAGAGAAGGCGGAAGACATGTTTGTCACCGGTACAGACTAGGATGTGGTTTGTGAGGTGGGAGCCGTCTTGGAGGAGGAGCTCGTCGAGGTTGCGGATGGGGTGTTTGAGGAGGAGGCATAAGGGGACTACCAGGGGATATCCGATGCGTTAAGTCACCGAGTCAGAGCGTTGAGTACGTTGCGTGATAAGGAGCCTGCACCTACGTTTCACCCCACCCTGTGCTACGACGGGAACGCCCACTCGCCAACCGTTCATGGTCTTGTTGCCGTCCTGACCTTTGTTTTCGCCTATCACGGCCTGCATCGACCCCTGCCGCACGCATCCGGGCTCGAGAATAAAACTGTGCGGGTTCGGCATTTGAAGGCAAAAGCCTAGCTCCTCACGCCCCTATAAGGCAAGAGCCAAGGATCAGATGCGGAGCTAGCGCATCAAGAACGCCCTCAACCGGCAGTCAAGGAGCTATCAATCATACCAGATGGGCAATATCGTCGATATCCTCTTGCCGTTGCGCCACGTAGTAAAGGAGGTCTTTCTTTCCCAGCTTGTATCCGGCGGGATTCAGAATCAGATGCGTCTCGCCGTTGTCCAACACAGCTCTGACTGTTTCATCAAGAGAAGATGGTAAATCACAGGCTGAAAGATTCTCGAATGACTAGCCTCATCACGCACCAGCAAAGCATATCACTTGGTATTGACGGAACAGAAAGTACGATGCTCTTTGAAACTCGAAGCCGTAGAATACGGGATTGACGGGACCCTAGCAAAATAACAGTGTTCAGAAGAAGCACGACAGAGAATCGCCCCACACGCCAGATACTCACCGAGTAGAGCTCGTTTCCCAATCCATCGCCTGCAAGGTACACATAGGTGCAATGAGCTTATTCAGCAAGTCGTACTCGGACAAGACGTACTTGCAAGTCGTACTCGGCATTACCGTATTGCGCCTCCCAAGGAGCCTCATACTCCCTCCTTGGCTTGGTTTGCACGAGGAGATTTAGCAAGACTGTCCCGATACCTCGGTAGATCAGGTTAAATCCGATGAGGATCTGCTTGAGGTTGTCGATGCATACGGCTGAGGGAGGAGGATAGAGAAGGATCGTTGGTAAGCTAGGCTCCTCCGCGCAACATGCTCGGTTTGCGAACAGCAAGCTAGGCGATTGCCGTGCACGTACCTTCGTTGGCGGAGTGCGTTTGTAAGATCTATGAAAGACACAGGCTCAATAAAAGCAACAATCCCCAAACCAGTCAAGCCAGACTCTTTCCCATCTCTCCACGTTCCACCCCCCTTACCTCAGTCTCCGGCAAAAGATTATAAACAAACAACGGCACATCCGGCGCATGGTCATCTATCGCCCACGCCCTCAACGTGTTCTCATCATCTTCGATGAGATGATCGGGCGCGTTGCGGTCCGCGATGATGAAGGCGGCCGCGGCGTGTTGTATTTGGGCTCGTTCCATGTCCTGGACTTCCTGTTAACGAATTACATGACTTTACTTCCTGGTGCTTCATTCTAGCAGTACGATGGGACAGTGGATGCCCAAGGCTTACGAGCACATTGCCCTGCAGATATGTACACCGATGCGTGAAGCCCTCTCGTCTGACAATAGCTTTCACGGCGGCAGAAGGTTCATCGCGGCCCATGAAGACCAAGTTCAGCGGGCGATCTTGTTCCTAGACATCACCGGAAGGTCAGAACCTTTTTGCGCTTCGCTTCCTTACTCGAGTGTACTTACTCGTGCAACGAAGGTATGGATGATGTCGATCACTGAGATTGTTTTGGAGAAATTGCCCACGAACACAACCTAGAGCGAGAAAGAAGGTGTGAGGGTATGGAGAGGCAGCTTCTTCCATACTGAGGATTATTACGACTTACGAAAGGGCTCTTGCCCCTCTGATAGGTTCCGCGGCCCGAATTTCGCAAATGCAGGGTCTCGATCTGAATGACGGCCAAGTTATGGAATTGACTCGGCACCTGGGGTCCCGAAAGAAGGGATTGCGGTTACCGTTTGGGAGATCAATCCAGGCAGGATTGAGATTGCAAGGATGATGAAGACGATGACGACGAATTGGCCGGGTATAGATTTTGGCGAAACGTCTCCGTAGCCGACCGTGGAAGCGGTGATCACTGTAAGAGGGGAAAGTAGGCCGGCCTTTCAGTTTCGATATGCCCTTCTGGCGCGGGGCAATAAAGAACGCACCGATGAAATACAAGGCCTGACTGAGGGTTATTTCCTGTTCGGCGAAGCGAGTTTCAAAGTACTAGTATAGAATGCGTTGGAGCGAGCGCATCTCAGTCCCGTGCATAAAGCAGCAACGGCCCATACCTGGAAGGCGCATGAGGCTACATACATCAGCGCCAGGATGGTCGAGATCAGAAACACCAAACGCTCGGTGTACGGTTCGACCCATATCCACTTCCTGCTGGCTATGAAGGAAAGGAAATAGTGTTGGTTAAGTATGGGACAGCAACGATAGAAGGATAGAGGTCGCGACCAGCGCCTCACCAGCTAGTCTGATGACATTCTGTATGCGGTTCACGACGACCACTGCTCGGAGATAAAAGGGTATATCTTTGGAGGACAATCAGACGAGTTCCCGAGTGTGAGTGGGTACGTTCATCAGGGAATGTACAAAAAGAGAAGAACTTACATACGTAGTGTCCGTACTCATACAAGGGAAGGAACAAAAACGGGGCACATATGAAGAGATCTAGAGCGATCCGGTGATTGAACATCGCCTCTCGCTTTGAGTCGGCCTGTCCATAGTGGGGGGTGTTAGAAACCTCGTATGGTCAAGCAGACAATCAAGAAAGCTTACGATTATGATCTTGTTGATTTGCGACCAGACCATGTATGAGGAGCATGCTGAAATTTGATACGACAAATGGACTAGCGTCAGCCGCATCCTATCGACAAATGGACTAGCGCCGCATCAAACTGACATAGTTCCATATTCCAAAGGGTTGAAGGGCGCTGCGAGAACGGATTGGAGACTAATGTCAGTGTCTAATGAGCACGCTTGCGTCCCGCGAACCAACAGATGTCCAGTACCGCAACATATAGCCAAGAAGGTGACAGATCGGCAACACGATCCCTATGATTTCGGTCAATCTCGAACTCTATCAGATACAGGATACAGAACATCAGATCCACAAGGAGATCCTATAAGATGAATAAGAAAATGCCATATTCTGATCAATGTGCTGATCAAGAAAACCTGTACATCTACTGCTACTGGTTCAAGACTAACCAATGTTACGCCAAGGATGAGCCTTCGCCTTAGCGACCGAAGACTGTGTGCGTAGATCTCCTTCGCGACATATACGGCAGACAGCCATGTGAAGACAATGTTCCGAGTTGGCGATTGTCCAACGGATCTTTACAATTGTAAGTTAGAAGCTACTGACGAGGGCATGGGATGACGACCTCAACCCTACCTCTCTTGAACCCTTTAGATGTTGCCAAGGGACCAGCTGGTGTGAGAGAGAGGTCAAGTAAGACGGCATTCTGAGCATCTGACCTACCTTTGCATGCGATATGCGTCTCGAACGTCTGTGAAGTCTGCCTCTTTCTGTCCGAAGACATGCTCTAACAAGAATGCACGCATTTGAGTTCGCTGCGTAGGCCATCGTCGATCACATACTTTAACTCACTGCCGAGTTTGAAAGCACCAGACCCTGTAGCGGCTGTGACTTCTGCAGAACTCTTATCCAACCCGTCTAAAGCGGACTTCTGATGAAGCTTCCGCTGCTTGCGGTGGTTCAGCGTTGCGGTGGAGCCGCCACTGTGATGGGAGTCAGGGCTACGGGCTGCTAACTCCTGTATAGAGTCCAGGGTGTCAGAGTATTTTCTCCTCGTGACATGTCTTCTCAAGCCGTTCATGCGAGCCACGGTGGTGGTCGACCCCGAAACAGTCGGGAAGCTCTGGAACTCGACCATGCGGACGGCACCTTCTACTTCCGCTGGTTGTGCTTGCCCAGCTTCCAGCTCCATCATAAGGGCGTCGCTAGACCGAAAATCAGGGGTTCCCAAGTCGCCACGAGGGATAGCTTGCTCTGTATGTATATTTCGTGAACCCATGGTCAGCAAAGTTTCGCATGGGAAGTTCGTTTTTCTCTGTGTTTTTCTCGGCCCAGGTCGATTGCAGCAGTAGGCTTCTGAAGATTGCGACTCATGAGGCACTGTACATGTACGGTTGCAACTGAATCACGGACTGGGGTGAGTGCAAAGGATTCTTGCTGAAGATGCCAATGAGAAAGGACGTGGAAATGCAGATCTTGCCCACGGATGGGCGCTGGGGAAACCTAAACGGCCCTGGGAAAAGTTGAGGTTTTGGCCCTGTTTTTGGCCGTCCGTTCGCCGCACAACAAACGCGTCGGCGGGTCGCGCTGGATCCAACAGAAATGCCGCCCGCAAAACGACGCCCATTCAGGCTGCTGTCAATCTGGCTGTCAATGGTATTTATTGCTTCAGTGACTTCGGGATGAAAGTCGCCGACATGGCTTGAAAGGTTTGTCTATATATATATGTATGTAGGTTCCAATGTTGACGTACTCTTTGCGAATGAAAGAAGGGAGGACTGCAAGCGTAGTGGCCAGAGTTCCGAGGTCTGGAGTGTCGGACAACATTGGACTCTTGCTCTCAGACTCTCCAGATCGCATGCACATCGTGCATACTGTATGTTTTGTCTGGGTTGGCAGCGTTGCCCTTATGGATGAGGTTGCAACTATCACTTTACCAAGCGAACACAGGCTTCTGGTTTCAGCATCTCTTTGACGCACACGCCATCGCCATATAAAATCGGGGGCGCTCACCATAACAGACAGGCACTGCGAACCGGAGACCAGGGGATCGACGAGAGGCAGGATTCAAAATGACGACGTTCTTCCACGCACCCTCCACCAAAGTCGTTCGCCATCATCAGCAGTGTGAAGGTCGAGGAAGACAAATACAGTACCACAATTATTCCTCCCTCGGAGCGGTATTGTACGCGAATTCGACTAGGGGTAATAGCTTAACCCAATTTTCGTACAAAAAAGTCCCGGTCGGCGGAGTGTGAACCATTTAGGGACGCGTCGGACGCCTGTGACGCAGCGACTCCCCAGCGTTCAAAGTTTTGACATCGGACCGTCTCCCGGAAGAGGAGCAATTCTATCGACTGGCATACAACAAAGTAATAAACGAGATGAACGTAGCAGGTCGTTGCATCGGTCTCGTCAGGCCAGCAGGCGTGCCGGCTTGCGGTTCTGTCTTTTCCAGAGGGTTTCTGTCGAGTTCTCCGCATTCAGCCGCACGAAGTGTTCCTCGCACCTTCGTCACTCCATCCAACGCATTTTACAACTCAAACGACTTCACCACCGTCTCTCAACCTGGCAAGACTGTTAGTTCTCTGGGACGGAGCGCTGGGTCCGGACAGGGTGCTGCAGGATGGCGTCAGCAATGGACGCGATCGTATCGATCTGCCTTCCCGCGTGGCCAAAGTGAGGGCGGGTTTCGGAAGTCTCTAACCGCAATTGTCGGCTCTGCTGCGTTGTGTGCAGGAGCGGTATGGCTTTCCCCCGACGCCAAAGCCGGTGGTATGTGGTTGTGCTGTTCCGTATTGTGTCAATGAACCCCACGCTAACTCAGTATCCCACCATTCAGCGAAAACATCAACGCCGCTACCAAACCCACACACGGACGAAATCCCCGAGCTCGAAGTCATCCCACCTCCTCCACCAGGCTGGTTTCGTGAACATGTGCGGCCGGAGGTGCTGACGGTGGGAGGCGCCCTGGGTGCTTGTACCGGTCTCTTGACAAAGAAGCTCGGCAAGGTCGTTGCTTTTGGGGTTGGGGCCATCTTTGTCTTGCTCCAGGTGAATTACTGCGAGTTTAATTTGGCGCTGGGCTGCGAGGAAACTACAACGAGACTAACTCGCTCTCCCATTGTTATCATTCACAGTGGCTAAACCACTCCGGCTTCATTACTATCTCCTGGTCAGCCATCACCTCCTCCGTCAACAAAAAGCTGCACGCGAACGAACGTGGTGAACTGCCACCAGGGGCGGTATCGACGTTGTTCCGAAGATTGCTCAAATGGCTGACCGCGGACGTGCCGTTCACCGGGGCGTTCTGTGCCGGGTTTTGGGTTGGGTTTCGGTATGGTTAGAGCTTGAGAGAGTGTTCCTTGCTAGTAGCGGGAAGTATGTACGATGGTACTGCTTTGTATATAGCATTGGGTTTATGGAAGCAGAGCATCATCGCAGCGAATCATAGCTCCAAATTTGCTGGACCTTCTCCTCCTCAGGGCCGGTCGCACGCAGAAAGAAAAAAGGCGATTGTAACAGCGGGAGAAGATTGAAGTCCCAGCTCAAGGTCAGGACCTCAATATTCCGGCGGCAGCCGAGGTTTCAAGTCAGGAACTCGATGCACAGGCAGCAGCTGAAGCCTACCTCGGGAGTAAGCTAGATTGAGAGGGCGGCAACTGAGATTTAGAGTCGGGATCTCCCGAGTAAGATAGGAGTGCCGGGCGGCCCACTGAGGTTTGAATCCAGGACCTCGGGAGTAAGATAATCTCGGCGGCAACCGAGGTTTGGCGTCGGGATCTTGCCAGTGGATGGAGAAGTGGGGGATCGGGTGGTGGGCTTTCCAGTCACTTAAGAGGGTTTGGTTGGGGTTGGGAATACATAGGATGGCAGTGCTATGTATATGTAAGCGTCCTAAAAACGACCAACTCGTAGCACGAAAACATGGAGGCCTATGTGTTCGGGTCTCAATAGGCGTAGGGAGCCAGAGGGAGCCAAGCGAGCTGTGGCGACCGTGCCGTACTTATAGCTGAAGGCTGGGCCTAGGCGCAGGGGTTAGGCGCAAGGCAGCGGATGCCCCGCAGACCTTGCCCAGTACGACATAAGAACAAAAAAAAGCGGAAAAAAAATTAAAAGCTGTATGGCGGCAACCGAGGTTTGAACTCGGGACCTCCTGCACCCGAAGCAGGAATCATACCACTAGACCATTGCCGCTTTTTGTTTTCCTTGCCTTTCTGCTGGACCTCAATCGTCATGCGGCCCTCCGCAGGAACTCATACCACTAGACCATTGCCGCTTTTTGTTTTCCTTGCCTGCACTGTGAAGAGTATCAAAAAGTGGGTAGTACTACCGCGAAAGATCGAATGGTTTCGGCGTACGAAAAGTATGGCGTAAGAACGTTACGAGAAAAATACTCCCACCGTACGTAGATAGCTCAGTTGAACACTTGAATCGACTGCTTACAGACATCGCCGCATAGAAAAGACTGTATACAAACAAAATAGGCGCACAATTAGAAGATAGAATGACATTCGAAATGGTTCTAGTTATAGTATTATACATAGATCGATTCTCATAACTAATGGCAATCTACAGATGATGAACACCTCGTTGGAGATATTTTCGTCTTAGTGCAACGCTTCTGCGACCTGTTCGCAATATATCCACCCTTGTGGAAAGATTCTGCCAGGCCCTCGCATATCCAGGATCCAAGTTTGGTGTGATAAGATTGTATGGTCTGCTCGTCCGTCTAACTACGTTCAACCCCCTTGAAGATACGGTGTGCCGTCAACGGCCGTTCCTTAGGCCCCCCCCCCTTCCCCCACGGAATAGTTCACTGGTGCAATGGTAGAATTCCGGTGGAGTGGAGGCAGAAGAGGTCCAGGTTCTGATCGCCAGCATTTAATACGCAGCGGCCTCAATCTCGTCAGGCGTTTCTGGGCCGGACTGAAAGAGGGTGATGCCATGGCGAGCGAACTCGGCGACATTGACGTACGAGCGCGGGTAGCGTTTCGGTGTGTGGCGTGGACGCGGAAGCCCTTGGAGCATCTGACCATGGCGTAGAGACGGGCGGCAGGGTCGGGTGAAGTCACGTTCGAGAAAGCGGGAGGGGGGGTGAGGATGCACTCGTGATAGTCTGGGCGGCGATAAGGTTCAGCGAAGAAGCGAAGGGCGCGGGTGGTGGCATCGAATTCGACGCGCACGTATTCGCTGTCCCGCAGTCCCCACTCGATGTTGTAAGGCGCTTCCGTGGGAAGACTGGAGGTCTGCAGGTTCCGCAGGAATCCTGAGCTCGAGAGCGCCCAGTACTGGATCACGTCTGGCAGCCGTGGATACCGGCGACGGCGATAAGTAGGACCAACACCAGCACCAACATCGTCGGCGCCGCCTGCTGTTGCTGCGGGGAACAAAGGAGGTTTGGCGGCCGCGACGCCGACGAGAATCTCGCCTTCATTGAAGACTTTGGTGGTCCGAGTCTTGCCGGACACGGTGATCTTCCAGCCCCAAATGCCCGGCTCATCGAGAGGGATGAGGTGACAGAGTGTGACGCCTATCAAACGAGTTGTGCTGGTGATGACCTCGTCGTGCGGGCCATAGTAGCCACCGGTGAAGGCATCGCCGAGGATAGTTCCATCGTTAATCTCGCAGCGCGCGGCGTAGTTGCACCCGCCCGCCACCCACGCGACCTCCGTGGAGAGGGCCGCCAGCCGGTATGCCTGTATCATTGCCGCATCGGGAACCAGACGCGTGGGCTCCACCTCCGTAGCAAGGACCGATGGCGGGATCCGCTCGATGGGCAGCGCGGCTCCGATGGCTTCTCGGGAGGACTCATCGTCGGTGGGAATGGAATGCGTGCGCATCCACAACAGAACGAAGCGGACGAGATTCACTTGGTCGCTGGCGAGCGGACACGTCCGTACGGCTTGCAGGAGGGAACCCATGTGTTCCGCGGTCCGCATGTACTTTGTGAGGGGCACGGCTAACACGGAGAGATAGGACGGCACCCGCTCAGCCAACGACCGCAGGATAAGATCGCCGACCTGCGGGCTCTTTGCGAATCGAGGGATGCGGCGGAGCAACGCAGCCGCCAGCTGTCCTTCGAAAGCTCAGGCCCTGCACGGCGTCTCGCAGGCCAGTCTCAATGGCGTCGCAAACGCTTGGAACGATAAAGTAATCGGCCGTAGCATACAGCTCCAATAACGGCCTTAGCGTAACATCCTCGGCGTCATGACCATCCTCCTCCTCTTCTTCCTCGTCCTGCTCAAGCAAGCTCCCCAGGGACGGCACCACGGGCAGCTGCCCTTCGGATTGCAGTCGATCGACAAGAGCGCGAAAGCCCGTCGCCGAACACTCTTGTGTTGTCGAACGTGAACGTCCTCAGGTCCGGATCGAACGAGAACTGAGCCTGGAAGTAGCCACTCTTTGCCAACAAGATGGATCGTGGCACCATCGCTTCGAAAAGCGGTAGTGCGGAGGAAGAAGAAGCAACCGGACCATCACCACCACCACTCCCCTCCTCGAGCGAGGGCGGCGCAGTGAGTCGCAGAGTACGATCGCTTCACCCATGTCTTCACTGCTGCCGTGCTCTCTCACCGCAGCGGTAGTGGTGTGGTCTCCATTTTCGGCGCCGCTCTCACTCATCTGAAAGTCGTCGGTAGTGGTCGTCAGGGTCAGTCTCCTCTTCTTTCGGCTTCCGCTGGTGGGATCTATCGGGTCGAGTTCGTCCCTTTCCATGGAACCAAACGGCTCTTCGTCTTGGGCACAGCTTCGGCGTCTGTGCTTCTGGCGCTTCTGGAGGTCTGATCCAATCCGTCCCTGACCCTAACCCGTCGGATGACAAGTCCCTAACCCTATCTCCTCGATTCCTGATCTTCACAAGTGTGGAATACCTAGGGGCGGCGTAGAATGACGCCATATACTGTCCCTTGCTGAGAGCCGGGCAGGAGTCCCTGCAAATCTCTTTGGCGGCTCCTCGGACAACGATACAGTATGTTGTGGATGACCTGGGGAGATCAAGGTAAGGCGAAAAGGCAGACCCAACAGTCATCAAATAGTTGATGGAAAAGGCCTCCGTCAGCTGGCGGCGGTGAGTGTCACCACGCCCCCACGTTTTCTCGACCCAATCCCGACCATATGGAGGGTGCGCTGGAACGTCGGTGACTCTCTCGCTTCGTGACGCTCAGCAGTGCACTGGCAGCGAGAGCCTGCGACACTGACATCGGGACAGGAGGCACAAGCGCAGGTGCACTTCCACTCATACCCACTTCTACTGTACTTGCACGAGGACTTCACTAGGTGAAACTCCTGTGCGTCGCCAGCGTCATTTTACGGTCCATCAAGCGACAGTAAAAATGTACACCAGAAAGTACATCCCGCTCCTAAGCGGGATCCTTCTACCCATGGCAACCCTCTTCAACACCCAGTCTATCATCGTACCGGGTTGGCTATACCACGAGCGAAGTGCTCATTGGGGAACGCACGAAATTGTCAGCAGTGCCAGCAGCATCTTGACCAACCGTCCTCACCGGCCGCGCCTGCAATTCTATACCTTGCCACTTGTCACGGCTCTGGCTTCGGCGTCCCTTGGGCTTGGGTTGCTGGCTGTTGGCTGCTTATTTTTAAGGATGCTCGAGTAGGTACCGAAGTGGGGCGGAGGATGAGGATGTAGGATACTGAAGGATAGGCCCATGCTCACTCCGGTTTCCTTTTTTTTTCGGAAAAGGAAGAAGATCAAATGGTGCACCCGTCTTCTGATCCTCGGCGCCGCCGGCCAAGGCATCTTCGCCTTCGCGGCCGTCATCACCTTCTGGTCCTGGGTCTCGCTCTCCAACACCGACGGGCAATACAGTGAGGGCAGCTTCTACAGCGCCATCTGCGGGTTCCTCTCCCTCGCAGTGGCCGGGCTGAACGCGTATCATCATCATATGAACCGGATGCAGGTTTATTCGTATACGCTGTATGAGCTGAGTGTTGCGCAGAGGCAGCTTGTGTTGTTGACGATTACGACGATTGTGTATATTGTGGCGATGGGGGCTTTGTATGCCACGCTGGAGGGATGGTAGGTATCGTTTGTATGGGGAGGTGTATAGTGCATCTAGAGTCTGTTTCGACCCTGCGCGGTCCGAACACAGTATTTACCCACGATTGCCTCTTAGGGAGTTTGATGACGGTCTATATTGTGAGTTTCCATTTCGCATTGCATACAGCAAAACGGTATTCTAATCAACCCATTTCATGTTTCTCCAGGGTGCGCCGCAACACTCTCAACAATCGGCTTCGGCGACCTCTACCCCCAAACCGTCCTCGGCAAGCTCCTCCTCCCCATCATGGCAACCGCCGGCGTCGCCCTCCTAACCGCCACCGTCTATGCGATCCGCCAAGTTGCATTGGAGCTGCTAACCCACCAGCTCGCGACCGAGTATTCGAAATCGTTTGGGATACAGAAGGAGGATGCATCGATGGATGTACCCGGTGGTGTGGGCGCGGGTGTACCGTTTGGGAGGAGGAGGACGGTGGATGTGGCTGTAACGCGGTCCCATCCGAATCTTTGGAGTGGGGGTAGGGAGACCTCGGATGGGATGTTAGGCGAGCGAGGGAGGGGAGCGACTGTGGCCGTGCCGCAGGAGATACCGCAGAGTGATAGGGACATATATACCGGTTCACGGGCAGCGTTTTCAGCACCGCACGGCGTCGTCACAGACCTGTTCCCGCCCCTCTCGCCCTCAAAACAACCCGACCTCGCCCGGCTCTCCGTCCCCGACATGCGCATGAACACCCAAACCCCGTCCCGACATTTCGAAAACGATAATGGGGCTGGCGTGCCTTTCACCCACTCCGTCACAACCCCAACCCCCACCCGCTCCCGCACAATGGTCATCTCCCGCGGCGCCCACCTCCCCCAAGTAACAATCCAAACCACCCACCACGTCCGCCGCCACCACGTCGTCGAAGCCACCCGCCGCACCTTCCGCCACCAAATCACCTCCGCACTCATCGCCGTCATCGCCAACATGCTCATCTTTGGCGGTCTCTTCGCTTTCTTTGAACATTGGGCCTTTTTCGAGGGAATGTATTTCGTCGTCTGTGCCCTTTTGACGATCGGGTATGGCGATTACACTTTAACGACGGTGCAGTCCCGATCCGTGTTTGTGTGGTTCCTGTTTATCGGCATCGCGAGCGTTGCGTATCTGTTTTCGCTGTTGAGTGAACGGGCGTTGGATCAGTGGACCATGGAGGTGGGGAAAATTGCGAGTCGCGTGGATCGGTATGAGAGGAAGGCGAGGTTGAAGAAAATGTATAGGAAGGGGGACGTTTGGGCGGCGGGGAAGACGAGAAAGAGGGACGAAGGTGGACGTGGGGATGTGGGTGAGCGACACCCGTTCGTGAGCACGGATTCGGATGTGTCAATGGAGGATCATCGAGATGTGGACAGTGATGAGTACCACGACGACCAACCTGCATGGAGCGAGCATGAGGCGGGTGCTGGCCATGACGGTTATACGACCCAAGAGAACGAAAACGTCGATACGCAACTGATATGGGACAACGACGTCCCCCAACACCGCTGCGGCAGCCCGCTCGACCTCACACCCGACCTCCAACCAACCTCCCCACCCCCACCGCCAGAAATCGGCCTGTTCACCACCTCCGAAGCCGAAGACTCCGAAACCACCCCACTCCTAATCCCCCCACCAACACCCCCGACACCCTCCTCAACATCCTCCTCCCTGCATCCACCCTCTATCCTCGGCTCCCGTCAAACTCAGCGAAACAATCCACTTTCCTCTTCCGTCCACTTTGACCACTCTCCGACGCGATACGCCCCGACTTCTCCCACATCGCCGATAAGCAGCTTATCACGATCGTATGTCCAGCCCCAGCCGCATCGGAGGACGCGGTCGTATGCTGTGCCGATTCGGAGACATGGGTCTGTCGACGTGCCCCACACTCAGGGGCTGGGGAGGCATGGGGCCACGACGTATGACCGGAGAGTTGAGAGTCATGTGCAGGTGTCACGGTCGTATGTCCCGACGAGGAACGTGGTTCGGTTGGAGATGCCGGCTGATCAGTCTAATCTGTTAAGTGTGGATGGTGGTGGTGATGGAGGAGTTGGGGTGAGACGCCGCGCGTCTGTTTCTGTTTCGTTGCGACGGCCGAGTACGGTACGGTCCATCCACGACGCGGAAGGCTACCTCCAGCCAGCGCCCTTCGCGGAGGATGGGGATGGGTACTACGACTCGGATGAGGATGAGTGTCGGGAAGGGGATGTGTACTCGACAACACCTGCTGTGCGCATGTTTTCGGGGAGGGTGAGTGAGCGGAGGGGGAGTGTGCGGAGTGTTGCTGTAGCTGTTCCTGTAGAGGTGCCTGTTGAGAGGGTGGAGGGTGGGGAGGAGGTGATGGATGGGGATAGGAATGCGGAGCCTGGGGAGGGTGGGGTTAGTGGGTGTATTGGAATCGATGTGGATGAGGATGACGGGCGGGCTACGTTTTGAATCAATAACGAGTGCATGGAAGTGGAAGGAGAGGAGGTTGTATATAGGAGGTTTATCGTAGCGCATTGTAAGTAGGGTTTTGGAATCCCCATCGCAATAGCTCATTTGAGAAAAAAGAGAAACATCATGATTCAGTTGGTGGTGAACGACAAAGTTATGATCCCGCCATTGGAAGTGGACGTCGTTGGGGGTCTGGCTATTAGCGTAGCAGCCAGTTGGCCGTGATGTGTGGGACGAGCTTGATCGGATGTTCCATTTTCCCCCGGACACCCCAACGCAGAAGCCCTGGGTCCAATTGTCCAGCGCTGGGCAGGTGAGGGTAGCCCATGGGGAAGTAGCGGATGTCTGAGCTTGCGTTGCAGCTCCCGCTGTCACACCTTTAGTAGTCTGTGCCCGGCATAGATGGCATGGATGGACAGCGGCCATGATTCCCAGATCCGCAGGAAGAACAATGGCTTGGAGCCGGAAACCAAGCAAGAGTTGCGATGCAGAATGTTGATTGGCATTTGGTGATAGCGCGAGGATGAAATGCCGCTTTGCGGGCTTTGGAGCGGCAATTCCGCTGCTGCCCAAACAGCCTTTGCATCGCAACCGTGACGAGTGGTTGTTTAACACTTGTCAATCTCGGCAGCACATGTAGAGGCGAATACACCCCGAGGAGTGTACGGGATGTACGAAATAAACTCATGGCGGCGGGTTTTGTGTCGATCTGCCTTCAGTCTGCTGTTGGTCGTTGACAGGGCTTTTTGCGAGAGGCGGATGAACTCCGACGTGGCTTAGGCTTCCTTCTTGCATTCCCAGGATCCGGACTCTCGGCTGCGTGGAAAACCGCCGGATCTTTCTTAATTGCGACGGTTACCGCGGGAGACGCGCTTTCCCGAATGGCAACTTCGGCGGAAAGTCCGACAGGGAGAGACGTTTGCAGAAAGCCTCGACTTGCGCGAGGGGCGTTCTCGGCAGTGCCTGGATCTGGACATTTTGAAGATACCAGTGCCAACCAAAAGTAACTAAACTTTTCCATACTACTTCTGTGGTTTCGGCACTAATGGCATCCGTGGTACCGGCCGAACACGATGTAGAGGGGTTTCCGGCGGAAGCCCAGCCCCTCCGATCGGCAAGAATCTTCCGTTGCTTTGCGCGTGTGGAAAGGAAAATCGCAGAGATGTGTAGCGGAGCCGGTCGATCATGCGAAACCAATTATGGGGTGGAAAAAGTCTATTGGGGGACGGTATTGCAAGGCGATCGACGTTCTTAGACGTTCTTCATAGGGGGAGTATCTCCCATGGTAGTGTCTTGCTCTGGATATTCGATGACAGTCATTACGGTGGGATATGAGATTTTGGGTGCGTCTGGGCCGTCGGCTGTTGGTCGTCGGATATATGTGTCTGGCGTTGGCCAGCGCTTGATGCGGCAGAAAACGAGGGAAACAACCTCGGTTTTCCTTCTTATATAAGAACGTCTTCGGAGCATTCCGACAGATACTCCATTTACGTCCACCCTAAGTGACCTATCCTTCCGCATTCGCACCGCCCTGTGTAATTGTTCGGATTCTCCGATCGACGGAAACGGAGCGTTCGGACGGGTGTCGTGTTGTTGTGAGAGTGGCTTTCTCGCGTACGTTTGACAAGGTGGGTGAACGAGAAGAGCCGCAACTTGCAGGATATCCGTCGCAGCGCAAGGCTTGGCTTTTTCCACTTTGTGTTGCTCGTTGAACCCTTGGGCCTTACTACTGTATTTCCGCCTGTTCGTTCGAGTACATAGCCTCACTCGCCACCTTGTTCGTGGAGTGCAAAAGCTAAGCCGCAAGAGTGGGGAACGAGACTGCCAGGAAAGCAGAAACTCACAACTTTCCACCAACGGCTAAAGTCACCATTGCGGATCATATCAGCGGCAACATCCAGACATCTGCTCACAAGCGCACCAGCACACACCGAGTATCCTCTCACTCACCGGAGACCCCTCGGAACGATAGATACACCGCACAGAGAGACCTTTCTGGCCATTGTGTGGTCGCTCACTCTCAGCACAGACCTATTTACGGACAATTTCCATAGCACACCAAGGCAACAGGGATCCTTCCGCAAACCGGACAGTGCTTCGAACTTCCTTAAAGTACTTCACTCACTCACCCAGCATATGCTGCATACCCGCTGAAACGCACCTCAACGCAATTTCACGTTCATCCACCCCCCATTCCCCGGGACCAGGGGCCGCTAACCCCTTAATGCCCGGGCTCCTCGCCTCTCCCTCGGCGTCGAATGGAACCCCGCCATCCCCCCTAACATCCCTCCCCCACGAAGTGTTAGTCCAAATCTGTCTCCTCCTCCCCGCGCCCACTCTCGCGATCCTCTCCGGTGTATCGAGATCGCTCAGAGATGTGGCAGTAGACGATCAGTTGTGGAACGCGTTGGGGAGGGCGGAGTTTGGGGTTGAGTGGAGGAATTTAAAGGAGGCGTGGCCGTTTGGGACTGCCAGGGGGTTTTTTGTGGGGGTGTTGAGGAGGTGGGGATGGACTTTGGGGTATTGGCAGGTGAGTTGTGACGGGACGAGAGGGTGCACTCGATCGATAGCGAGCGCTTGATTCGCGCAAGGGAACCATGAGGCGAGCCTGCAAACGCCTTCGCGAGCGGAGCGAGTTCGCATTGCGCTAAAGGCCCAATAATCCCCTCACCGCGGTTCTTAGCGAGCATCGGCGAGCGAAGCGAGCACGCTCCGCCCCCGCAACTCAACATCCTTGTCGCAAGCGGAGCGAGCAGGATGTTGTTCATCCATCCACCACCAACATCAATCTTCTTTATTCAACTGCAATCTCATAAACATTCCCATCTCCCTTTCGTAGGCCAACTACCCATTCTTCTCCGGCCAACTCCTACATGTGCGGGTCGACACACACACAGCACGCATCATCGCGGAACGAATAACAGCGGCACCATCCACCGAAGAACCACCCAGCGTCCCCTTCGGCCCCATGCACGGCGTCACCATGGACTCACTTACCCTCAACCTCACACGCCGTCGCGTGTTCGACATCAAATTCGAAAAAGCCGACGTGTGCTATCGCCGCTTACGAGGGATGAGCTACCGCGAGGCCGCGCGGACATCTACGGGGTTTCGCGCTCATATGGAGGGGTTAGTGGACGGGGTCGGGATGGAACGGAGTAACTCGACGGAGGTGTTGTCGGAGGCTTCGGTGGCGGCGTCGTCGGCGGCTGCACCGCCGGATTGCTCGTCGGCGTATGATCAGGAGGGCATATCGAGCTATGTGCTGTGTTGTGGGGCGAAGGTTGGGCAGGCGGTTGTGAGGGATCATTTGGGGACGTTGACGGAGGCTGTGGATACCTATGCGGACTATCATAGCACTATAGGTATTGGTCTTGACTGTTAACGGACGCGGATTCCCTATGAACCTTCACACTTTCAATCAAAACTGATCCCAACATATTGATTCCACAGACCACTTCCCTGTCTTCAACCCCTCCCCAATAACAGGACTTTGGCCCTACCCCGAATCCAGCCGCGCCCTCCGCAACGACGGCGCGCTCATCACCATGTTCGATTCCAACGAGCCGCCACTCGCTTTCAACCGTCATCAACCCGCCAACACAGTACAACATGAGGAGCATGGGGAGGACGAGGAGTATGAGCTGGGACATGCGTCGCCGGTGATGCGCGGCCGTCGACCAAGACGAAAGGCGAAACCGCCGAAACCGTCGTTGTTGGCATTGCATTGTAAATCCACGTGTCATCAGTATGGCGTTAGGACTGTTACACTTCGTGCGCCGGAAGGTATGTATCACTTCGCACTCCATAAGGTCGGAAGGTCTATCGCTCATCATCATGTTTTATAACCAAACCAGGCGAGCTGCGATTCCGCGCCGCAAAATTCCACACCGTCTGGAGCAAAATCAAATGTTCCGGCCTGCAGCACCAACCCACACCGCCCACCCCTACCTCCCTCTGCCCCGCCTTCACCCCCACATCCCACCCCTCACCACCACCACCCCCCTCCTCCTCCCACCCAACCCTCTCCTTCCTCTCCTCCCTCTACTCCACCCGCCCCGGCCCCTCCCCGCGAATGAAAATCCAGCCCCGTGAAGGGATATGGGCGGGAACATATGGCACGCATGGGGTCGAGTTTTTGTTGTTGAGGTATGAGTGGGGGGAGATGACGATGTTCAACGCCGCTGCTGCGATGGCCGAGGGGGAGGCGGGCGCGGACTACGTTCCGCATGACAATCACGCTTACGACGAGGGTGATACGACGTCGACACGGGCGACGACCGCGAAGCCGCATATACCCACCGTCGACATGGTCTTCTACAAAGTCACGGGGGACGTCAACGTCCCGCGGGGCGAGATTTCCTTCCGTGCGCATTTGGGAGATGGGAGTGGGAGTGAGTTTGTGTCGGCGCCGCCGGAGACGGTTTTCACAACCGCTATCAACGCGAGCAACGTGAGCCCCGGTAATGCGAGCGCTGCTGGGGGTGCGGCTGGCGGAGGGGGCGGAGCGTATAAACCGTACGCGATGCTCTCCGACCCGTCGTTTTCGGACGAGTTGAGGGGCGCGAGGGCGTATGACGGGGATGGGACGGTGGCGATGAGTGGGTACCGGAGTCCGACGCGGATTCGGAATGAGGGTGGGTTTTTTTTTTGTCACGTTGTTGTTGTTTATGGGTTGAGAAGTGCGGGGGTTCGAAGCGGTTGACTGATTTTTTCTTGTCTTGATATCTCCAGTGATCGTCATATCACCGACCCAAATTGCCGTCCTATGGCATGACCTCCGTAAAGCGTCCCGGTTCGTACTTGTCGAGTAAGCCGTTCTCCCCGCCTCCCCCTTCCATCCCCCATCTGTATCACATTCCCGCCCTGTACCTCAAACCCACCCTATCTTGTTCATACCACATCACCCCCTTTTGCAATGGGAAAAAACTTCCCGGGGCAGTCGCGATTCAATCGAACATTTGTATTTCACTTTCATTTGTATTTGGCTCTGCCACTACGTTTCTTGTTGTGCTTTTTTGCTCTTCGGGTAGGGGAAATGTCGTAGATCTGCCCTGGCGTGCATGTGTGTTTGTTGAATCTCTGCGAGTTGATGGTCACATAGGTTTTCGCACACTTCCCCGCACATCCCCCCCGATTCCGTCCATGTAGGAACGAACAGCTGCCGCACAATGTCCCCAATATAAACCCTTTCGAGCAGGAGGTCTCTTCCTTCTCTTCCATGGGCTGGCCGATCGTATCTGTACGCCTATACTTGGTCAGCTTCCCAAAACCCACCTATGCGATTCGACTCGAGCTAGGCAATAGGCAGTGGGTGAAGCCACCGTATCTGTACTCCGTTTGGCCACATCTGTACTCCGTAGATTTGGTCAGCTTTGGACGGAGCTCATCTCCGGCGAGGAACAGGAAGCTGTGGGTTGGCAGACTGGCTAGCAGGGCAGCTGTTGGAGACGGGAGGTTCAGATCGTTGCGTTGTCGGTGCATCGTAGTTGTTTTGCAGATGAGAGTGAGTCACGTCGCCCGCCCCCCCGCCAAACCCGGCGCGGGAAATGCGTTTGCCAAACTTGCACAGCTCTCTACGTATGGAAGGTTAAGTTGAGCAAAGAGTCTCAATGTCCTCCGGGCGCCACATAAGAAGCTTCTCATTCGCGTTTCCGCCGAGCGCGTGTACGTTTTGCTGTCAACGACGCTTTTTGATGTGGGTACATACAGTACGGTACATATACGGAGACTGCCCACCGAATGTCGACATTTATCAGGCTCTCGTTCCGTCGGGTGAGATTGCGAGGCGGCGAGGTTCAACAGGAGCGGAGATTCTTCCCCTCTCGAACGTCACGCGCACCCTCCCTTCTTCGCGTACATTTTGTGAGAGAGTTGGAGCCTCCCGAATCTCGATGTCGACGAAGGTTGGAAACATAACGCCCCTCTGCGCAGCTTCCCTCACTACGCATCCTGAATCCCGATCCCCAACCTGTCGGCCGCCGGCCGTCCGAAGTTTCGAAGCGCACGCCGGGGCCCGGCACACAGCGCCGGCACGCAAACAGTACCAGACGGCGATGCGAGCAATGGCGCGGCGGGCACTTCCATCACCGGCTGCAAGTACGACCGGTCGGCGATATCCCTCCAGAAATTGCTTTTCAAGTCGACGTGCCGTAGTCCTTCGTCGGCGAGATGTGAATATCGCCCGCGTCGGTACGGTTTTTGGTATGTGCTACAAGATAACGCGAAGACCAGTGCAATTTCGCGGTGCGGGTGAGCGATTGCTGCTTGCACGTTCCGGAAGGAATGGTCGCTCGATATCAGGCGTGGTGAGCAAGATTGATTGCGTGATGATATTGAGTTCAGGATTTCCGAGGTGTGAAATGGCACGGATGCAGAGAGTCCGTGGCGATGGACGACCGGACGGATAAGGAGGGAGGCGCAATGAAGCGAAGGAGAAATGAAGAGAGGGAGAGATACGAAACGTCCGTTTGATTATTGAACGGTGGGGAGTCGAAAACGTAAGAAACCAGCGAGGGTGTGATAGCAAAAGTGGGGAAAAAAAGGGACCGCCGGGAAGGGAAAAACGCGTGGGAGGGGACCCCTCTTCGGTTGGCTTTTTCACTCAATCCTGCACTATGAGATGTCGGTCCACAGATGATATGGCAAAGCGATTTCCCCCGGCCGGCACCATGGCCGCAAAGATCTTGGATAGACCGCCATGGCTTGGGAAAGACTGAGATGAGTTGAAATATACAGTGGGCGTTTCCATCGCAAGACAGCATAAAAAAGATGGGCCGGTTTAACGGTGCGACGGTCGGCCCAAGGCCAGGTGCATTCCTAAATGGTCGTCGATATCGGACCGGCGTAGTTTTGGGCAGCATTTCTTTTGGTGAAGCCATTCCATACGGTTCATCAGACGTGAGGACATCTCTTTGGTGGACGCCATGCAACGGTGACAGATACACGACGCAAATGTGTGTGGGCGTTACCAGATATGATCGGAAGCACCATTCGAATATGCCAAATCGGTTAGTAAAAAGCCAGCCAGCGAAGCAAGTCCTGTGCGTCCAAGCGCCGTACGTCAGTTCAACCCGGTCTTTGCGAGCGCCGGCGAGCTTCGGCTTTTCGCTGATCGCTTCGAATCTCAATATCGGCACTTTTCCTGGTGAAGGATGGACTTCGCATATGGGGTCTCGACTGGTCATCGATATCGGTCCAGTAGCGTTGGGGAATCATGGTACGGTCCAGTCAGCTCCACACTTTCAACGGGTTACGAAGGCAGGCAATAGTTCAATGATACATCGGCCGGATAAGACCGCCAAAATCGGCAAGACAAGCCATGTCACCACCATGTGCCAAAGCCAAATCGCCAGCGAACGCAGTAGTAAAGGGCAAAACTGGACATTAACTTTATTGGACGCAAAGAAGAGCACAAAAACTTATATACAAGAATCATAATGTCTATATCGGAGGGTCTAATGCTTCGGGCTCCCTCACTCAACGCAAGCTACTCGTTCGATAAAGAGCGCCTCGTTGACAGCACGCTCGGGGTCGGTGCGGCATGCCGCTGCATTAGCTATGGGGTCGTAGGTGGGGTACGCGACAGGGGACCCATTCTCAGCGTGGTAAAGTAGGAGAGACAAGAAGTCCTCGTGGCCCTTTTTGTTCGCCGGCGCCGCCGCTGAGAGTGGTAACCTGAGATTACGGGTAACGGTCGAGTGTCGTGGTGGCGAGCCAGACGCTGTCGCGGCGTAGTGGGAGGACGACGACCGCCGGCGAGCTGCTCTGATGGCGCCTCTTAGCGACGAGAACATGGATCGGCCAGCGGCGGGTGCTGACGAAGGTGATGTTGGTGATGCCGATGGCGATGAGGCCGATAGTGGCGGCCCGACGGCGCGGCCAAGGACGAGAGCTCTCCGTTGGGCTCGAATGCGTTCCTTTTCGACTTGGGCTGCTCTCTGCCATCGCACATATTCCGCGAGCGGGTCCGGGTCATTGCACGCCAACGAGTCGAAACGTACCGGTCGCTCTAGCGAAGGTGGAGGGCTTGGAAGCATGGAACGGACGGCGTTCGTTACACTGTCGAGTCCGGGCGGGCGAGAGTCAATTCGAGGTGGGCGCGGCGGAGGCTGGTCGGGCCATTTGGTGGTGGCAGTGGGGATGGGCATGGTCATAATACTGGCGTCCTCCGAATTGGCCGGCGAGGGGGCGGCAACGGGAGAGTCTTCCGCAACGTTTACCACCTTGACAGGGACACGCACAAGACCACCGATCGCCTGCTGTGAATAGTCCAGGGATACCCACTGCGCCGGCTGGACAAGTGCGTCATCGTCGACGCTGTCTTCGGCCGCTGCGAAGACGTCGCACCCACTGTCGCGAAGGACAGGAACGGACAGTTTAAGCGACTTCCGTGGTCGGCGGTGGGTCACAGAGGCGGGAAGCGGTGAGGTCCGTGATGCGGTAAGGGTATTTGGCCCACTCGGTTCCCGCGAAGATGAGGGCAACACCGCCGCGGTCGGCGCCACTTCGACATCCTCAACAGGAACGTGATTGACCGCGAGTTGCCAGCCCGGCGATAGCTCCAGCAAGGCATCCACCGCTTCCTGATACTCGTATTGAAGGTATTCGATATCGGTGTTCCCGTCAAGGTCGATGGGGATGCGGCGAGTGTACCGTGGCGCTTCGACTGCTGGCGGAGCGGGGGCGGCCTTCTTGCTCATACTAGGGAGGTGGTTCCCCACCTTTTTCGCTGCCGACGAGATCGAAGCGGACAACGAATTGCCCATGATGGTAGATGATGACTTGTGGAGGCTGTGGTGATTCGACGGTGAGTCTGTCGATTGGGATCGGTGATGTCGTGATGTTGGGAAGTTCGGTTGCTGCGTGTCGACAGGATTTGAGTTTGGTCGTTGACCAGACCAGGAGCAGCGGCGAGGGGTATGATGTATACGTTGAGAACCGCGACAAGATTTGTGGTGGGTGTCGGAGATTGAGCTTTTGCTTTGGGGTATCGCAAAGGTATCGACCGTTATGAAGCTATCGGAAAGCCGGCTCACAATCTCACAACTTGCTCTTCGAGCAGAACATGAAGAAAATCGACGAGACGGATTCGGCTCTGTGGTCGGGGCTTTATGGCCGGGCGCTGAGGAGGGCCTCGGGAGGTTTGAATACTCCGGGGTATGGGCCCGGCCGTTCCCATCAACATCGAGGAGAGTGATGCTTGGGATCATAGCGGGTGAGGGTGATAGGACCGACGTCATGTTGCCGGCAAGGTGTTTGTGCTGGGAGCGGGAACTTTAACTCAAGGTTGGCGAGAACAGAGTGGGGTTCTAGAATAGTGGTGGGAGATGTGCGAGGATACGAGTGACGGGATGCGTCGGCAGGTATGGCTATGAATAGCGTCAGCGTCGGAGTGGATGGTTTCTGACGGGATACTGTCTCTTCAAAATGACTAATGGGGAATCGATGTGCGGCTTCAAATAGCACCAGCAACGAATTCGGTGGCATGGAACAACAATGGGCTCGTGCGACTGTAATCCATGCGATGTGTCCCGCCAGAGCTTACGATATGTGCTCGAACCTTGGCGAAAACCGGCCCAGGCAACACACCGCGCAGATGAAAGAGTAGACAATCTCACAAAGGCTCTGGCGATATACGATTGCGTCTGGAACGCCTTCTACCGTCCTACGATCCGTATGCGAGACACCGACGAATGCCGAACCAGGATGTGGACACCGGCGGATGTGCGTCGAAAAACAACGGGGCTCAAGAATGGCCAAAGTGAGACGCGTCGTGCCGAACGCTCCGAACACTCAATTCAACCCCTCGCGTAAGCAGCACACCCCTCGACACCGAGCGCTTTTGTCGCCCACACTTGTTTTTCGGTGTCGATACGGTTTACGGTATACCGGGAGGAACTGGCGAGCCAGATCTTGGTGAATTCGTCCGGGACGAATGGGATAAAGGGGTGGCCGAGGGTTGCGTAGGACAATAAGGGATGCAGTTGAAGAAGGGATGAACCTGGGGCGCGACCGCTTTTCGTGCGAAACCAACTCCCAGAGAACACCTATTACGTCCCTGTCTGTCCTTTTTCGGTGTCTCGTATGTAGCCGCAACTCCTCTGCGCGCCAAATAGCGAAGGTAACCGAAAATCACACTTAAGTTCAGAGCGCTTTCAGGCCGTGGTGCCCGATCTATCAATTGAGCAATGAAGCCCACTTTTCAGAATATACGCAGATCGCCTTTCGTCAAACCGCCTCTTTTGGGCGATTAATCCGTGCTAGCAGTTAATCTAGGCGGGCAGAAAACGCAATAGCGATGGCGCGAGAATAGTGCGTGAAAGGTTGCTTCTCGGAGCCTCCGACGTTGGGCGCGCACGGCGGGGTATGTGCACTTTGTAGATAGGGTGTGTTTTCTTTGTCCGTGATGCAGAAAAGAATAGTGCCGGGGATGCGCGAGCGGAGTTTGGGCGGCTGGCGCTTACGTGGTAGTGTGATGTGACCCGACGACGTGTTGCTGGATAGATCTGGAGGTGATATCTATTCGATACGCTTCGTCCTTGGAAGCCTGTGATGATTGAAGCCTCTGTTTGTTTGGCGAAGACAGAATCGGGATAGTGACAGAATCGGGCCCTGATTTCACGGAGTGAGTTTCTCCACAGAAGGTATCGGTGAATCAAGTCGGTGAGAAGGTGCCCAACAGCGTCAACCAGGTACGTAAAACAAAAGCGAATGATCTTGATCGGGATGCCCGAAAAGCCTTTCTCGAAAAGGGAAACAAGCAGCAAAGGCCTGCTCATATGCAAAGATCTAGATCTAGGACAGTCCAAGACGAAAGCGCACATGCGTTCATCCTACGTTTACGATGAAGTGCGGTACGGGATGGATTATGCTCTTACGATTTTTCTAGCGAGGATCTGCGTAAGGCCAGCATCATATACCCATCGGTATCAATCATTTCATATGCACGTGTAACGCCAGAGATCTGGTGTGGACATCAGAGAAAAAACGGGAGTCCGACGGCGAGTACAGTACTGTACTTTGCCCAAGCCCCGCACCATCCCAGATCCGACGGCAACGCTTTGTTGACGTGTGTCCCTTGGCGCTCCATTTCCCGCGTTTAGAATGCGCCAAACCCGTGGAAATTCTAAGCAAGAACTGTTACAGTACAATACATGCAACCTATTTTTTTCTGTATCGTTTTCGATGTGGATCTTTGTCTCCCCGCGGAGAGTTCGGCTGCGGTTCCACCTTCAGCCGGCGGAGATATCATACCAACTCGACCACCCACCACATTTGCAAAGTTGGACATTTTGGGACAGTGCTGCGTATGACGTTGCGAGGGCCCGAACCCGAGGCTGCGGTGTCCAGGTATTTTTACCGTATCCCATGTGAAGACAGTGGGCAGTGGGTAGATACTAGACAGTGACAGGTTGCGATCAGTGCTCAGCTCGCTGTGAGAGGCAGTTGGCGGGATCTTCACCCGTGGGTATCGGGTTTGCTTGTCCTCGGCTCCGACTCCGAGTTAGCCACCCGAAAATTCATCAATGGGTTCAACGTGGACATAAAAAGGATTTCATGCCGAACGGTTCGGTCAACCACAGGGCGAGCTTTCAAAAGTCCCCGTCCATCTGTGCGTTCAGACCTTTGACTCCGTACGGAGTTCGATCTTCGCATGGGTCGATTGACGCTGATGCTGCCTGGCCGCTACTGCTCATCTCAAACTCATCTTAATGACCGCGAGGACGGGCCTGTGTCCTACAAACTGCCACATACCACTCCTTACGTGCGAGCGACATCATCGGTGCGCAAAAACGGGCCATTTGCGTCATGATGCTCGAGTTGTGACTTTTGTGCAGATCCCGCAGTTATAGGCATGCGCAGACGCGGAGGGGTACGGGGTGTATCCCATCCGATAACTCTGATTGTTCATACGCCTTGATCGCATTGCTCGCTGCTCAGTTGAAAGGTGGTTGCAACGTGCTGATTTCAGCGCTTCCGAGGTTACTCGCCTCGCATTCTCGATGCCGGTGGTGGGTAATTTCGTTACCCCATCATGACTTTCAAAAGTTCAAAAAGCTGGCTCCCCCCCAAAATCAAGTCAGTGTCGCGGCGCCTGACGCATCCGCTTGTGAAACGGACGCTCACTTCAATCAGAACGGGAGCCAGCTTTTTGTGAGGGTCTGGAATTCGTACAAGGCGTTGGTCTCAAGTTCCAACCTCGTCAGAGGCGCGAGTTCGAATCTCGCTTGCGTGCACTGAATACTATTTGGGTTCGTCGGTCCCAAAATTTTTCGGCGAAGGGATAAGGAGCAGTACAGAAATGGCCCATGGCTTGACTTTTAGTGGGTCGAAGACGATGGTACAGTAGAGTATCGCCTTGTCGGAGAACATCTATCTGATGATATGAGCGATGTTACGTTCCTGGCTCAAAGCAACATATCCTCACCTCGATCGTTCCGGATCTGGTCTCGGTGCCCTGAAGATCAGCGACGTGGAGTGCTTTCATCATTCCCATGGAGTCCAGTAGCTCGACGATTTGAAAACGATGCATGGCGACAGGTACAGATTGGTATTCGGAAGGAGCTGAGGTACTTTCCCTACTATTGAGTGTCTGCTGAGATCCGATTCGTTGTTGACGGCGACGCTAGCCAAGGATGGTGTAAGAGCGTCAGGGATATGCGCTGGAAATGAGGAGCAAAAAGGGTTTAGCTCGTTGGCGGATCTCACTCGAATGATACGGGCTTTGCTTGCCAAAGCCATGAAAAATGCAGGAACATCTTGGCATCCCTCAGCGTGTTGCAGATGCATCTCAACGCAGTCGGGACTTCATAACGGCATCGCGATGGAAAAGGAGGTGTTTGCGGGCCGAGAGGGGCGCTCAGACGGCGGAGATCAAGGCATTGAAGGCCTGCGTCAAGACTCATCGAAGACGAGAACAACCCAAACATATCTAGTCCAATGCTAATCCAAGTATTATGTCACCGTCTGCACCTCCCACATTCTGGCTTTCGAACTTTCGATTCGTTTCGGTGTGTGATGTGCATTCAGAGCTTGTGAACATTCATCAATTTGGCCTTCTTCATATCCTTTGCTTCGACTTTTCATAGAAGCATGGGCCCATTCGCACTTCGCAAACATTTTGGGCAGCAATGGGTCCCAACGGTGAAATATGTTTCTCAAGAAAATGTACAGATATTCAAGAACGACGTGAGATTTGTAACATACGCACGCTGCGTACGTTCAGCAGAGCGGGACTCCGCCACGCATGTAACCCACTCCGCGCCAATGCACATTCCATTCCCAACCCGCACTAATCCGCCGACTGCCTCCCAGCACTCCTCCCCCGCCTACAATTTCCACACATACGCGGCACATCCAACATCTTCTTCGCATACATCTTGATCTCCCCGCTGCTCACCGTGAAGCTTTGCTTGCACCGCGTGCATGTGTACGGGCCTTGGAGGGCGCGCCGGTCGGGGGTGAAGTACCAGTCGGGTTTGGGTTTTCGTTTGGGGGCGTCTGAGGGGGGTTCAGAGGGGGGAGGGGGCGGGGGTGGGAGGGTGAAGGGGCGGGCGTCGGGCCAGGGGGAGGAGGAGATGTTTGTGGGGTAGGTGTCGTTGTAGGGGCGGGGAGGGTCGTAGTGGGATGGTCGCGATGAGGATGGGTCGTCTCGGCGGTTGTTTGAGCGTGGGGAGGGGATGGCGCGGTTTAAGGGGCCGTCAGATTTGCCGCTGCTCGGGCGGCGGCCATCCCTGCTGTCCACACGAGCATCTCTGTCCAATGCCATCCTTCTATCCGCACCATTCCGGTAATCCCGACCATCCTCCTCACGCCGACCAGGACGATCATTATACCCGCCATCCCGCCCCGCACCAGGTCTCCTTCGTTGAGCCTCTCCCTCCGCATTCCCATTCACTTCGTCCCCGATCGTGCGCAACCCCCTCCTCTTTCTCTCCCGCTCATACTCCTCCGTAGCAGACTCCAGCAAATCAATCAACAAAACCTGTTTCCCACCCTTCGCGCTCTGCCCAAGCGCACAAACTTCACAGACAAGCGACCACAAGGCAAAGAGGTGGTTGTGCCAGTCGCGCGGGGAAATGTCGTCGTACGGCGGGTCCATCTGCCGTTTCTCGTCCGGGAACAGGGTCTCGAACGCAGCGATGTGGTCATCGAGGAGTGCGTCCCATTTCGGGTTTGGGTCGGCGTACACCTGCGCTTCGGGCCACTCGACGCGCTCCGTGTGGGTGTCCCAGATCGGGAAGATCTCTTTAACGGGGTGCGTGAAGCCCAAACGGTGGTAGAGGGCCTGCCGCAGCGGGCGCAGTGCGATATGCGGGTTCCCCAGCTTGCGAACAAGGGCGGAGGGTGCCCCGCGACGGTAGATCCCGCCGCGCATCTCGGTGAGGGTCGGCGAGACGCGGCGGATCTCGGGGACGGGGTCGAGGATCTCGCGCGGGGTCGGGCGTCGTTTGAATTTAACCGCTTTCGAGTCGTCCATTGTGATTCGCGGTAAGGCTCTGCTGTTTGGGTGCGGGACTTCGAGGCGGAGGTTTTTGCGGATGGTGTAGTTGCGGCGGGTGTAGCGCCAGAAATCGCCGTCGTTGCTGACGAGGATGGCTTTGTCGCGTTTGGCGAAGGCGGCGAGGGTGTCGTCGTTGTCGGCGCCGTAGGAGTAGATCACGTCGACGCCATGCTTTTTAAACGCCTCGCCGAGGATGACGGACAGGCCTTGTGGGATATTGCGGCGCTCTTGTGTGATCTCCACGGTGCGGCGATTGCGCCATTTGGCGTCAGCCTCGGCAGTCTGCGGGGTGCCGTCGATAAACACCACGGGGTCCCAGTGCCCGATATGGCAGGCTTTTACAAAGATACCGACGCGTTCGACGCCGCGCTGCCATGCCCAGTGGGGTATGCCCGTGAAGAAGAAGACATTGGTGGAGTAATTCAGGATATCCACGTACAGCTTTTTCCAGGGTCTCCGGGATTCAGACTGGCCAGGGCCGGTTGCCAACGTCTTCATTCCTTTTATCGATTGAATGATAGCTGTTGGTTCTGTATCAGCTATTATTGGCACCGGTTGCTCGCTTTCACTCGGGACGCTATTTGTTTCCGACAATTCGACCTTAGGTGTACTCTCGACAGGCGGAGGACTGCCAGCCTCGGATTTGATAGCCGATGATGGCGTCGTTCTATCCTTCTTCGATACAGGCGGTTTTGCTGGCCGCTGCCCTCTGCTACTCTTAGCCTTCCCTTCTACTTCATTGGGCGTATCGTGTGTTTCCGGTTGCGTGCGTGAGTCGGCTGCAAGAATTGTATCCGCCGCCGACGGTTCCAGAGTGGCATCGCCACTGGTCTCTGTGCTTTTCTCCGACCTGCCCTCTCCCTTCCGCGTTTCCTCGAGATCCTCCTTCTTCAACCTATGCGCACTATGAGAGCTGGAACTCCGATATGGGCCGCCGTTGCGAGACGCTTGCAAGTGATCTGCTAAATAAGACCCCAACGCTGGCTTCCTGAAAGTGGCGGCTCGTGCTCTACTTGGGTGCGGAGAGGATATCGACGCGTAGCTACGGCAGCTGGAGCACACCAAGGGACGAAGCTGGCGCTTCTGTGGGGCTGTTGCTAGGACGAACAGGAGGTGTGCTACGGCAGTTGCTCGGTTCACTCGCCGAGCGGGAGGCGACATGATACTGCGGGAGAGGACGGGCATCTGACCCGACAGCATATGGACTCCTCTCTGGCGTTGGGTCAACGTCGACGCTGTAGGTGTTCCAAGCAAGCGCCTGGGTGGGAGTGTCCGAGACGAGAGTGGAGAGGGGCGAGAGGAGCCAGGCGTGGCGCAGGTGTGGCTTGGTTGCGTGTCCAGTGAGTCACCCTGCTCACCCTCACCCTCATGGCAACCCTAACCCCTGGTGGGGGCCATTGCGGGCGGTTCGTTCGTCGTCTCCAGTCGCAGAAACGGCGTGGGAAAGTGGTCAATTTATGGGCATTTGAGCAGCTGGGAAGCGTACGCACAAGCAGCAGCAGCAGTAGGCGCTCGAAACGAGAGCCACCTCGCCGTAAAATATCATACGGTCAACTATTGGGAACTTTCCGCCCCGAAGTACTCGAAAAGCCCACTCCGCCATCCCACGATGCCTACCGTCAGCGTGGACGCAGAGCGCTATATCTTCAAGCCGCTCGGCAAGAAGTACGGTATGTTGAAGGAGGCCGTTGTCTGCTCAGACTGTCTTTGCTGAGTCTCACCTCCGTTCTGCGTTTCAGAGGTCCACGACTTTGAGGAATTGTGCTTCGAGTTTGGAATAGAATTGGACGAGGCCGTACGTAGATCACCTTCGGGCGCTGGGAGGGGAGGAGCTGCGGATGAAAGACTTATATCCGATGACTGCCATAGGTGACGGAAAGCGAACAGGCTGCGAAGGAGGGTGACAAGACGGAGGGACTCTCTGACAAGTTGCTATACAAGATCGACATTCCCGCCAATAGGTATGCATAGAGCCTTCGATAGGGTTCTTGATTGTGAACCTACTGAACGGCCGTCCCATTACACTCCGTAGATACGATCTGCTGTGCGGGGAGGGAATATCACGAGCGCTCAAGGCCTACCTCGGGCAGGAAGCACCTCCTGTCTACAAAGTCGTTCCTCCAGCAAATGGGAAACTGCAGCAACTCCACGTGAAGCCTGAGGTGAACTGTCTCAGTGAAGCCAGTTGTAATGCGAGAACTTTCTTCTGACATGTCATGCCGTTTCCTAGACCGGAGCGATCCGCCCTCATGTGGTTGCTGCCATCCTGCGCGACGTGACGCTGGATCAGGGAGCATACGACAGCTTCATCGAGTTGCAGGACAAGCTGCACAACAACATCTGCAGGTCAGTTCGGGGGGACTGGCTCCCAACTGGAATAGACGACCGCCTAACATCGGAGTATGTAGAAAGCGGACGTTAGTCGCCATCGGTACACATGACTTGGACACCATCCAAGGACCCTTCACATACGAGGCTCTCAAGCCCACGGACATCACCTTCACTCCCCTGAACCAGAAGAAGTCCATGAATGCGGAAGAGCTGATGAAGTTCTACGAGGTCGGTCAAATTACACCTCTATTGTTGCCAATATCTTCGAGGACTTTGCTCACGCTTCCTTGTTCCAGTCTGATCGCAAGCTCAGCAAGTTCCTGCATATTATTCGCGACGCCCCGCGATACCCCGTCATCTATGACAGCAAGCGCACCGTGCTCTCACTGCCACCGATCATTAACAGCGACCACTCGAAGATCAAGCTCTCCACAAAGAACATCTTCATCGAATGTACCGCTACGGACATCACCAAGGCAAAGATCGTGTTGAACACGGTTGTTGCCATGTTCTCGCAGTACTGCGCCAAGCCTTTCACGGTGGAACCCGTCGAAGTCACCAACGCCGACGGCAAGAAAGTGGTCTACCCCGACCTCGCCCCCCGCACGATGGACGCCGACGTGCACTACATCAACAGCCACATCGGCGTCAACCTCGAAGCCGACAAGATCGCCTCCCTGCTGACCAAAATGTCCCTCGGCGCCAAGGCCTCCGCGGACAAAAAGAGCATTACCGTCACCATCCCGCCCACGCGGAGCGATATCCTACATGCGTGCGATATCATGGAGGATGTGGCGATTGCGTATGGGTACAATAACATCACGGAGACGACCCCGCAGTTTGGCACAGTCGCTGTGCAGCTGCCGACGAACAAGCTGTCGGATCAGCTGAGGAGAGAGATTGCGCTGGCGGGGTACACGGAGGTTCTTACCTTCACATTGGTATGATGTCCCACTCTTTGAGGGGCTCCTGACGGTGTTTCGCAAACTCGTTTGGCCGGGTGCTCATCATTTCGTCTTCCATCTTTCCACGTGGCTCACAGTGCTCACACGATGAGAACTTCGCATGGCTCAAGAAGGAGGACAACGGCGAGGCTGTCAAGCTCTCCAACCCTAAGAGTATCGAATACCAGGTACGTTCTCAAATGCCGCCACACCCATCTCCTACCGTAGGCCTTTTTCTCAACTCCCTCCCCTCTCCCCTCACCCAGGTCGTCCGCACCAGCCTCCTCCCCGGCATCCTCAAGACCATCAACGCCAACCAACACTTCCCGCGCCCCATCCGCCTCTTCGAAGTCTCTGATGTCGTCTTCAAGGACGACTCCCCGCAGTACGACCGCCGGTCCCGCAACCAGCGCAACGTCGTCGCCCTCTACAGCGGCGCCACGTCGGGCTTTGAAGCGGTGCATGGATTGCTGGATCGGATGATGATGAAGTTGGGTGTGTCGCTGGTGTCGCAGGGGGATAAGGAGGGTTATTATATCAAGGAGTCTGAGAGTAAGTTGCAATCAACAAGTGTGATTCCCAAACCCGAGGCAGTGAAGCCCGCCTAACCGCCTTTATTTTTCTGGCCAAACAGACCCAACCTTCTTCCCCGGCCGCCGCGCCGACATCTTCTTCAACAACACCACAATCGGCTCCTTCGGAATCGTGCACCCCGAAGTCCTTGCTCGCTTCGACATTCATTTCCCGTGTACGGCGCTCGAGTTCAATCTGGAGCCGATCGTTTGAACATAGCTGCGCACACACTTCTGAATGGGAGGGTTGCATAGACGGACTCGTAACCTTCACCGAACTCGTCGATCCAGCACAAACGCATATGTACTCCTGCTCACGCCATCATGTACCCTTCCATATATACATGACATATTACATCTGTACACATGGGTCACTTGAACATGATTTTTTTTCGCTTGATGAGCCTTCTCAACGAACCATGTACACGTGCTACCCAGCGAACGCTCAGCTTATTTCGCTCGAAGCTAGCAGGGGATTGCTGTCGTAATGCTGTCAATTGACGGAGAAGCATTGAACGCAGTCAAGGAATCAACTCGGCTGAGAAGAGGCAAGAGTTGGAACCTTGAATTCCGTTTGGCTGATCCGTCCAGTACCAGGGCATCCGCTACAGACAAACCTGACTACACATCGAATGTCTTCGTTCTACATATCGCCTTTGTGTGGTGTACGTCATGGCTCCAACTGAGGCCGGTGCAAGAAAACATAGTTGTTGTGTTGCAAACAAGCCGCTACGAAGGCCTTGTTACTTGAAATACAATCGAGTGCGAGCCCAGATGGATGATCAAATGGCCAGATTATCAGAGCAGGTCCAGCCACATTACCTTCCAAACCTCGAAAGGCAACCTAGCTGCAGTCTTTGCGGGAGGCTTTGATGGGGTTGGCTTCGATGCAGCCTGCGATGGGCTTCTGTGGCGTTGTAACACGGCTGGCTTCGGAGGAGCAGCGCCTTGACCTAAACTCGCTGGCGGCGAGTGTGATGGCTTGTTGACTATGCTTGGTTGGGACTCGGGGACTGAATTGGCGTGGGGGTGTGGGGGCGGCGGCGGTTAATGCCCGCTGCCTAGCCATCTCAACCCCGCACTCTGCCTCAAAGAGTGCAGAGTTCTTCAACTGGGTCCATTTAGGAATCTTGGGTACCCAGGGGGACGTAGATGAGAGGCATTGTTTCCAGTTTTGTCACGATGTCCATTGACTGGAAGCGTGGAGGTGCAGAGGTCGTACGCTGATACAAGGGCTTGGATGGTGCCCATTGCGGTACAGCTACGCACAATCCGGGCGGGTCACGCTGAGGGGAGGTGCACTAGAAAGACGACAGGAGTGGAGATGGTCAATCCGTCCTGAGATTTGAGCGCCTTGAGGATGGTCGCCCTGTCAGAAGCGATGGCGGTCTCCATCACGCCAACGGCGCACTTGTCATCATTGACATCGGGAGCAACAGTAGTATGAACAAAAAACAAAGAAGGAAAAAGACAACACCACTGCCCGGGCCTCTAGTGCATCGTGATAGGAGAGAGATGTTAGCCGGTGGCACAACCGTAAAGATCTCAGCAATTCACCACCGTGGTACTCACGTTCAAAAGCGCCTAGCGCCTACGCTCGGAGCCCCAGGGCACGGCCCCGCAGGGATACCCGTCATCGCTTCCGCCATCGTGGGCGGCCACACACAGGCAGCCCCACCCCCTGATTATGGAAATGAGAGGAAACAGATGCAGTTAGAAGAAATCCATGTGATTCGAAGAGGATGTGAACAGTGATTCAACTTACCCGAACGCCAGCACCCGCAAAGAAGAAGGCAACCCGTTCCTCCAGCACGCGCGCCGCTGTTGCGGTGGGCGCAGCGCGCTGTTGCTGAGGGGGGGGGGGGGGGGGGGGGGGGGAGGGGGGGGTTGCTGGTGAGGGGGGGTGGTGTCGCTGGTGGGGAATTGATGGGTGGCGGGTGTGGGCAACTGTTCTGTTGGTCTACGGTGGTGGTAGTGGCATTGGTAATGCGCACATGGTGTTCTCGATGAAAGGTTCAAGGTTCGCCTGAAAAAACTCGTCTCGGTCAATGAGTTCCTCTGGGCATACTAGGCGTCGGCGGTGATGACCAGGTCATTTGCATGGACGAATTTGTCTCGGTACTGATACTGTTCCGCCATCCGCTTGAGGGAAGCCCCCACTTCGTAATATCGATTCGCGCACGACCGCTGCTTGGGCCTGGGATGGGATTGGGGCTCTCGCTTATGCGAAGAGTTGGCGAACTGACCGGGTATTGTGACCATGGCTTCGTTATTTGGCTCGTTCTGGAGTTGGACGGTGAAATGATGAGCAGCCATGCTACTATGTGCAGGCCCAGATTGTCTTCAGCGGATGTCGGTTCTGGGATTCCGACCAAGATGGACGTCCTCATCTAGCTGATGGCGCGTTCGTGTGTCCAGGACCTCGACGTCGATACTGCCACCAATGCAGGGGCCACCAGTTATGGTAGGATAGGAATGCTTGTTCATTCGAGGCCGAGTGTTTTCATGGTCCCTGACGCATCCAGGTTTTCCAGCGGAAGTCCCTTCGGATGACAATTCAGAGTCTTCATCTTACATGTCTTCGTTCATACCGCGACCCGGGGAGGGGCTACTGTAGAACGTATTCGTTCGCTCTTCCGCCACCTGCTTGGTATGAATCGACAGAGTCGTTGCCATGGTTTCGGTCGAAAGAGATATGAGCATCGGCGGGCGCCCTTCCCAGGTTTCCAATGTCCTCCCAATCTTTCTCATCTAAAAGTAACTGCAGATCTGCCTGCCTCCAAATGCCAGTTCTTTTCCCGGTGAGGATGTAGGCTTCGACCATGACAAAATGGCACCCTCTCATCAGGTCCCGAGTAAAGCCGGTGCCGGCGCCGTAGTGCCGTACTGTGGTGGAAAAGCGCGCCAGCCCGGTCTCAAGGTGCCTGTAGGATCCCTAAAGATCCTCGTCCTTCAGGTTCTCGCTTTGTGGATGACCTCTATTCGGTGCCGACCCCCTCGTCCGGTCCGCTTGGGAGATGATGTGGGAACGGCAGCTCGGTGCAGAAGCTGACACATGCGTTCAAAACTGCTCTCATGTAGTATGATGATTACATAGTCTGCAATCTCTCTTCCAGGTATCGTCAAAGAGGTGTACATAAGATTGATCATAACCTCTTTGTCCTTCTGCTGGGTTGCTAAGGTCGGTATAGGACTTCTACTGCCTTTGCATAGCCCAAGTCTTTCGCCCACTCGGAGGCTTCCGAGGTCAGATTGAAGCCTTCGTCGTCGTTCAGGTCCTGCGTGACATCTTCGTTGCAACGGGTCAGCGTCGCTGTGATACGACCACTGTCTTCTGCACTTGTTGTTCTGCCCGAGCTGCTTTTAGGTGAATAGCCAGACAATCCGCACGCGATCCTATTGATGCGATCCTCACTGGCGGTGCACACGCAGTCAAGTAGGAATTCAACCGTGTGTGCACCGTCAGAGATCATCCAAATGTCTCCTCGCGTGGAGTGCCGACATCGATACAGCGCCTCGACCGTGGACGGAAGGAGGAGATTGCTGAGCACCAGGTGTGGGTGCTGACCCGCCGATGCCCGACCCGCCAGGAACTTCTGCGCCGACAGTACTCTTTCGAATCGGGCTCCCGGAACTGGAGTCAGCAGTACGGCCGGCCGCCATCAACGCACGAGGGCCACCAACAGCAGGTGGAGTGGAGTTCGGAGTACTGATTTCACTTATCCTTCACGACTCTCCGACGGTTGATCCGGCCATTGATGTACTCGTCGTACGCCCTTGGCCAAAGGCCGACAGAACAAGAGGTCACGCTTGTTTAGATCAATGCTGACGATGTTTGGAGCCTCCCTTAGTTCGGCGATGTGGTGCTCAAAATACAGCTGCTCGACTTCTTCCCGCATTTCAGCCTTGCTGCGCTTCCGCGCCCGATAGCCATACTTGAGCCCTGGCTTCTTGAAGTGGATGGTAACGGAATACCCGTTTGTGCTGATTGATCCATCAAACTTGAGACCAAGCTTCTTTCGATGCTTGAAAACCTTGTCCTACAATCCGTCATTCAGCGAGGTGACTATAGACTACCGTGCTTCCGCTGGTCATGGTAGTGCTTTACTCATGTTCATCTCCGAATGTTGACCCGAGTTTCAGATAGTCCACGCAGCTCGGCTGATGTCCCTTGAGCTTTGGGTTGTGATAGGGTTCGGATGCGCTCGGTTTCTTTCATAGGCGGCGACCCATCCGAAGTACTCTGTAAAGGCGATCTGGAGCACGTCGCTGGACTTCGTTCTCAAGGACACTCACTTAGGAAATATGTCCTTCGGCGGTGCCGAATGCGAAAGTCCTTGAGGAGACCAAGTTCCATTGTTGTTATGCTTTGGCAACGATGACGGAAAGCAGCTAGGGTCTCCAGAGAGTGGCGGGCGTACTGGGTTCCCAGGACGACTTCGACGGCAACGAACATCCACATCCCCGAATGCCTTCACACTTGACGGCGGCGCATCGAAGGCGAATGCCTTCACACTTGACGGCGGCGCATCGAAGGCCGAATAATCTGCTTCTCGAGTTCGAAACGTTCATGCTCGCTATCAGTTCGATTACGCCGGGCTGTTTGTTCTGTGTCCAGTACAGAACTGCTGACTCTATTCCGATAGTCTGCTCCTTTCCAAACACGGCCCGCTTCTTGTTCCCACAGCAAAGAGATCGCGACTGCGCCACTCCCATTCTTCGTTTATGGGCTGCACTCCGAACTACGTCTATTCACAACCTCTTCCGAAGATTACCGTGGGAATAGGTCTAGCGAATCGCGGGGCATACGCAACCACTTAACCAAAACGTCTAGTTTCATTGACCAGTAGTGACCAAAAGGCAAGGCTCCATGACCTGAGGCGTGGACTTGCAGCCTGCGAAACATCAATGAGCTAGGCGTGTGAGCGTGAGGTTAAAGGGGGGGCGCCGGGATGGCGCCAATAATCCTTTTGCCCAGCCTCGCTTTTTCTTTTTGCTTCCGTTCTTATTTTGTTTTTAGGAACCACGGCATATATCTGTCTGCCATATCTTCATCTTGAGGTGGGGGCGTAGAGACTTCTTCCTCTCTATCTCGAAAGGATCTTCCATTGGCCGTGCAGCCTTGTGTCGCAGGACACCACCAAACAGGTTCTCCATCCAGTCGCCCTCCTCCGCCGCTGGATCGCGTCCAGGGCAGCTGAACGTAGGGGAGGGTGACCGGATGTGCAAAGTCGTGCGTTATCGTCACAAGTGCTCGTTCGGAGAGTGATATGATTGCCGGGTCGCTAAATGTCCTTAATGGAGGCAAGATCATTACGTTTGTGGTCGGAAGTCCCGTCGACAGTGCTTCCCATTCCGGGCTGTCTTTGGTGCACTCGCCCGGTTTGTCCTGCCTGCGGCGCTTGTCCCTCTGTGTGTGTGTGTGCCGCTGTCGCTGTTGTCGATGCCTGCGGTTCTCCGCTTCCGCTCGCCGCCCAGCAGCATGTTGGCGGACGGTGTCTTCGTTGGGCGTTTGCGCGAAGGGAACACGAACAGGCACAACGTGGGCTCCAGCAACAAACGGCGACGAGACAACGGGAAGCACGACGGTGGGCAGGTCATGCGCAACCAGAGGGGCAACCGCCGTCCGGGTATTTATAGAGGTGGTGGTGGCCTGCCACCTGCTCCGCCTCCCATCCCACGCTCTTGTGCAGTCATCGTCACTTCACCCTACCATCTCCAAAGCGAGCCATAGGCCATTTTCAAAATGGTCGACACACCACTCAACCCCCACATCACAACCCTCCCCCTAACAAAAGCCCACATCCACACCGCCCTCACCCTCCTCACCGCCCAATTCGCACACTCCTCCACGCCGCACGATCTCGAACTCTTCGGCTTCCTCGCGCAACGATACGGCGCTTCCGAGCCCGATGCCACCAGCAGCACCGGGTCCCTAATCGTCGTTACCGGCAAATCAATTGATACAACGGACGGCGGCTGGGGAGACACGTTAGCGCAAACGGATGTGTTTGCGGTGGGGACGATGACTGTGAGTCCCGATCAATCGAGCTCGCCCCAAACGCGGTTATGGGTCCGCAGCGACCTCGTAGCAGAGTCCAGCATGGCGCTGTGGAAAGCCCTCGTGGGGACATTCGCCGCCCTCGCACCCACATTCCCTGCCTGGACGACACCCCCATCCGACGAGACCGAACAGGGCATTTTTAGCGTACAGGGCATCGAATCCCGTGCGTGGGAGTTGATGAAACCGTACTTGAATGTTAGGTGGGAGTCTCATCCGTACCCGCTGTGGACGCTTAGCGGACCGTTGGGACCCGAGAAGCTGGGGGAGGAAAGTTGGAAGGATGGGGAGGATGGGTTTGTGTTTGATGAGTTGACGGTGGAGGATATCGATCAGGTATGTCCACGGCGAGAATTCCGTCTTTTCTGATCTCATGTCCAGCAATCTCACCATCCCCCTACGAGTCCAGGTCCTCTCCTGCTCCACAATCGGCGTCGGGCCCCCTTACCTCACGCACCTCCTCATCACGCCCCCCCTTTCCACCTTCACCTCCGTCATCCGCCACACCTCGCCCACAACACCCACCCACCCCATCTCCTGGTCCCTCACCCACGCCGGCCTCGCCGTCGCCCTCGTCGGCACCATCGACGCGTTCAAAGGCAAGGGTCTGGCCGGCAAATGCGTCGCGAGGGTATGTGAGAAACACACGCAATTTCTTGCACGGGTGATGAGGGAGGTACGACCCGGGGAGGAGACTATCAAGACGATTGTGCCGTTTGCGTATATTGATAAAGTGAATGTTGGGAGTCAGAAGATGATGGGGAGGGTTGGGTTCAAGAGGGTCGAGGGGGTTGAAAGTGTTTGGGCGGAAGTTGGCGGGTTGTCGGGGTAGAGAGGTAGAGTGTAGATTGAAGCGCGGGGAAACGGTCATCGTGTAGGATTAGAATAGCGTGTGAGGACGTTCACATTTGGTACGGACTTATGTATCATGTATTATTGGGCCTTTCAATGCTCCTTAGATGGGTTGAGATCGTTGCATTCGTTTTTTCGTTGTTGAGGACATGGAGTGCTGAAAATGAACGTTCACGGTTCGAATTATTCCAACCGTGAAGGTTGGCATGAGGGTGAAACGCCTGGCATATTGACGACTTTGAGTTGTTCGTAGTGCTGTCACTGATGATGGTCCTTCGGTGCAATATTAGTTTCAGTTTTCCATAGCGCATGTACCGTTTGCTTCGGGCATCGCATCAAGTCTGACTTTCCAAAGCGGACCTGCCCAATGAGACACAAGAAGACACATGTTCGTTCAAATACATTTATTCTCAGGATATCAACATAGCAAAGAAGATGCGAACCATATAAACAGCAAGGGGAGTCAAAATGCATGTGCACAACACCGCAGGTCTCAGAAGATATCAACCGATGCACAAACATCTACTCTCCATCCCCTGCACCAAATATCTACCTCCACCACCCCCTACCAGCCTGCTTAACGTTTTCGACCGCCTCGCCGGCCTTATACTGCGCATAATCCTTCGCCCCATACGCCCTGTTCCCCAAACTCTCGCCATCGCTCGCTCCCTCCTGTCCACCTCTCAAATCCTCAGCGACCTCATGGGCCTTGAACTGCGCGTAATCCTTCGCGCCGGCGATTTTCTGGCCGAGGGTGTCGCCCGACGACGACGAAGACTCAGCGGAGGAGGTTCCCGAGGGGTGGCTATGAGCCGGGGCAACACCGGCGAGGGCTTTAGCCGACGCGTAGGCGAGCAGGTCTTCGTCTTGGCCGGGCTCGAGCGAGGGGTCGTCGCCCAACGAAGACGCAAACGATGTGCTGGGGAGGGTGCCTGAGGGGTGGCTGTGGGCCCACGCGACGCCGCCGAGGGCCTTGGCCGACGCGTAGGCGAGCAGGTCTTCGTCTTGGCCGGGCTCGAGCGAGGCGTCTGGGAACGGCGCTTCGGCTTCGCTGGAGCGGGCGGAGGCGCGGAGCGAGGAGAAGTAGGACATTCCTTGATGCGTTTCGACGGGTGTTGGGCTTTTGGAACTTTCGGCGCGAGATGATGGGGTTGAGAAGGGTGAAGAAGAGGGTATTGTGTTAGGACGAAGCTGGGTTTCGCCAGAAACTTCAACGCTCGCGAAAATCCCCGGCGCCGGGCGGGATGGATCATACGCTAACTAAAAAGACTGTGTGCGCCCCCCCTACCTATCAAGCTGTGTGTATTAACCGAGACCAAAAACGATTTGCGAGCGACGGCCTACCAAGGCAAGCAAACAGGTTAGATACTCAAGCTTGAGATACGTGTACATGCTCGGGTACAGAGTCGCCTAGAGCCATACGAAGGGAATCCTCGATCCCTCGCACTATAAGCACGACCGGAACCTCCACCCGGGAACGGGCGCAACACCCGTTAAAACCCTCTCGATCTCCCTTATTGACGGGAACTCATTGCCTTTTTGCATCTCCACATCGCTCGCAACCACTCACTTTCTCCGACGAGCGTGGATCAGTGTATAAGCTGCCGAGGAGGTGTTTCTGAAGTTTCCCAACGAGGTTTATTGATGCTGTGAAAACGTCTCGGCCAACTTGAGGCCGACGGGGGTTTTACCTCTCCCCTTTTATGCCATTCTTCCCGGACCCAACGCCGCGTTGACACGGCAATGACATTATTGGATTCCGAGTCCCTTGATGTCATGGCATGTGGTCTGGGCGGAGGGTGGGCGGGGGCGGGGGGGGTTGGGAATGGACGTGGGATGAGATGAATGGGGAGCCCTGAATTGCGAGTTGGGAAATGGGGGGGCGTGACGCGCTGTCGTATTCCCGTCGAGTGTGGCTTCCGCCAGTGGCATCCACCCGTCTCTCAGGATGGAATGTCCCAGAAATGTCCCTATCCAGCAAGCCAAACAGATGATACCATGGGAAGTCAAGCCGACCAGCAGATGCAAAGGCTCCTGCTTCCTAACCAGGGACGTTGATTCCCGCGCTCTAACTTAAGCCGGACCTCAGCGACGAGAAAGAAGAGACGATGCGATATCCATTTGAGAATGGTATTCTAAACCAAGCTGTTCCGCTCTGCGCCTGTATTCGTTTGGAAGGACTTACCAGCTACGTTCTGCGTCGCTCATTGGTTGTGGGTAGCGTAGGCTCGGCTGGACATCTACCACTTTCGCATGCCCCTGTGTAGGGATACATACCTCGAAAGAAGACCGTACAAACCGTCGGGGAGATAATCAAGGAAGATGATCATGGCGCTCGGAAAAGGAAAAGGAAGGGGTACCGCTTTGGAACATCCGCTCTTCCACTGGGGACGGGAAGACAGGGACACAATCAGTGGCGGAATCAAGAAGCCAATCCAAAAAAAAGGCTGGATGATTTCCCCGGCTCGACTGCTGTTGGTACCATACCGTCTGTTTTCCTTCTTGACCACTGAAGCTGGATACTGAGTCTCGATCTTCTCGGTCTCCGGAAAACATTTTCTTCCTCGACTCGATGTCAACAAGCTCTCTACGATGAATTCCGAAGAAGCATGGCACAGACATTCTGCAGGTGGTCGTCTGGACCAGTGGACGATGCACTCAGAGACTTCAGGCTCTTCATCACGCACTGAGAAGACAGAGGGTGCGATATCTGTAGGGGATTCCGTTCAATCTACCGCCCAAGCCGAGGACGGTATCCGTCAAGATCACTTTGATCGCACCACCCGGTGAAATGGCGTCTCATGCTGTCCCGTTGTTCAGTCTGGAGCAAATCGGAGGATCAAGCCTGCCGCTACGATTGTGGGTGATGGCCTCAGTCGGGCCGGTCATCGCCTTTGTTAATTCTCGGCAAATGCACTGAATGTGACGATCTATCGACACATGGTCAGGGAGAGCGGCGGTCCCCGCACCAAGTCCGAACCGCTTTTCAAATGGGCGCCAGGTCTCAGCGGTCGGTACGGACACCATACTTGAGGTGGAATTTGGACGGTGGTTACCGCTGCGGGCCCGTCGATGTCCAAATCGATTGAAATCTAGTTGCATGCAGGGGTCACAGGCTGCTGAAGTGTTTCTACCTGTATATATATTTCTGCAGTCTTCAGCTCGTTGTGATTTATGTACACTAGCTACCTCTACGCCCAAAACCGCTACTGTACTGTGAGATTTTCCCAACTCCCTTCTCTCCCGATGGCGAACATGCTTTCTCGTCTAGAACGTATCCCCACACTTCTCCACAACCTTCGCAGTAACCTCCTGAAACACAGGATACAGCGCCGACTGCGTAAACCGGGAACTGAACGTCCCTCCCTCGGCTTCTATCAGCGTTGTCAAGCCGGGGTCGATGGGCACCCGGCCCAGGAATGCGACATTGAATTCTTTGGCCATTGCTTCGCCGCCGCCTTTCGAGAAGAGGTCCGTGCATTCCTGTAGGGGATAGAAACAGGTCAGGAATGAAAACATTATATTGATGGATGAACGTCGACGGGGATGTCGATGGATGCCGGTGGATGCTCGGATGGATGCTCGATGAGTGGTGAGGAGCGGGAGCTGCTCGCTTCGCTCGCAAAAAGTGCAACGCTCGCCGGTGCTGGGTAAGAGCTGCAGAGTGATGGACTTATTGCCGTTCCGGCGCAATGTGGCTCGCTACGCTCGCTATCGCTCGGGCTGCCATCGCAGATCCAGACCGCTCGCTTGGCTCGCACTTCACTTCACTGCGTTCCATCCTCACTGACCCCCGGTGTGATAGTGGGGTCACTTCGTTCGCAAAACATACCGTGCAATGAGGACAAATGAATCCACTCATATTTTCCACGACCCCAATAATCGGAATCCCAACCTTCCCGCAAAAGTTCAACTCCTTCCTCACATCCGACAACGCCACCGCCTGCGGGGTCGTCACAATCACCGCCCCATCCGGCTTATAATTCCTCAAGTTCTCCGCCACCGAGATATGCTCATCCGACGTGCCCGGCGGCGTGTCTATGAGGAGGTAGTCGAGCTCGCCCCAGGCGACGTCTTCGAGGAACTGCTTGATCATGGCGGTCTTTTTTGGCCCGCGCCAGATCACGGCGTCGTCTTTGTTGGGGAGGAGGAAGCCGAGGGACATGACGGCGAGACGTTTGGTTTCATCGGTGTAGACAGGGACCCAGCTGCGAACGAGAATAACGAGTGAGAAGTCGCGCGACGAGGCTGTTGGCCAGGTGTATGATCCGCAATCCTGGGCCTCCGGCCCGATAGGCTCGGTCTTGCTTTGCAGTCCTCAAGCAATCCTAGGTCTACGGCCCAGTCCTCAAGCATCCCTGGGCCTCGCTTTGCTCGGTGAACACCCCGGTTCGGTTGGCGAACACCCCGCTTCGCTCGCCATACATACCCATTGGAAGCCTGATGCACCATAGCGTCCTCCAATCCAAACATCCTCGGGATACTGGGCCCGGTCAAGTCAATATCCAGCACGCCGACCCTCTTCCCGTGCTCCGCGAGTGTTAGTGCGAGTTCGGTTGTGACAGAAGATTTGCCGACGCCGCCTTTTCCGGACAGAACGAGGACTATGTGTTTGACGCCCGAGAGGGAGGATGAGGGGAGTTCGGCGGCCATTGTTGTGGGGAGGTTTGTGGAAAGTGTAGATGGGGCTGGGGTGGGATGTGGTTTTGTGTTTTGTCCAACGGGATTTGTCACCAAAGCCCACAGCGGGACAGAGACTTGCGCGACAAAGAGCAATCCGCCCTGCCAGCGAGCGACACAAACACAAACAGCGTCGGTCGGACTGGGAATCAACCCTTCTTCACCTCATCGCAGGCCAAACCACCCCTCTTCATCTCACCTCCCCCGGGAAAATCACCCAAACACCTGCGACCTTTCGTTTTGCATTTCAACGCAGGCGGAAGCCAGGGAGGCCGATCGCATTTCTTCAACCAGCTGGATCTAAGGGGATAGAGGCGGGTTTCAGGGAGCCTACTATGCGCAATGTCTACATGGAGTACCCTGACCTCTTCGATGTACCATTCACTGCAATTTTGGAGCAGCCCTCAGAGGCGCCCTCAGAGGCGCATACCTCTCCTCAAATGAACGGCAGCGTGTGTCTTGCAGGGATGGGAAGCCGAGCTCCGCTCCGCGCGCACGAGCTGAAGCTGAAGTCGGAGCGATCACAATCGAACAAGGAATCGGCGGTCTTGCGTCTTGCGGGAACTGGAGCCGCATGAAGCATGTCGGATTGTAGTCTGTGATCGACTCATTGTTGAAGGAAAGGACCCATCTACTCAGGAACTCGCTGCATGGGCGTCAAGAACATTGTCGAAATAATGCAGTGGAGCCTTCTGAAGGCAAGGTGTCTCAGAACGGAAAGGTAGCCTCGAGCGGTCTGCCGCCACAGCGGACATATGGAAGACGCCGTCTTTTTCCGGGACATACCACGCGCCATCGACAGCCGGCATGCGATGGGTTTCTCGGGAAAGATGTGCATAGCGCACTGCTGCAGCGCCTGTTGCCCCGTCGAAACCTGCCCACAACTTTGATAGTGGATGGTGGGAAGTTCGGGTGGAGCGGAGTTTTAGTGACTGCAGACCATCCGTTGGGACTTGCGACCTGCCGAAAGGCTGAGGAATCCGAATACTAAAGAGAGGCTGCGGAACGCCCCACGTAAGGGGCACTTGGTGTTCCGGAGCAGAAAAGTATGGTGTGCCAACCCTGTCGTTATGAGGCATTGAGGACGTTACCTGAGGACGCTTCACGTCCTGAGCACGTAACCACATACGTCCACCAGACGTGGAACGTCCAGTGGCAAAAAGGCACGATTGCAGATCGAGTTGACCAAAACACGCGTTCGTCAACCCTGAAGACCCTCACCGCTGCGGTGCCTTTCTTCCTTGTTCCCACGCATCTTCGCTTCGGACATTACGCAGAATTCGAAACGCGTACCTCTCTCATCTCATTGAACTATGCGGTCGCCGTTCATTGAGAAGCTACCGTCGTAGGCTGTGCGTTGTGCTGTGGTATATCTACTCCTGCGGTCGCTGGCTTACCCAAAACACCGTACGGTAGAGAGGCAGTGCGTGCTGAGCTCGCCCATGTCCGACATCTCATCCTCTCTGGCTATAGCACTGCACACGGTTTAGCAGAGAGCAATTCTTGAAGTACACGTACTCGGACGCCACGAGCATGCTGATGGACGAGGAGACGATGCTTCCTGGTTCCCGAGTCGGTGATCCAGCCGAGTCTTGGATCCCGGCAGATGAGTTGCCGCGTTTTGGAGTAGAGAGTTCTTCTATAAGCTGCTTGGCATGCACGAGGAGTTTGGGAAAAAGAAGGAGAGAAATCCAGCGACACATCGGCACCCGAAAACATTTGGAAAACGTACTGGTGCATGTGAATGAGATTCGTACCTCGGTTATGCCTAACTCGGAGAATCATGTCCACGGAGTCCCATTCAACGAGCCCGATCCGAGCGGCCTCTTCAACTTCCTGGGATCTTCACAGTCAGATCTCTGCGACAGAGCGTCAGTACTAGTAGAACCAATCCCAGACATGACGGAAGAACAACAACATCCGATGGCCAGCAACGAATCAGTCAATGCGTTGAATGATCTGGATGATCCTCTCCTCCGCATCCTGGATAACATTGAGGTGGACTCGGCTTTTGCTCGACATCTCCAGAGTCTTTCGGTTACCGATGCACCACTGCACCTCCATTTGATGAACACAGGCCATGCAACGGATGCCACAATGGACACTTTTTGATTTCCATTCCCAGTCAATCAAACGCCAGTTACAATCACGGCCACTGTTTTCATTAATCTCCCCCGATGTACTGTATGTTTATGCAAAGGCAGGCAGCGCAACCATCCCTCCCCGCCATCGCAGAACTTAATGTTAGGGTTATCAACAGGTTTCTGGCATGCATGTCCGCCTAGTGCTTTTCGACACAGCGTTAAAAAATGGCGGTATGGTTTTAAAAGATACATCATGAGGGATAAATGAGCGACTGTACATGTAGTGAAACCCACAATGATGAGGTTGAACTAGACTACGAAGATTATTTGAACCTTGGCAGCGACAATTAATTGTGACGCATCTGCAGGACCAAAGTCGAAGAAGACCCCCCGATCCAGCGTCTTTTCGGAGGTGCCGCAACCGGCGTTGATTTGCCCATCGTGTGAACGTTGCATGAGTGGGTCCTGCGTCCATTCGCCAGTTACATCACTCTTCTCCATCTGTCGCATCTTCACGTCGTTAATTCGCTTGCGGTCTCAGTGTGGGCGGGGTCGGCGGTCAAAACCTCATCGTACATCGCGCGCACGCGCGCCGCAATTGACTCCAAATGGAATCCGTCGACGCTGCCTGAGGAGGGCGGCCTCCTTCTCCAGGCGGAGAATCCGCGCTTCCCTCGAGGTGTCCCTCGCAGCTTCCCTTGCGGCGCTCTCGGCGGCTGCCTCCTAGGCGGGCGAACCGCGCTGCATTGGCCTGGTTTTCAGCTTCCAGTTCCGCAAGCTTCTCCAGCACTTGGTTGCCAATGGATGGTGCGCTGAGGGGAGTTGTGGTCGGGCCGTCAGACTTGGTCCGGCAACGCTTAGGGAGTCGCCCGCGAGGAAGGAGCGGTGGCGGACCACGCCGGAGGGGCAACACTAGGAGCCAGGCATTGCACTTATGTCAAGAATAATTTCGACCGACGAGGAAGCAGTAGCGGCCGCGGACGAGGACGAGGCGGGCGGACTTTTGCATTTTGATCTGCGAACTGGGTGAAGATGGTATGATGATAGGTTGTCGGGTACTGGAGTGTGGGGTGTCGTCGGGCTGAGTCGCTTGCCATATTCCAGTACCCTTGACCACCCCTCCATGGTCTTGTCCGAGGAGCCGCCACCGGGATTGATTTGGGTTCGCGGACCAGAAAGCGGAGGCAAAAATAGGTAGTCAAATGTGAAAGGAGGAGAAAAGAAAAGGTAGGCAATACATCAGTAACTTGTTACGGGGCTGGCAATGCGGCACAAGGTCACAGATTGCGGAAAGAGGCCCCCGCCATTCCACTACTAACTTGGCGAAACCAAGAGAGCACAACCGCAATTCCCTACAGGTCCGTAGACAGTAGCTCGGAAATCACGGAAGAGTAAGGACCCGTTTGCAGTGCCTCGGCCAGCCCTTCAGGCGCATAACATACGCCTTTCAAGCAAACCTGACAAGCCAAACCGCAGTCCAGACTTCATGAAACAGCAGGGCTAAAATTAACCTCCAGCGGAGTTGCAAGAACTCCAGTGTGGCTATAAAGTCAGGGATGCACGTTGATCCAGGCTACCCCACCATCCCCCGATATATACGCATACGCCCCTCCTCTGAACGTATAACACCTTGCCAAGGCGGATGTGGAATCCAATATCGGAGGGGCCTAAGCTCCCTGGTTCTGCCAAAGCAGAAACGCAGGAGCAAAGGACCGGAAGTGCCTGTGTGAACAGGCACCCCCAGGCTTGACCCGGGACGCCATCCACCTTTACCAATGGGGAAAACACATGCGCTGGGAGTTTGGGAGAGATCACACTCACCTGCGATCACAAAAGGAGACGGCCTCGCAGCCGGCCGCCGGTGGGGTCGATGGGACCAACGTGAGTGTAACGTGAGTGTTCTTGCAGGCGCAAAAAATCCGGGGGGAGCTTGGGGCATGACTTGGGAGAGCTGAGAGCCTGTGGGACGTGCGAATTGGCTCTCGTTTGCATCGCCACTACCCGCTGGGGTGATGGGTCAAGCGCTATGGGAAAGGGAACAATTCAGACGGCCGCAGTCTCGAAATCGTACGATGAGTGTGGGAAAAGAGACCGTACTTACGTCCATAGTTGTAGTTGAGTATGCAGCGAGGTAGAGATATGCGAGACAGCAAATAGTTTAGCAAGTGATGGTGCTGTAGCGATGCGAGCGGGGATCTCTGGTGGGAATTGAAGGGAGACCTGGATGTCTGGAAGGGTGAGTTGGCGCGTGTAACTTCCCTATACCGATTATAAGAGACAGTCCGTGGACACGCGCCCGCTTTCGGTCGATCGGCACTGGACAGCCCACTCTATGCTGCTGATCACCCATACTGTACACTGTATTCAAGTCCTGCACTTACAAGTATGCTGTACCTGTATCTACTGCGCTAAATCAAAGCTGGACATGATGAAAATCCACTGCCCCCGAGTCCGAGTCCCCGACGCTGTCACGCAGCGTAAAATGCATGCATGGTTTCTGCGCAATCAAGCTTATGTGAGACGCGTCGAAACTGAGGCGACTGAGTTCCCATTCCCAAGTAGCCCGAGTCGACTAGGCCCCAACATGTGCTTCCTTGTATCTCATCTTCGCCCGACATACTGATTTGTCCAAGATCCGTTGTTTGCTCTGCATTTGTGACAATATCAATCTAAATCTTCCTTAATACATCATCGAATATCGTCGTACGCGATGGCATCGAAGGAAACTACCGCGTGGCAGGATAAGCTGAACGAGTTCCTGAGGAGTCGCGATGAGGGAGATTGGAGTGGCGGAGCAATCGGGCGATATGTCAAGCCATTCTTGCCAATATCCGCTACTGCCACGGACGTGATTGCCGCGCTACGGTCGGCGCTTGAGGTAATTGAAAATGACCAGTCGTTTTCTGATGCAAAGCGAAAGAAGGCGCATCTTCTGGCAAAACAAAAGGTAAGGGGATCGACTCTCGTATTCGGATGTGCCTTGGTGATTCCTGATCACCTGGCATAATTAGACTCTGCACTCGAAAGTCCAGTCAGAAATCGACCGTCCACAGCAGCTGTCCACCACATCCGCAACCCGCATTCGCGTTGAAAAGTCCAAGGGCGCTGTGATTGCCAACAATGGTGTTGGAAATAGTGGCAACACCATCTCAAATACATTCACGGTGCGTTGCTCCCAACTCATAATGAAATGACGCGCGTTCCATTGAATTCGTCGTTGTTGATTGTGAAGGCACCCTCTCGGAAGCTCCGCAAGCGAAAGGCGGACAGTATCACCGGAGGCGGCAGTGTCGACGCCGGCGGCGACAGCGATGGGAGTACCGACAGGGGCAAGCGCGGTGACATCAAACGTCTAATGGGGTCGGCACCGTCAAACTCGTTGATGGCAAACGGCGTCGCGCTCTGCGGAGTACCCGCGCGCCTGTCGCTCAACTACCCAATCCTAGGAAACGCCTTGGAGGGCAACGAGTTTGATGTTGCCGAGTTGCAACCGATGACGGAATTGGCCCGTGTCCCGCTGAAGGACGTGAGGGAGGCCCTCGTCAGGCTTAAGAGCCACGGAGCGATAGATGTGGCGGCGGGGTTGAACTGCCCGTGGGAGTGAGCGAGGAATTTATGTTTGACACACCGAATATCCTAAGGACGTGGTACGTCCTTGCGGAAATGCCAGCTTTGGCGCCACGCATCTAAACTGCCTTTCCGTTGAGCAGTTTGATGAACCGCGAGGCGGGAGTCGCGGCAACCCTCAATGGCACAGAAAGAACCATTGACCGACAGGTCTGGTCCCGATGGATGGACTTGCTGGAAGAGCCAGGGATGTTGATCCGATAGTGAGTGTGAAGCTCCCCCGTCCGTGTCCGGCTTCGGTCAAGGCATACTGATTTATTGGGGATGTCCGGCATTTGATAGCGGGGAGACCGGAAGCAGCTCGCATCAAACGGTCCGTGGAGGGGAAACAGTTTGCCTCGTAGACTGGACGGTAAGCTTGCCGAATAGGTGTCTTGTGTGATGGGGAGGGAATTTTCTTGACCTTGTTGTTGTCTACATCACATCTGTGATTCCCCCACCAATGAGGCACGCGGAGACGAGATCCTAGCTGGCGAAAGCATCGGGGCAGCGAAAGCCGGCGAGAGAGACACGAAAATCCGAAAGTCGGCCCGGAGTGCGCAGGACACGGCCGTCCGCTTGTTGTCCCGCACCCATCGCCGCTTGGAGGTCCCGTGGATTATCTTCTTTAAGGAGATGGCGCTCGTCTTCCTTGTGAAGCCGATGAACGGGGCAGGCAATGTGTGCAAGGCCGCCTTTGTCGGCACTGTCAAGAACTTGTACCTTTCGGCGGAGGAAGACATGGTGCCCGACCTTGTGAACGGTGCTGCCATCATGCGTCTTGTCCGCGACCGGCTGGCTAGGATTCGAGTGGCACTGAACGCCACGCCAGATGTTAAGGAGCTTGTGGTCCAACCCCTAGCAGGGAAGTCGACGCCAGTCAGCAAGCGCAAGGCCGGAGCATACCGAGGGGCCCTCCTGAACTACGCGTCGCCAGCAAACTCAGCGGACATGCGTGGCGCTGCCTTGTCATCTTTCTCTCCTCTCTCTTCCGTCACGCGTCCTCCTTCCCCGCTTGCGGTGGAGCCAAGCTCCTCGGGAATGCCTCGTCCGTTGCGTTTTGGCCGTACGAACGCCCCGGCAACGTGTCCAAGCCCTTTGCTTTCTCCGCTCGCAACCGCCCGTGAGCCCATTGAGCCACATCCCATCCCGCATCCTCAGACTCCCCCGGCAGCTCTTCCCGCCGCGGTATGGGAGGACGCCTCTATGCCGGCGTATGAGCCTTTTGCCCAGGATACGCCGGAGCGCGCGTGGAGAGTGAGAATGACGACGCTTGCTGAGGACTCCGTCGTAAGGTCCACCAACATGTCCTTCGAGATCTTCTGTGCGGTGAAGGTGCTTGCAAAATCCTGGGACCGTGCTGCATGAGCAGGTCTTCAAGCTCGGTTGGTGGACCTTACGACGGACGAGGTCGACCGCATTTTCGACGCCGTCGACGACCGCGTCAAGTTTCGCCGTCTCCAGGCAAGTCTGATGCCGTTTTGGCGTCGCTGGGTTGGCATTTGAGAAGCTATGACCAGGTTTTCTCGGTGACGGGATGTGTCATGCTGCTTGGTCTGCGTATGTTGGGGGCGTATTTGGCGAGTTTCTGCCGTTTGGGGATTTTTTTTGCACGTCCTTGAACAAGAACGATTGGGTAAATCCAAAGAGCACCATATGCACACAGTACCGATGTCCAAACCTTGAGCGTAATTGGCGATTTTCTGTCGGTTGGAGGGGAGGGTAGTTTGCACGTCCCCGAGAAACGACGAGTGGGTGAATCCAAGGTGCACCATACGCACACAGTACCTATATCCAAACCTTGGAGGCGTATTTGGCGAGTATCTGCCGTTTGGGGATTTTTTTTTGCACGTCCCTGAGAAAGAACGATTGGGTGAATCCAAGATGCTCCACTCACACAATATCAATGTCCAAAAGTGCCCCGCCTCTAAGGATGGGTTGTTTCATATGTTGAAAGAGGTTACTTGCCTTCCCTGTTTTTGTTCACTTCACGCTCCGGACTTCTGAGGGAAGACAGATGGTAAATCCAAGACGATGGAGTACCGACCAACCGCTGCCAGAGACTTACCAAGAGAAGGGGTTGAATCTCCAATTCTCCAATGCCAGACACCGACAGATTCTGAGCTGTACACTAGCAAAGCCGTGTTCTTCACCGGAAAGGTGATAATTTGTCGAACTAAACATGGTTCATAGTGTTCACGGATCAGGATGTCCAGCGGGGGCAAGAGGGTGAGAGGTATGCTCGAGGATGGGAGATATTTCGGTGCCATAAAGGGACATGCCAGCGGTAGGATTATGTTGAATTGGGTTCTCCCCGTCGTGGCTCACCTTACACCTAGATTCCTGACCGAATCTTCACCGTTCCCAAATTTATGGATGGGCTCTTGCCTCGTTCTCCTTCAGACCCTCGGGGAGAGGATACCTTTCTGAAGGGGCAATTACGGTACAGGGCTTTTTGCCGCCCGTTATCGGTTTCCCACGGCAGCAGCAGTAACAGCGGGCCGGCCGCGCTGTCGAAAAGCGGTCCGCAAATACAGCTCATCATGGCACCCGTGTTCTCCAGTTGGGGTCGAAATCGACGAAGGCGATGACGGACTACTCGTTTTGCCGTGATTCAAAAATTCCAAAACGTTTAGCGTAATTGAAGGTAATTCTCCGGATGGGGAAGAACCTTATCGGAGGTCATTTCGCACAAAACTGCGATAGTTTTGCTATAAGGAGGTTATAATGGCGACGGAAGACCCGTTTTTCGAAATCTCCGTATCCGTAGGTCGAATTTACATTTGTATGCATGTTGGCTGATGCCATTGCCCGTGGTGCCGTGGGTGAGGTCACCGAATCATGGGCCGGTGATCCGCAGACCGCCGTCAACGCTCGCCATAACATCGCGCTGAGCATCATATTGGCGACCTTTCTTAACGATGGGGATGCTCATCAGCATATGGATGTGACGAAGTGCTAGATCTACGACGAGAAACGCGAGGCCGAGCTGACGGAAGATCTGGCGAAGGGGTGGCCCGGCCTTGATGACTCGGCGGGACCGAAGTGATCGGCAGGCGACTGTTACAAAGGTATCATGGAGGTATTATATAATATTGAAAAGCGCTGCTTTATCTTTCGCCAGCGCTAGAGGATGGATTTCTTTCGTAGGACAATCCAGCGTGTATCATGCACGTAGTCGAGGGCATCAAGCGTCAACACCCTCCTGTCCGGCGGTGGTAAGTTTTGTATCGTCGGGACGTTCACGGAAGTCCAATAATGAAACGGGATCCCCCAGAGCGCTCAGAGGTGCAGAGGGCGTTGGTTGGCTTCCAAGTTCGGTTATCATATCCCTATCCGGGGTCTCCGGATGAAGTTGGTCGAAAACACCTGATAGGAGGTCCGTAAATGAAGGTGCAGTTCGTGGACTTCTTCTGGCACGCCTACGCCTCTGACCGGAAGACTCAGAGGTGTGTGAGAAATCAATGTCGCTCGACTTAGAAATGGGCCAATCGGAGTCGCCCATATCGGAAGTATCAGAGGGAGGTTCGATTCTATCGGAAGCATCAGAGGGAGGTTCCGAGAATACAGAGAGGCCATCGTCAGAGGGGGGCTCATCTTCCGAAAACAGGTTCTGCGGTAAATCGAGATTCTTCTGGGATAAATGACGAGAATTACGGCCGATATGTGGTCTCCTGCTTGTTCGCGAAGCGATGAGGGATTTGGTATTCGTGTCGTCGGCGCCACCTCTCAGGATGAATTTGAAAACCGTGGTGTAGGGCCAGATGAGTAAACTGAAAAACTGAGATGCTACCGCAAGCAGCGCCGACGCCAACGCAAGTAAACCGCCACGTCCGCCGACAGCTTTCTTGATGCTTCTTGTTTCCTCCACGTTAACATTCACATCTGCAGAAGTGATGTACCCTGCAGCCTCGAACGCCGCCACTCGTGCGCGGTGCCTGGCCGCGTACTTCTCGTCTGATCGAAGCCGTTGCTCGACGGCCAACCCAAACTCATCTTCCCTGGAGTAATCAATGATTCGATAGTTGCCCCGGTTGATTTTCAACCCCAAATCGAGATCCTTTTCTTCAGACGGCTTTGGGAAGGACAAGCGGTAGGGCACAACCCACTCGATCAACCAACAGAAAACCACCCCGAGGGCGCCGGCAAAAGTATTCCTGGCGGCTGAAAAACCGAGAGAGTCGTGTAGAGGAGCTCCGTGCGACTTTTCAAGTTGTCTAAAGTATTTCGCCTTTTTCTTGTGATCAACACGTAGCCCACACTTAACCGCCTCGGTGACCATCCAGTGAAGCGGGATGTCCGATGCCAAGTAGTAGTTGTCGTCAGGATCAACTGGTTTCTTTGCCTCGTAACCTCCTCCAACGTCGCAATGATCGCCTGGAAACCACATCTCGACCACTGATTGGTCTGGCCACCTCTTGTCTTTCTCCTTCGAAGTCCCTTGGAATGACGGACCGCGACATTCTGAAACCCGACCCTCCGCTCATCAAGCGCCTTGGCATGTCGAACATGTCTGGCGTTGACCATACTCTTTGCATTCCTGAAGTATTGAATTGGGCCAAGTCCCCCCAACCCGCTGGACACACTCGACACGGTGTCGAACACCCCAAGGAAATGAATGTCGACATATCGTCCAAAAGTGTTCTTAAACTCCAAGGCACGCTGCTCTCGCTCCCCGCCGGGCACTTTACCCGCACCCGTGAGGTGCTTGTAGCGCGCCCAAATATGTTCAATTTCGCAACGATTGCCAGGTGGAATCAAACCGAAGTAATATATCATGCCGCAGAGCAAGCGAGCGGCGTAGGCTCCGCGAGAAAATCCAAACAGAAAAATCTTGTCGTGCTTGACATAGTGATCCATGAGGAACTCATATGCGTTCATGACTTGCAGATCGATCGTATTGCCGGTTATTTGCTCCCAACACGCTTCGAAATAATGAGTCCATGTTACGGTGGACGTGTCTCCATATGTGCCCACACCCTATATTTGCAGATAAGGTTGATCTGGGGATAAACTCGACGATACACGAACGAAAAAACTCGCTGTTTCGGGTTTTCCCGATCCAAAAGGCTCCCGATCTTGACAACATTGGTGTCCGCATGATACCCCTGAAACTTATTGTTTGTTCCATCAAGAAGCAGCACAAGTTGTCGGCACCTCGAAACTGAAGGTGGTCTTTGAATATTAGTGGTCCTAATGATATGGGTCCTGAGATAAGTAAAGTGAGCACCCAGGAAAGCAACGGCGGGTTCTTACTTTGTGAGTTTCTCGGGACCCTCCATAACCACTTCCGCATACGATTTTGACATTGCTAGCTGGCGAATCACAAGGGAATCATGTGGCACCGACAAACGAAGGCATCGACCAATGCGCTCCTGCAAACTCCGACTTACGTGATCTCGCGGATGGTACTGTAGAATTCATTGCCGCCGAAAAACTACGCATTGTTCACCGCCGCACAAGGTAAAGACATGCTCTCACTGCCAACGACGCTACCTTAGAGAGATGCACCCACAGGCCCCAACGCCAAAACCCACATCCTCCCAATTTTCTCCGCTTGCCAGATGGAGTCATCTTAGTTTAACACACGCTCAGCACAAAGTGTATTGCGTTACTTGCTGAAGATTATGGCTATGTAGCGAGGACATTTCACCAGTAAGCATTCCAATGTAGGTATCGTATATGGAAGGGGGATTGCGGATATTACTGTGTACGCCGGTGCGTATGGGCAAGTCGGCGGTGGCTCTGGATGCACATACATACAATTCCAAAAAAGTACACTATGCAAGTATGCCCCACTATCCACAATATGGGAACCATCTCTCGCTGACAGGAGGCCTCAACCGCACGAACCTCCCGTCGCCTCCGTCGCAATCCTTCAAGTCTAAGTCTCCTGACCCTTCATATATTAAATCCCTGAGCGCGCATACAATCCTGGTGCGCCTTGATCAACTCCACACAGTTCTCCTCGCCGTTCGCAAACACGCACTCGTCGCGCAGTTTGCGGGTGTCGGGGCATGCGCAACAGGGCTTGCATTTCGGTTTTGGTGTTTCAGGGGCTGACGCGGCGGTGGTGGTTGACAAGGTGGAGGAGTGGTGGGATGGTGGTGGTAGTGATGGCGATGGAGAGGAAGAAGGCTTGGAGTCGCTGGCGCCCATTGTTGCTGTTGCCGATGCCCGTTGGTGTGGAATTGAGGTGGTGGGGCGTGGAGTTCTGAGGTTTCTCGACTCCGACGAAATCTTCCGTGTGGAACTGAGATGACGCGATTCTCCCATTACTAAGCAGAACTAGGTCGAAACTCCGCTCAACATCCAACTCGACTTGCCGTGCCAGTGCGGTAAGGTATGGGAGGTTGATATAACACTGAATTTCGTGTTGAATGCTCAGATTCAGTGATATGCTCATTCCACTAGGCGGATAGAGGGGTTTGAAAATCTCAAAGTACATGCTTCGATTCCATTCGACGAACAACGACGAACACTTCCGCCCGATCTTCCCCATGTTCTACATGGCGGCGCAACGTCAACCACTGGATGTGCACATGTGCACACTGGCACCACCCTCATAATCAAAAACGTTCTCAAGCAGAACTAACCACATAAAAAGGACATATGGCACACGGACGGACAAAAGGAAACAAAAAAAACATGAAGGGAAGGGACAAGACGACAGGCATCAGGGATGAAGGACATCGTTCGTGGTGAGGGGCTCATGTAGGCGCGTTTGAGTGTTGTGTGGAACGTGGAGGGAACTTGAATCGGACCGGGGGCGTGTGCGTCGCGGAAGGTCGTGTCAACTCAACGAAAACATCCCGTCCCAGAATCCCTACTCATATCCATATCCATATCCATGCCCAGTCCCGTATCTCCCGACGTCGCTCATTGCCTCATCCATCCCATTCCCCATCCCCATGTTTCCCTCAATCAACCAACCACCTCACTGCGGATGCGCTGCCGGATTTAACTGCTGCAAAGACTTCAACCGATTCAACAAATCCGCCACCGATTCCTGCTTCTGCTGCGCCTGTGCACCTGCCCCTGCAACGCCCACATTGCTCAACCCCGGCTGCGTGGCGGACGTCTGTGTGGTATGCGCACCCTGCTGCTGGTGCAGAGACGCAACTGGACCCGCCCCGTTTGTAGTGGGAGACGCCGCGTGTTGAACAGAGGAAAGAAGCGGGTTGGTTTTTGTGTTGTTGGTACCACCTACACCTCCGGCGCCCGAGAGACCGGCAAGCCCCAACATATTCCCTCCCGGTTGCTGTAACTGCCCCGCGCCCATGAGTGAGGACAGCATCGCGCCTAGGTTTTGTTGCTGGGGCTGTTGTTGTTGGGTGTTGAACGCGTTGGGGTTGGTTGCGAACCCGGCGAGTCCGCCTAGTCCCAGGGACGCGAGGGCGTTGGTACCGACACCCAAGCCCTGTGTCAACTGACTCAATTGCTGCTGTTGTTGTTGCTGTTGTACCGCATTCGCGACCAATGCGAGTAGAGCCTGCGTCTCGGCTGTGTTTCCGCCTTGAAGTTGAGTTTGGTTGTTACCGCTGCCGCCGAGTAGGCTGCCGAGCATGCTGGCGAGGTTGTTGGTGTTGGCCGCGGGCAGTTGGCCGTTGAGCTGCGGCTGCACGATGGGGCGGACGCTGCGGTCGCGGAGGACGATCATGGCCGCGAATTCGGGGTTGATCTTGTCGTACTCTGTTCATGCGAGAAAGGATACATGGTGTGAATAGAGCATTCGAATCAATGGTGCTCTGAATCCGTCCGCAATTTCCCTCCGCATATTCAGCACACGCAACAATATCCACAAATAATAAGCAAACCCGCTCGATACGCACCAGCAACATTCCCATTAGCCTGAAACACCTGCATCGACACAGTCTTCGATATAGCATGTCGCCTCTCTAAGAAAATGACCCCGCGCACACCCTCAACCATCATCTGGTGCACAACGTCGCGCAGGGACAGGTTGGTGTCGAAATGGAGCGTTTCGGCTTTGATGCCGGCGTTGCGGAGGGTGGATTCTACTTGGACAACGAAGGTTCTGTGTGGGTGCGAGAAATGAAAGATGTTTTGTGTGGAATTTGTCATCAGTTCTTTCCCCAGAGTGATAGTACATCCCCCATCGAGTCTCCTCCACATCACCCGAAAAAAGTGTCTGCAAAACATCCGCAGCGCATACCTGTCCACTTCATTGAGCACGACAATCTGAGCTTCCGGGACGTTCGGCCCAAACCGCATCGGGAGCGGGAACACCCCCGAGCCCGTCGGCGCCGCAGACATAGTCGGCGTAGGCAGCCGCACATTTCCAAACATATTATCAGAATCATTAGTTCCCGGAGCCGCGGCGCCATTGGTCTTCTTGTTATCAGCCCACAAGGAGTCTTTCGCATTGCGCTCCGCAGGGGATGAAGATCTTCTGGGGCTCCTGCGTCGGCGGTCATCGCGGCGGTGTCGGTGGTCATCATCTGAATCGCGGCTGGAGTAGCTGGGCGAGCGGTCGGAGGGACGGCGGCCGCCTCGGGCACCTGGTGGGGAGCGGCTACGACCTCGGCGACGACCGCTTCCTTCGCGGCCACCGTCACGACGGCCGTGATCTTCGCTTCCCCGTCTTAGTCCTTTTTCACCAGTTGACGGTTTGCGCTCGCCGTCACGTCGCTTATCACGCGAGATCTTCAGGTCTGAAGGATGACCGAATCGCCAGAAACATGGTTAGACGGAAACTGGACGACTAGGTGCCAATCCTCACAACCACGACACATACCCATGCTCATTCCCGCGACTCTGCGTCCTGTCTCGTTGACCATGGCATTCTGACACGACTCAGGGTTATCAAACTGCACGAACCCAAACGACCCCTTCAACGAAATCTCCGCAATGTTGCCGTACGGCGCAAAAATCCTCGCCAGCTCCGTCCTGTCCGTGCGCTCGGAGGCCAAGTTACCCATAAACAAGCGTGAATTGGGCGGCATGCTGGCAATCAGGGGAAGAGGGCCGGACAAATGGACCCAGTGGGTTGGGTGGTACTCAAAGGTTGCGCCTGGTGGGGGAGGGATGTTGGAAGGTGGAGGGGTAGGGATGGACGGCTGCTGGTGCTGCTGCGGAGGGCCGTTGTGATGCTGGAATCCTTCTCTGCCACCTCCTTGAGGGCCGTTCATTTGGTTGCCAGGATGCGGACGGAATGGACCTCCTCCGCCGCCAAATCGGGGCCCTTTGGGCGGTGGACCTCCGCCATTAGCACCACCCCTGTTGGACGGCTGGTTACGACCTCCAAATCGATCTGGCCTAAATTGCTGGTCAACCATCGGACGTGTCGGTGAGTACCTATGTTCGAAAAACATCAGAATTCAAGGAGTAAGAATCTTCATTACGTCCGGAAGAAACAACTCTTAGAATTAGAACCATTCATCTAAATTCCTGCTTCTTACCTCATATCCGGACGGCCCATATTATTCGGACCCGGAAACTGGTTTCCCATCGGCCTGAAATTTGGCCCCGGCGGTCCCATATTCCCACCATTGAAATTGCCAGGAGGTGGCCTGAAATTTCCAGGCATCGGGCGCCCACCACCCTGCATGTTCTGCTGCATAGGACCCGGACCCGGGTTTTGGTTCTGACAAAGCGCAGGCGCGAAAAAGAAACGGAGAATAAAGTAAGTAAATGTTCGGGAATCCTCTCTCAAAACAAGGTCTGTCAAGAGCGGATATCTCCGGAGAAATACAGTGCAGACCCCACAACTCACCCCGTAAGGAAAAGGCGGCCTTCCGTAGTTCTGCATTGGCGGTCCCCTGTAATTCTGATCCTGCGAGCCCAGACCCTGCAACTGCTGCGCGTAGTACGGCGGCAGAGGATCCATTGATTTCTGTCCCTCTTCACTTCCTTTTTCTCGCTTCCCTCTCTTCTGACAACTCAGGACGGTCTGAGTAGAGTATCAGTTGGCTGGAGTACTGGGGAAAGGAATAACACGTGCGGAATGTGGGAACCCGTTGAAAACTTCTGTTTGATTTGGAACTGGGTGCTGAATAATGAAGACGCGCGCACAGAGGATGAGTAGCTTTGGCCTGCGGACGCTGTTGGTCGGACGCTGTGGATGGACGCTGGTGGCGGCTGCTGTAGCAAGGGGAAAGGTCTGTAGGTTCGCTGTGGTGTACTGTACAGTGGCTCGATTGGGGGTTGATGAGTCGAATTGGCAGGTCTCGCCTCTCCTGTCTCTCTCGTCGACGGCGCGTTCCCATCCGCCCCAGCATCCGCCCCATCCGCCCCTGCATCCGCCCCTGCATCCGCAAGAGCTGAAAAGCGTTACCGTACACCCGCAATACCGTGTCAAGGCATCTCAGGGCATTTCTGTATCCCCAATATTACCCCTTCTTTGAGAGGCAGTGACGAACCTATACCAAGCGACACTACGACGGCGAAGGTAATCTCACGCCGCAATGATAGAAACGAAGGCGTTATGTTCAGACGACTGGCCACTGTTTCGAGATCTGCGCCTGGCAGCTCTCGCCGAATCACCCAACGCATTCGGCTCAAAACTCGCAGACTGGCAAGGCGCTGGTGATCAGGAGCACCGCTGGCGCGCGCGGCTGGGGATACCAGGCTCACTCAATCTAATTGCATACCGGGACGGCCAAGCCGCTGGGATGGCCAGCGGTGTTCCAGTCGAGGGCGGCCCGGAGCTCATCATAGAGCTGATATCGCTCTGGGTCAGCCCGGCGGGACGCGGGCATGGCGTTGCTGACCGGCTGCTGGAAGAAATTGAGAGGTGGGCAGTCAAAAGAGGGGCGCGCACGATATGTCTGGCGGTGAGGCCCAGCAACAGCCAAGCGATTAGGCTCTATGAGCGACAGGGGTTTGGGGATATTGGATGTAAGGGGGATCATGTACCGGAGGAAGGCACTCACGAGATGTTGATGGCTAAGGCAATCGCCGCATCGAGCGATTGAGTGCGTGGCGAGATAATCGCGCCGTAGTCTGAGCGAAGGCCAGCGAAGTGAACACGGTTTTGGTTTGCAACATCAGCCCAACATGAATGTTGGGAAGGGAGCGACGATGGTACCCCGTCCCTTTCACGAATTCCTTAGCATCCTTGCGGCGAGGTAGGCGTACGCGGGATCTTTCATATGAAGAAACCAATATATGCCACATCAGATAGACATCATAGATGCACAATACGCTGGAGAGTAAAGGCATATATGGCTACATAGATAGAAGTAAAGCCTACATGAAGGAGGGGAAGGGTAGCTGGGTAGATGCAGGGGCGGAGGAGAAAAAAGAAGATGGTGGTGGTGGATAGTTGGTAGAAGACGAAGAAGTTGTGTCGTCGTCGAGGAGAGAGTAAAAAGGAAAGCCAGGGAAAGCCTGCATACTGCGTCGTGTCAGGCCAAGCTGCTCCATCCTTGAAGATCCGGGAATGAGGGGTAGTTGCAGCCTGCAATCGAGTGCCTCCGCAGATTCTTTGTAGCGGTTCAGCGTGAACACACCATAGACACTTGACGGTCTTGATAAAACCGTCGGATGACGGCAATGGCAGCAGCGATGACGCCGAGTGCATCGGACGCGGTGGTATAAGCGGCAGCAGCGACGACGGCGGAGTACGGTGGGTGGGGATGTGTGCCATACGCTGGCGAAAAGTTCCAGCGCGCATGTCATAAGTTTGGCGACGACCAGCCGAATGCTTTGATTGATAGTCTCGATCTTTTTTGCGGCCAGCCTTTCGTTGATAAACGAACGGTGGTAGTTGTGAGGTTGGTTGGGGGGGTGTGAGGATATTATGCTGGATGAGTGGATGGGAGGGTGGTGACAGATTTTGCCTTTCGTATTGAAACACATCTGATTCGTTTTCGGCCATCCGAGCTGGATTATGCCGATATCTGTGACGTCCTCTTCCAGTTTCAAGAATTGCCAATGTTCTCCAGTAGTAAAATATGGATGGGGATGGGTGCGTGCGTGAGTGCGTGACGCGTGAGGATGTCGTAGATAAGCGGGATGGTTCAGTGGGGTTGTCGTTGTTGCAGCTGCGGATGCTGTCCTTAAATCTACGGCGGTCAGAAAAACAGGACCCGTAATGACTGATGGACGGACGTCTTGACTTACTGCGAGGTCTTCTGCTCCGCCGCCTGTCAATCGCTCTCCATATAACCTGATCGCATCGTTCGCGGGGCACGCTGGGGCACTATATCGTGGTACAGATCGGCCGTGGCGGACCACTCGACGAAGAGAGACGCCGGAAGCTTGCTTTCCGTAGCATGACGGTGAGGTTTCAGGGGCGCTGGGTGGAGTGAGCGCCACCGCCCCGTGTCTGATGGAATCATGCCATTGTTTGCGGCGGGCTTTATGTATGCATAGATGTTGGGCCAAAGGTGTCCCCGCCCGCGACTCTTGGTTCGAATTTCGTTGTGATATTCCTCCATCTGCGGGACGATGGACGCGCAGACCGTTCGAATTTCGTTGTGATATTCCTCCATCTGCGGGACGATGGACGCGCAGACCATGGCCATGGCGCGCATGTAATAGGCCCAGGAGTCCGACCAAAGTCAGAGATCCGCTTGGAGGGAGTGTCGTCTCGGGCTTGAAGGGCTCCCGCCTTCCCTTGCTCGAGGACGATGATGCTCAGGGCTGTCGAAATTCGGATGTCTGGGTGAAGGCAGTCCAGATCAACGAACGCCAGATGAATGATGTGGTCGAGTTCTTTCTTCGTGACAAGCGGCCCGCCAGCGGTCTCGTACTGGCGTGTGACAAGAGTTGGGTTCCCAAGATTGGCATGCCGATGACGTAAGGCAATATCGGTGTCTTCGTCCCTCGGATCGCATGACCGCAGAGTCCGATTTGCTTGACCTTGTAATGGCGGGCGAGCTCCAATTCACGCGTCGTCGGGGGCAAGAAGGTTTGGTTGTCAGCCTTCCCATCGTCTCCCCTCTCGACAGCGGTGGCGGTTTTAGTTTCTTCCATGTGACGGAATGCCCGGCGGACGTGATCGTTGTCGGATTGGCCGAATGGGCTGCCGGCCCGAGCGCCGCGATCGAGCGAGGAGCGTCGGGTGTGCATGGGCGACAAGGAACGGGCTCGGCGGCCGCGAGGGCCGGTTAGAGTCTCCCGAGCTGGCACTCCCTGCCGCGGTTCAGGTTCAAACTCGTCGATAGCGTTCCGAATCAACAAGCAGGACGCTGGAAGACGTCGGCCTTCCTGAGGGCCCGTACCGCCGGGGTTTCCCACGACCCCCAAGTCTCCCACGCCGGAGTTTCCCACGACCTGTGTGCCTTGGGAGCGCGGAGGGGCGCTAACAAGCGGGTCGAGGCTAGGGTCGCCGGTACTCCCACGTGGAGCGTTAAGCTAGGCGGCCGAAGGACGTTGGCGAGGAGAAGACGGGGAGCGCTCATCGTCGTCGGACATATGGAGCGATCCGAAGCCGGCGGGAACGGGAGACTCGATATACGTATTCCAAGTACGCAGTTTGACCGTTACGCAGAAGCACACACCGGACTTCTACGTGGACTCACCCTTCCCCCCTCACCTTTGCACACCAATAGCTCCTGTTCAGACGGCGATTCGTTTCCAGGGGCGTTTCAAGCGGACGTGTCGCATCAGGCGACAGAGGCGATTTGCGCGGACGTTCACATTCAGCAACATTCACGGCGAGTATCTGAGTTGTGTTCCCCGGAATGCCGTTTGCGGACCATTGTAACTGTCATCGAGGGGTTCTCATCGAGGGCGATTCAATGGGTTGCCTTTCGATCGGCCACCCACTCCATAGCCGCTCTTCCAGTGCACCTTCCACAGGCAATATCGGCTGACGTTCTCTTTCGCACGTTGCTGACACCGGATAAGGGAAGATAAAGGAGAGGGATATGCAACAGCGACAGCGTAGTGTTGCACAACCCTCGCCATTATCTTGCCCGTTGCTAATCCAATTTCCATACGCGAGCATATAGTGAGGATGTCCTCTGGAGAGGTCCTGTCCTGCCTCTCTTCCTACGCCCCCTCCCATTAGAGACCGTCGAGAAAATCGCCATCGCATTTAGTAATCTCCTTCGGCGGCGGAAGTTCACGTGTTGTTTGCGAACTGTTCATTTCGCATCTTCTCCTCTTCCCATCCACGCACCGGCGGCGTACCCAGCCGAAGTGGAGGTCGTGGGGATCCATGGTGTCAATGTGCTCAATCTCAGCTTTGCACGGGCCGAATCCAGAATCTGACACCTCCGCATCCTCACTGCTTGCTTCCGTAGCGTTCACGTCAGCCGTCAAGTCGTCGAATGCACCTCGCAATGCTATCTCTTGGACCTCTGCACGATGGCCGACATCAGCGCTACCTATGCCCAACGAGGGACTATGAACAAATCACTACTTCCCCATTGATTGCAAGTTTGTACTGCACCTCCACGCTAATGGGGGATGAACCTGCAATGGTGTTGTAGTCATACGTCCTGTGCAGCATGGCATGGCGACTAACTTTGGTGAGAACGGGCAGGCGCGCAAAGGGCGACTGCTGCCGTGCGTGGTGCGCATGTTCATAAGAAACGCGCAGAGTGCATGTGCCTTATCGCGAAACGGGAAGTACTCGTCGTCTTGGTTGGGTTCACCACTAACATCCTTCTCAGAATCGTGCAGATCTTCGTCGTCTGGGTCATCCTCCTCTGAGTCTAGGCTCTCCACTACATTGAGCTCAAAATCATCATCGTCGTCGTCGTCGTCTATGGGGTGTGGATATCGCCATGACCGAAGGACAAAACGTTTCATAAATGGGAAAGGCACAAGGGCTAATCAGACCTGGTTCCCCTTTTTTGGTGCAGAAATCGAGTCTCATGTTGGAGTGTCTCCTCGACTGCACTTCCGAGACTGAAAGGAGCCTGACACCGCTAATACTAGTCGGAAGGAGGAGAGTACAAGGAGCCTTCATTAGAATCGTCTAACCAAGCCAGACACACCGGATGGATTCTTGTCGGAATTTATGATGGGGTTCCCGGCGAACGTCCCTCTACCTCGTCTTCCGCCACTCTCATCGGCATCCCGACTACCATTGCCGTTGCCAGCAATCGCGGGCGTCAAAACCGATGTCTGCGGACCAGGGCGACCGGCCGTCATCGTGGCAAGCAGTAAGCAAGATTCATCGGGTAGCCGGCGGCAGTGACAGCAAGTATCTGCCAGAGTGGCCGTAATCGCCTTGATGGAGTGAGCCTCTGGCCCCTTTGGACAAATGTTCGACAGCACTCGAGCTGTCCGCGCTTCGCTGCTGCGTTGAGGAACTTGAGGTTAGAACGTTACGCCGGATAAGGAACGAAACGATTAGAGCACTCGGCAAATAGAGCCTGGGCGCTTAAAGGTAGCGTGGATAGCAAACCCGGGTAGGAGTTGTTGGAGTTAGCTTGTTTACGGGCACAGACTGCACAGAGGAAACGGATTTCGCAGATTTGTGGAACCGTGTACGTTTCCAAGTTTGGAGACATACAGTACGTATGTACTGTACATATGTATGATGCAAAACCTTTTCCTTTCCCCCCCTCTGTAACCAGGATTTTTATTAGGGACAGAAGCCTTACCATCCTTGCTGTCCTCCCTTTTCAACTATAAATACATACATCCACTACACGCAGAAAGATGTACACCCTCCAGTACGTTTCCGTCCATGACACGCACTCTGACGACGGCCAAAGCGCTTGCTCGACGGGGCGCTTTGATTCAGAAATTGACGAGCGCGACGGGCAGGAATGCGTCGTATGCGGATTTTCCCTCCGCGTCGATCATTGCCATATCGTCCCCAAGTCGGCCACTTCTAGGGTAGGTCCATTTCTGTTTGCCGGTTGTCAGTCCCATTGATCACAGAACCTAAGTGTTCCTCAGTGGCAGTTCCTTTTGCGAACCCGTAGAATCCCTCGCAACAACCGGGGGGTCCATGACCCCAGAAATGGCTTGCTCATGTGCCCGAATCATCACCATACGTTCCACGACGGCCATTGGTGCGTTATCCCGGGAGACAGTGGGTACATAATCCGGAACCCTATAGGCCACAGGGAAATGGCCCCTTACGATGGGCAGCCGTTGCGCCTGGACCTGTCACATCGCAATGCGCCATTTGCGAATCTCCTCACAAGTCATGCTGCGGCGGTCTTGGGTAGTTTATCCATCAATTACATATCGATAGACAGTGCAACGCAGGCCGACAATGGGGGCGGTGGTGGTAGTGGTGGCGGTGTTTCAAGCGGCGGTAGGGGGGGCGATGGGTTGCAAGGTGGAACCGGGCATCAACCTGCTCAGGATCTACGCCAAACCTCGCATGCAAGCCTCGACACGGCCACGCAAAGGCGCAGCCAAGGCGGCCAGCAGTACGTGTTGCGTTATATTCCGCTGACGAGTGAACAGCTAGCCGAAGATCAACTCTACGAAAACATGCTCGGAGAAGAGAAGACGGCCGAGGAGTCCGTCCGAGCCTTCAACGCATCGCTTGCTCGAGCTGGCGAATAGCGAGTTTCCATAGTCCTTTGATGCGATCAAAATCCATTCGAAGTTCCCGGAGTACATGGGCAGAGTGTATGATTCTCTGCCAAAAAACACTTCGATCACCTGGCTTTCAGTGGTGTCTGTTTCCCACTTCCTGAGCGGTGCTAAGTCGGCTTTGAGCGGCACTGGTCAATTAGAGCACAATCTGCTTCGGAAGAAAGCTCTTCGACACCTGGAAATCGAAATCCGTACAAAATGGGCCTTTTCGGCAACGGATCTGCGGAACGTCGGACGGCTGCTCGAAAACAACAAGGAGCTCAAGTCGCTCACTCTCAAAGCGGGCTATTTGTCCACAGCCGACGCGAAAGATAGCAGAAAAGTTTGCCAAAGGCCAGGACACCAGCAAACTCGAATATCTTGATATGCAGGTGAACCTTAGTGATGACCTTAGACGATTTGATAACGTGGTGTCTCGAACATCACGTTATCGAATCGCCCATGGGAACGTCAAAGCCGACCCAGCCGAAGGACACATCAATCGTAAATGTCACAAACTTCTTCATTTGAAGCTGAACTGCGAGTCGGGTCTCTAGCAGAGGCCAACAAGAAGGACAAAAGTGCTATGCACGGATTCTTCGAAACGTCACTGAAGAAACAGATCGAGTTCACGCGAGCGCCGCTAGGACGATCGAAAGGCACGTTTCATACGGGTGTCAAAGCCGAGGTGTTGGCGGAGCATCTGCGCGAAGCATGCAAACTTGCTCCTGAGAAAGATTACCCAAACTGCAATCACCGCCTCTCGAATGCGTTGTGTCTATTATCGAATCGCCCATGGGAACGTCAAAGCCGACCCAGCCGAAGGACACATCAATCGTAAATCTGCTTCGGAAGAAAGCTCTTCGACACCTGGAAATCGAAATCCGTACAAAATGGGCCTTTTCGGCAACGGATCTGCGGAACGTCGGACGGCTGCTCGAAAACAACGAGGAGCTCAAGTCGCTCACTCTCAAAGCGGGCTATTTGTCCACAGCCGACGCGAAAGATAGCAGAAAAGTTTGCCAAAGGCCAGGACACCAGCAAACTCGAATATCTTGATATGCAGGTGAACCTTAGTGATGACCTTAGACGATTTGATAACGTGGTGTCTCGAACATCACGTTATCGAATCGCCCATGGGAACGTCAAAGCCGACCCAGCCGAAGGACACATCAATCGTAAATGTCACAAACTTCTTCATTTGAAGCTGAACTGCGAGTCGGGTCTCTAGCAGAGGCCAACAAGAAGGACAAAAGTGCTATGCACGGATTCTTCGAAACGTCACTGAAGAAACAGATCGAGTTCACGCGAGCGCCGCTAGGACGATCGAAAGGCACGTTTCATACGGGTGTCAAAGCCGAGGTGTTGGCGGAGCATCTGCGCGAAGCATGCAAACTTGCTCCTGAGAAAGATTACCCAAACTGCAATCACCGCCTCTCGAATGCGTTGTGTCTATCGGTGTCGCTACTTATCAGAGCACCTCATAGTCGGCGTATTGACCGTCGTAGCCATCCCCTATACTGTACGTGAACAATGTACTGTTAGACCTCTTAGAAAGCGACCTTTCCAAGTTGGAGTGAGGCCTATATCGCATCCAGCACTATACAAGTGCAAACACAACAAGAAGTGGATGAGAAGGGGATGAGAAGGGGATGAGTCGGAGTTAGGGGAAGCAACCCACCGGCCGTCACACACTGCGACGCTACTGCAACCTGGCGGATGAGGATGAGGATGAGCAGTGGGTCCTTACCTCCCAGTGCCCAGAAAGGGAGTTTCTAGCTGGTCGGGAGACAAGACGGATTCGTGTCTGCAAGCGGCATCAAGATCTAGATCAAGAGCCCATCATGGTGAACAGGGACATCCAAGGAGGTGCCAACTTCCGTTACCTCCTCTACACATGTGCGCGATATAACGGGTTCAGACCAGACATGAACCGTCAGCGTTGGGAACCCAATCCTTATCCCCTCTGGTTGGGATATCAACCCCCGGCCCCAATGGCATCCTTCCTTCCCCTCGTAAGTTCTCCCGAGTTCACCATCATCCCCCATAGTTTTTAGATGGCGCCTCTTACAGGGTGCATCACCTTTCGAGTTTGGCCGTGATACTGTACTTCTCCGCCCCTCATATGGTACCTCTCTGTGTCTCTCTTTACGGAAGAAACTGTCAAAACTGTCAAAAAGCCTCCAAACGCCTTCCCCCTGCTCTTGCTCTCTCGAGACTCGACGCAGAGCATTGCAAGTCTACCCTAACATTGCCCGACGTCTCTCTAATTGTGGTCCTGAACGGCTCCTTGTCTAGCGAACTCGACTCATACTGAACCGACCAAAGCACCTTTCTGCGAACAGTGGTCGTCCTTCAGGTCTCACCATCCCCGTCCTCATCCAAAACCTCTGTCTGTGAAAGTCGACGAAAGCTCTCAGTAAAGAGGCAGGGTTCTGCTGCCACCCTACCTTCTGCCTGTCGATACTCGCTCGCTATCCTCCTGCGAACGGGGTTCTTTCGACCCGTTGCTCTGAGACGATGGTAGGGTCGTCCGTTCCTCATTTCACAGACGCGTCGGTTTGACCTTCTTTAGCCCAAGTTCCCACGCACTCTTACACTCACTCTGTATATGAATCTCATAGGCCACAGCAGCTTTCCGCCGTCATGTGGTAGAGCGCAGGGATCAGGACCTTCGCCGAAAAGAGTTTGAGCGGGAGGACCTCGTGAGCAAGTTGAACAGCGATGCGGTTTTCCGAAGCAACTTGGACTCCGACGACAGGGTGGACGGAAAGAGACGGTTGAGGATACAGCGGATAAGGGAGGAGGAGCAGAAGACGTATGAGCAGCTTATGGAGGTACGAGGCTGAAGATGGATCAGCGTCAGTCGGGAGTGATGTGCGGGCCTCTAAGGAAGGGATCATCAATCTGACCATCTACGCGTACGCAATAGGCGGCACATAAACGTGCCCACCGAGAAATAACACGCGAAAGGGAAGAAAAAGATAAACAGGAGTCGGAGCGGCTAGAAACTCAACGCATTCGCGATGAGAAGCTGCGCCAAGCTATCCGCGAGAACAGCGTCGAGCTCCGCGAGTTGGAGAAGAAGCTCAATTACGCGTACATGAACAAAGAGCGGTCCTTGCAGGTGCAGGAAAAGGCGCTGCAGGATCAGATTTCCAAGGCAAGGGAAGCGGAGCTGATTGCTGAGATGAATGAGCGGCTGGAGAAGCAAAAGCAACTGGAGCTGGAAAGGGATCACCAGGAATATCTCAAGAGTCTGGACTACAGCAAAGCGTTGAACGACCAGCTGTTAGAGCAGGAGGCGAGGAAAGAAGCGGAGTTCGAGCAGTTCTTGAAGGAAAAGGAAATGGTCGACCAGATCGTCAGGAAGATCCTGGATGAGGACGCAAGGTGCGTCTGCTAGATTTGTCTGCTTACGAGGATTTTGGAGTTTGGGGTTCAATGCACTGAAACTCACAAAACAATAAAACAGGGAGGCCGAGCGCCGCTTGGAGAAGCAAGCTGAGACGAAGCAGTTCATTGAAAAGTTTATTGTGGAGCGGGAGCAATGGCGTCGGGAAGAGTCTGCACGACAGGAAGCCGAGAACCGCAAAATCGAGGCATACGCGCGCGACCAAGCTGCGAGGGCACAGGCTCAGCAGGATGTCAAGAAACATCGCGACGAGGAGAGGACTGTTATTTACGACAGGGTATGTGCCACATGGAATATCTTTCCTGCATGCGAAACATATATCTTGAGTACTTACAACGGTATGACATGTTGACAGCTTGCAGCAGAAATGGATCAACGAGAGAAGGCAAAAGCCGAGTTGGAGCAGCTCCGCATCGACTTGTACGAAGAAGAGCAGGAAGAAGAGTCGCGGCGTCGGGATCAGGTACATTACCGTGGATATACGGTCCAGGACCAAGAAGCAGATGTTGAGCTCAGCTTTACCAAACTTGTTGCTGTAGGAACGCCTGCAAAACCGTATTCGCAAAAGACTGGAGCTCATTGACGCATACCGTAACCAAATGCTAGAGAAGCGCTTCCGCGCGATTCAAGAGCAGGAGGAGGAGGATGTTGTGCGTCGGAAGGTGAGTTTCTTTGGAAGTCCTCTCTGTACGTAAATGTTCCAAGGCAATGAGCTCACGATGAGACATCCCCAAGATGATGGACCGCTACGCCGAGGAAGAAAAGCTCGAACAGCTCAATGCGCAGAAGCGGCGCATGAAACAAATGGAGCACCGCCGCGCCGTGGACGCCATCCTCGCCGAGCGGCGCTTGCTGCTCCAAAAGGAACGCGAGATTGCCGAGATGGAGCTTGCCCGCGAGAAGGAGATCGACGATTACAGGCAGCAGGTCGTCGAGCAGGAACGACAGAGACTGCTGCGCGAGCATGCTGTCAAGCTTCTGGGGCATTTGCCAAAGGTACGTGGTGGGGAGGAATTCCAGGTTTCCGGTCGGCTTTCTTTCCGTCGATCGTTACTGTTGGGGCGCAATCTCACTATCCCCTCTCCCTTCCTATCCTCTCTGCAAATACGAATCACGCAGGGCGTTCTCCGCGACCAAAAAGACCTCGACCTCTTCGACGAAGAGTTCCGGAGAAAATTTGGCAACATCAAGCTGGACGACCCGCGCGACGCTTGAAAAAGACGGGAGGAGGCGGAAAGGGGGGGGGGGGGGGGGGGGCGGGGGGCGAGGGGGAGCCAAGGGCGTTTGAGGGGAGCCACCGACACCATGACGCCCTCCCGCCTGTGCGGCGCTTTTTTGCATTGTGTCCTTCATTTTTGGGAAAGTGTAATCGACTGTGGACACACTACCAATCCTTTGTGTGTATACCATTCATATAACAAATGTCATTACATGTATTGCAAGTACTAGCTTTGACAGGTGACGTTGTTGCTTGTTGATACGCCCGCCGGAGATACCATTGACACCAAGTAAGAGTTCAAGATGAACCGTTAAGGACCGTTTTGAGCGAGTAGAACGAGGACGGCGAAGCATTTCCAGCAGGAGAAGCGTGGGCAGAGCCATGCTCTCAAAAGCCCAGTTCTTCCTGGGCGACCACTCTGGCGTCCTCCTCTGGGTCCCGTTCCACATATGTTGCTCTCTTTCATTGACGTCAATGTCACGTCGGGAAGTGGGTAGTTGTTGTCCACGACCTTGCGGCACCTCCTGCGGGGTGAGGGCTGCGTCAAATGCCTTGTCGAAAACGGAGCGGACGTACGCCCGCTGGACTCCATCGAGGCCCAGTAGAGTCTCGACTCGCGGAACAGCCTTTTCGAGCAGCAGCGGTCTGATGTTGGGGGGGATCGTCGGGGAATCTCCTGCCGGCTGCTGGCGGGGGACGTCCGGCTCGGGGACAACGACAGTGGGAACTTGCCATCTTGCGGGGGTTAGTGTGAGGATGGTGAAGAGTCTGAGATGAACGTTATGGAAGGAGGTTTACTGATCCTGAGGAAGAGGCAAGAAGAGAAAGAAAGGGGCAACACATGCACCAAGTATTCATAGATGCCGCGGATTTGCGACTGACAGCTGATAGGGAATCCGACAGCGCGTAAGTTGGACCTGGGAATTGTGCACTGTGGAGGCAAGGGCAACTGACCTGAATGCGCCCCATAACTGATACCCCATACACCTGTCATGGTCCGTTTCTGGCAGCTTCAGTCGTTTCCGATGCAACTGACAGAAATTCGACAGCGCGCGATGAGCCTCCCAACGATTGAATGCGGCAAGGTCAATTAAGAACGAGTATAAAAGCGGCAGCCGCACACTTACGCTATCGACAGGGCCTCGATTCCTTTTGTTTCTTGTTTTGGTTCAATACCGTCGGTAGAGGCGGGCGTCCAAAGAGCGGTCCCATCCCATGACACATCCGCATCCGCAGCTTCTAGATCTAGACCTCGGACGCGCAGTTGCAAACGTACAGCATCGATGTTTATCTAGGCGCAACACTGTCGAGAGGACGAACATTCTGAGCGGCAGAATCCAGTGAACGCTGCTCTCCGCCTCTCCGCCAGCGAAAATATTGTCGTGAAGCCGCAAGTGCACAGATCTCGACCAACGGAAGTGTACGTAGCAAGGCGGGACGACATCAGCGCCTTCGTGGGTCCCCTCGCTCACCTCACCACCACCTCACCCGCACCCCCAACGCCCAACCAAGCATGTCCGCAAACCTAACCACCTGCCTCGCCCTCCCCGAAACCCAACTGCTCCTCCAACGCACTGCCCTCTCCGCATCGGTCAGCACCGCCCAACGCGTCTTCTACGTCCTCGGGCCCACCGGCATCATCACCGGCTGCGCGATCCCCATCATCGCCTACAACCTCCTCATCTGCGCCAAACGGCTCCTGCATCTCCACCCCACCCCGGCGCGAGTCTGTGCAGGGCCGCGGGCGTACGCGCTCCTGTGTGGGTTCCTCGCCCTGGCGTGCACGTCCGGAGCCCTCGTGAAGATCCTCGTGGTCTACGACAACCGCACGAAGATCGGCATCGGCGTCGGCGTGTGGGGCTACGTCGGCGCCCTCGTCGCGCTCAACATCGCTGGCACGCTCCGGTTCGCGGTCCCGCTGGCGCAGTGGTGGCAGAAACGCGTGCTGTATACCGCGACGGCGGTCGTGGTCACGGTGCTGGCGGCGGGGACGGTGGTCCTGGTTGGGTTGGAGTTGACCGCGTATGAGGGCCCCCTGGCGGATTTCCAGTTTTCGCTGAACATGTCGTTGATCAATATCTTCTTGCCGGCTTATTACGGCATTTCCGGGTTGGTTTGTTTTAGTTACGAGGTATTGTAGACGTGATGTTGTGTTATGTGTGGGTTCTGCAAAACAAACGCGGAAAATGTCTAATCCCCCCCCCTCCCCTCTCTCTCTTTCCGCAATCCCGATTGACGCCTCCTCATCGCACAGCTCTACAAAACCCGCGAACCCTCCTCGTTCCTCTCCACGCACACGTCCCGCCTCAAATCCCTCGAGTTCGCCAACCACATCCTCATGCTCACCAACCTCTTCCTCATCCTCGCCTACTTCGCCTGCCTGCACGCCGTCAAGAACGACAGGAGGTTCGAGTCCACGGGCGCGATGATCTTCGCAACCTGCTGGCTGGCGATCGAGAATGGGTTTGAGAATGTGAGCGAGGTCGTGTTTGAGGGGACGAAGGCCGCGGGTCGAGATGTGGTGGGGGACCCGGGCGTGGTGGGTGGGGGGGTGAGGTTTGTGCTGCCGGCGGGGATGGAGACGGACATGAGGGCGGTGCAGGGGGATGGGAGCGCTGACGAGGGGGGTGACGATGGCGACGCGGGTGGGAGGAGGGGCAGCACCGGGACGACGTTGGTGACGGGAGGTGTGAAGGCTTCGGCTTCCGTGACGTCGCCGTCGCCGTCATTCTCGGATAGGTTCGAACTGGCGGATATGCCGCACCGCCGCATGTCTGGGGTGAATCACAATCAGACGAATACCAAGAACGGTACGACACCCACATATGCGCCACCACGACGGCCGTCAACTAGCCCGTTGACTACGATGTCGGGCCCCGAACAATCCCCAAAGGTGCCAGCGTCGTCGCGGCGGTCGCGGAGGCCGGGCGCGGGGTTAGATGGGGTGGACGGACGAGGGGATGATGGCGAATCTGGCCTATGATCTCAGTTCCTTTTGAGGGCCGCATGTGCGCATAGAGCGGCTCTTTTGCAGGGTGATGTCCCTACTATGTACATATACCTACACGTATACGGAAAGAACGTGGCTAGAATTGTAGTCCCAATGCCAGGCCGCTCACGAAGGAGTGAGAATGCGAGGGATAATATACATTTCACAAGGGCGGCGTGAGAAGGTACAAAGAGGGTAAATATTAGATGGGTTGGAACTTCCCAACGGTGAAAACTATATGGCGGGAAGGCGAGGGACTAGGATAGGTTGACTATGACGAAGTAGGGATGGGAGTTAAAGAGGGGAGTTTGGGCGGCGCCGCAATTTTCCGGAGCTTTGGTAAGGGGATTTGCCGTTGAAAACCGATTGTTTTACCCTCCACAGCGAATCAAAAAAACAACACTCCCAATAAAAACCCAACAAATGCGACCGCAACCACCAACGCCGCGCTCATGCCCTGCTCCGCTTGCGTGTGTGCAATCGCCAAACCGCCCGCCGCGGGTCCTCTCGACGCCGAACTCGACGAGGTAATCTCACGACGCTGACGGAGCGCGTTGAGACGGTCGATTTCCTGTTTGTAGCCCTCGCACGCTGCTTGTAGGGTTTTGATTTTTTCGCGGCCGAGGTGGAGCTCGTGGAGGAGGGCGGGGTCGGGTTCGGGAAGGGCTTGTTTTGGGGGGTGGGGGGTCGGCGTGGGTGGGGAGATGGGGCCGGTTGGGGGGGTGGTGGGTTTTTGTCCTTGGGGGTGAGCGGGGAAGGCGGATGGGGTTTGTGCCGGTAGCGCAGGTAGGGCTGCTGCTGGCAGTTGTGATGACGGCGTCGGCTCGGCAAACTCCGTAGTGACATCCCGCCCAGAAACGGCTGGGGTTCCAACACCCGCGTTCAGCTCCCCATCGCTGCTCGACACCCTATTCGCACTCGCATTCGAAAACACCGTCTCCTTCCTCCCCACAGCAATCTCCTCCTCCTCGTGAATAACCGCATGTCCCGCCCCCGGCGACGTGATAGGCGCAAACACACACCGCAGCTTCTTCTCAATCAACACCTGCGCCGCAGCCTCCGGGCTCGTCTTCTTCAACGACTCGGCCTGGCTCCATAGATCCGCGAGCCGAGCGACCAGGTCGTCCCCTTCGAGGGTCATGACGTCCGAGGGGACTTTGATCCCCTGCACGAGGAATTTGTCGCGGTTCTTGGTGGTGACGCTGAGGTCATCTTTTGTGGGTTGGAGGAGGACTTGGACTTCGACGACGCCGCCGGCGGGGATGCGGCCGCTGTTGGGTCGCACGCAGTATTGTTTGGGGGCTGGAAGTGGGAAACCAGGAGGACGAGTCAGTAAGTGGATGGATGAGTGGGATTGGGTGGAAAGACTGACGAACTCCCCATCCTGCCATGGGAATGATTGCCGCCCGGAAGATTCCTCTCTCCCCTGCCCTTCTCTAGGACAGCTACTAAAATAACAGTCTGAAACCCACCAGTAGTCTTGATCTTAAACGCAACAGCCGCGGTTGGATGGACGTTCGAGACGGTGAGCGTCCTCCTGACCGTTGTGGTGAAAGGCGGCGAGAAGGTCAGGTCCTTTTCCGGGTACACCGTCAGCGACGGCTCTGCTGCTGCGTCCATTGGTGGTTCTATCGTTACTGGGAGTGTTGCGAGTGAGAGATGGTATGGCCTTCCGGTTGTTCCAGTTGGTCGTGGGAATGGGAAGCAGGCCGCTTAAAAATCCGGGAGGCCGCCCGTGAGAGAACAGGCGCGTCTTTCTCAGCCTGACCCCCAGGGAGGACTGCCTACATGTATGTACACCCCAACACGATACTCACGCCGTCTGCAACGCTTGGCTGTAGCTTTTCCTACGGGTATCTCTGTTCGGTGCTGTATATTGGGAGTGCAGTCGGATAACCAGGGGCCCCAGGACGACTCCGCGAGACTCAATAGTCACAAATGTGAGGTTCATAGGGCGATGTCCCTCCATACTATTCCGTCCATGTCCTACGGCTCTACGAAATTGGAGATGACGAGTTCACCCTCCCCATGGGGAACCTGGAACCCCTCCCAATACGTATCCAAAGTCTTGTCATCAATCACCCACGCCGCATCAGCATCAAACCTCTCCCGTCCCCGTTTCTCCAACCGCTCCCGCAAAACGTCTTTAGGCACACTAAGATGCACCACCAACGCCCTCCCGCCGCACTCCTCAATCACCCCCCGATAACGCTCCCTATCCCGCTTTTCCCAAAAACTGTAATCCAGAACCACATTCCTTCCCTCCTTCAGCAGCTCCACCAACCGCACATCCAGCGCGGCTTCAGCCTTGTCTTGCAACGACTCGTATTCCGCCGGGGTGTAATCGATCCCATAACGACCGTAGTGGGTCCAGATGTGGTCGTCGATGGACAGGCGGGTGAATGTGTCTGGGAAGGCGGACAAGATGCTTTTGGCGGTGGTTGTTTTGCCTGACCCGGCGATGCCGCACATCATGATGACCAAGGGGGGGTTATCGCGGGCCGTCAGATGACTCGTGATGCGACTAGCAAGTTCTGCATTGAGCTCCATGTTTGAGAATGTGCCCAACGCCAGAGTCGTCGCACTGGATTGCCAGAGGAGGAAGCAGTCGGTACCACTAGATGAGGATTAGGTTTTCTCGCCGAAATTGGAGGTTGTTGTCGAGACTCTATCGGAAGAAGGTTAACTGCCATACCGTTACGTCCTCCACTCCACTCGAGGGTCCTCTGTGGGTCGGGATATGCGTCCCCGCAGAGAAGTTCTACGACGTATATGCACAGTAGATGGCGGGTTGGACGGAGAAGCACCGACGAAAGAGATGGAATATGTGCGTCAAAAAGGGGAACGGATTAAAGTAAGCCATCCGGTCACGTGGCCGGAGTCTCGTTCATTTCGCCCAACGTAGCCCAACGTGCGAGATGCGGAGGTGTTCCCCCAGACCTTCGCCATAACCCGTCTCTCGCTCTGCTCTCGTGGGGCATCTTGCTCCCTGTTGGTCGCATAAGCATCCTCATACTCCTACGGAACAGTCGGAAGAAATGGGAGCAGCCGCTTCGGGCCCGAAACCCGCAACTCCTCAACCCGTGTCATCACCAACACCAACACCTCCACCGCCATCGGTCATACCACCATCACCGCCAAGTACGCCCACCGCCACCGCAGTCTCCATCCCACCACCATCGCCTCACCAAGTATCGCTGGACGAGCGGAAATGTCGTGATGCGGCCATTTTTATCGGCGCGTCCGTCGCTCTTTTCGGTGAGTATTTCATCTACTTTGCTCTAATATAATTCCGATGTTGGGGGCGCTTCGGTACCCGGGGCATGCATTCTGCTCCTCTGCTTGCATTTCCTTAATCCCTTCCACCATCAGGTTTTGCGATCACTGTGTTCAGAAAGGTAAACATCCCCCCAGATGCTTCCTTTACCCTCCTGCATTTCCACATCTCTCCCGTCCATCAACGCCCCATAACGCCTAAAACATCATTTCGCTTCTCCCAACAGCGCGGCAAATCAGGCCTCCCACTCATCCAACGCAGCCCGCGCGGCGTGTTCATGGTCTCCATCGTGACGACATTAGGCGGGTACGCGGCGTACGACCTGGCGTATAGGAGCTGCAGAGAGCGGGCGGTGAAGAAGCCGGCGTCGGATAAGACTGTGGCTGTCATTAGTTGAGCTTGATTGGAGGGATGGTGGTACCCCCGTTCGTCTTTTTTTGGGAAGCATTGTCAACGGGATCAGATACGTTTTGGCACGGCGCTGTTTGGAGCGAGAATTATCAAATGCATTCCACTATTTCTGCATTGCAAGTCTGCTTCGCGGTGTTCTTCTGTGGGAAACTGTGGCTTAGGCTTGGGCTTAGAGAAGTACCAGAGACGGAATACGGGATATGCTGCGGGCCCAATGTACGGGCCCTTGGTAGCATTATAGGGTTTCTTGCAGGCTAAGCAGCATCTGGGACGTTTGGATACTGGCGCCAATGCTTTCTGATGTTGGATCGAGATCCGGGGCTTCGCGCTTCCAAAAAGGCGCGCCGGTGTGGGAGAAAAGGGCGAAGGAACAAACGCGTTTCGGGAGATCTTCGAGACGAGAGACTTCTGATGGGAGAAGAGCTCTGATGAGGCTGGACAAAAGAACGTCGAGATGGCCTATACGACTCCTTTACCCCACTCTCCATTATGAAACGGAGGTGAATGCATTCTCGAAGGGCCAGAATCCCCCCATTTTTCTTTTTGGGCCCGTTTGAGAGGGCTGGTACCACATCGGCGCTGGGGCGAAGGGAGGACGCAAAAAAGCATATGCGACGAGATGAAGGATAAACTCTGTGAGGCAGAAGGGTGTGAAACAAAGGCCCTTGTGGGCACACTACCGTAGGAGAGTCGGGAGAGGCCAAAGCGTATGGGGCTTGCACGACGGGAGGGAAGACGGGCGTGAGAGAGGGAGGAGCGCGGCTTCTTCACAGGGAGGGCCCCATTATTCGCCCCCTCAACAACGACAACAGCCCCCTCCACAACCCACAGGCACAACAACCACACTTACTCGGCAACCATACGGGCAGCCCCCTTCCTTCTCACCCACTCTTTCCCTGCTCACAGCCCTCCTCCCCAGAAAAGAGACAGAGCAGGGGACTCAACTTTCAACCGTGGCTTATCCCAGCACCCTCCGCCACAACGCACACTCTCACGACAATGTCCGCTACCCCCCACAACCCCCTCCACCGCAAATCCTCAACGCCATCCTTCACAGGAACAGGAATAGCGCCCGCTGCCGGAGCGGGTGATCACCCGCACACTGAATCATATGCACATACGCAACATACGAACCACACCAACCATACGAGCGACCAGCCGAGCAGGCAGTTTTTGACTGCCCAGAAATTGAAGGTGACGGGGGCCAAGGTTTGGGCTTGTGATCGATGTGAGTTGGATGAACTGGCGGTGTATAGGGTCGGGGGGAGGGGAGGGGAGGCGGAATGGGATGAATGTGAAGAATTGCGGAGTTCGGCGAGCGATGGTGTTCCTGGCGAGCATTCGTGGCTTTCGCCGAGCGAGTGAGCGAACCTCAGTCGTGGTTCTTGATCACCTTCGCCCAACATCCTTGTCGCCGGCGGAGCGAGCAGACGATCGTTTTGTCACTGAATCGTATCCTAATCCACATTCGTCCCATCTTTCCATTAGGCTATAGGTTAAAGAACAAATGCGACTCGCAACGACCTTCTTGCGCTGTGTGCAAAAAGGGCAATCACGAGTGCACGTACGAGCGCAAAGCAGCAAAGGCAAAGACGCTATCCCCAGCTCCCGATGATCCGAATGCGGCGGCAACGCAACTACCGCCGCGGCTGCGACCGGGGGCGAAGAGTGAAAGGGGCAGTGGGAGTGTGAATAGTGTGAATAGTTTTATGAATGGAGCTGTGCAGATGTTTCAGACGAGCATGTTGCCGGATCCGATGTTGGCTCAGCCTGTCGTTGTGTGAGTTATTTGACTGCAAAGGACCAGGGATTCACCCATGAGCGATCTTAAGGCTAAAGTCCCTCTCGTTCGTCAGTCCCACAAACACACCCTACATGGAACTACTCCAAACCCGCCTTTATGAAGTCGAAGAAGCCGCCCGCAGCATGAGCGCCCCGGAACGCGAACCTCTCCTCTACCAACTCGAAAACACAATGCACACCATGAACGTCCACCACCCGCACCCACAACAACAACAACCCCCATCCCTCACAACCCCACCCTACGCCTACCCCGAATTCCTCGGCCCAACCGGCCTCCCCCCACCACCCTCGACCTACCAAACCTCCGAAGACCCCGTCCCCCAACGCATCGTCTCAAACATCTACTCGGCCCTCCCCTCCGAATCCTCCCTCTTCTCCTCCGACGTCATCCTCTACCTCGTCCACACCTTTTTCCGCGAGATCGCACCCGCGTGGTATCCCAACCCCATCCACGAGGCGACGTTCATGGCCGCCTTCAACGAGCAGTCTCCACTTTTGATTTTTGCGATGTGTGCCGCGGCGGCGAGACGGAGCGATCACCCGATTACGCGCGCGTATGTCGCGAGCAAACGCGTACCGCTGTATCAGGCCGGTGAACCGTATTTGATGAAGGCGAAGGGAATGATTACGAGGTTTAGGGGCCCGCCGACCTTTGAGACGGTGGTGGCGTTGGTCACGATGGGGGTTGCTGCTGGAGGTATGGGAAATTGCGGGGACGTCTTGCACTTGTACAGCTTCGCTAACATTTTGTACTTTCGCACTTTTCTGTAGCAATGGGAGATGTAGACCTTTCTGTGCAGCTGATGACGATGGGGATACAGACTGCGCTCAACTTACGGCTGGATACAGATCCGGACCAGGAGGAGGTGCATGGGCGGATGACGTGGCTGCAGAAGGAATCTCGGAGGAGGCTTTGGTGGACACTGTGCATGGTATGAGTCCTACATTCTTCTAACATTCGTATGACATTCGAAATTGCTCATACTCCCTCGGGAATCTCTTCTAGTACGACCGCCAACCGAAACCCGGCCTAGAAACAGTCGCTGCACAAAACGTCCCGCCCATGATCGGCGACGCCTCCCTCTCCTCCCCCGACCAATTCTGCTTCAACGGCGTCTGCACTAGCCCCTCCACCAACCCTCCCGTCCCGGACCAGCTCTGGCTTTCCGTCACCGACCAATACGGCGAACCCAACCCCTCAACCTTTCAATTCGGCCTCGACGTGGATTTCGGCGCCTTATCCGGTCGACTCGCGAAAGTGTTTTACAAGATCCAGAACTTCCATCAGAGTCTGCATGGGTGTCCGGACCCCTCGGCGCTCACCATGCATTCCTTGCCGTTTCCGGTCCCCTGCGTCACGTCCCCCTGCGTAAAACCGGACCCAGCCGCCGCGCAAACGACGGAAAATCTGCTCGCGGTCGAACTCCAAGCGATCATGGGCTCGCTACCGGACTGGGCGCGCGACATCGACGACTACAAGGAGTTTTCCCCGGATATCACGTCACGCACCCCGCCGCCGTGGCAGTTGTTGACCCAGCATATCGTGTACCATGCCCTGAACGTGTGTCTGTTCCTGCCGAGCGTGCTGGCCCATGCGGATGCGTTACGCGGGCTGTATAAATCCACTGACGGGGGACATACGCCAAGTCCGTTCGGATCACCCTCACAGAATGATGCAACCCCACCCCCCCCACCACCAACCCACATAACCCACGCCTACCACCGCTGCCGCTACCACGCGACCAGCATCGCCTCGCACCTCCGTCGCCTGATGTCCCTCAACCCCACCGCGCGCTGGGTCGACTGGTACACGCTGTACCTCGCGTTCCGCTCCGCCCTCGTCTTTGTGGTCGTGCTGAAGACGGAGGTGGATCGCGAGGAACTGGTGCATGCGCGCAGGGATCTGGAGATCCATCTCGCGGTGATGAGGAGTGTGGGCAGGCATTTGTGGTTTGCGAGGTGGATTACGACGTGTGTGGAGGGGATTATTATGGAGGCTTAGGGCGCAAGTTGGGAGAGGGGGGGGGGGGGGGGGGGGGAAGGAGAAGGTGTGGGAAGCGATCGCTCTGAGGCCGTGATCTGATACACGCACGCGAAATCACCATCAGTTTTTTGTACATATATCACCCCCCCGTTCATATTCACGCCCTTTCACACAGGCCCCTGGCGGATGGGAAACAGTCCAAGTGGAACTGGGGATAAAAAGTCACGTGAGCTGGTGAGGGTTTATATACGGGCTTTTGCCATTCCCCGTCATTATGTTCCCCAAGGCACAGGCGTAACCAGAGAGAAAAAACCCTGCATCGGCGTATTCAACGTTGATCGTTTGTTCGTCGTCGTGGCCACCCCCGAAATACACCAAAACACCCACCTCATCCGTTGTCGCTGCTTCAAATACACAAAAGCGCGACAAGCTTGGTAACTCCGAAATAGACCCTGATGTCCTGGCTCGGGGTCTCGACGTCCCCGAACGGGACTCATGCAGCCCTTTGGTATGTATTTTCACTACGGCCGTCCAACCATCCGGCGATACCGCCCTCGTGACTTTTGGGTGGGAGGCGTGATTATGCTTGCTGCTACAAGACAGACACAGCATGAGAGGAAGAGGTCGTGCTGTGGTGGTGGCCGGCAGAAGCAAGGGTCTGTCGAATTGAGGGGGTATGGTCGGGTGTCGGGAACATAAGCTGCGGTCTCAATAGCATAAGAAGATAGCTCTCGTTAGAGCGTTGTCTTGCCACCTTAAAATCCAGGTGCTTTGAATGGAGTCCTCCTTCTTATACGGAGTCGGGAAATACGGGTACGCGCACGAAATATCGGGCCGGTAATATCTGCAAGGTTTGACTACAAAACAATTCAACGGAGTTATCCAATATCACTCTCAACTATTCTTACAAGATTCCTGATCTATCATGTCCTCTGCGACATTAGCGAAGTACGAACCGCGACACTCGGGGTCGTCTTGTCTGAGCTCTCGGTGTCGGGGATATCTCATATTCACTTGTATTCCATATTACATCCCTTACTTCTACTTGATCCAAGACCCGGCCTGGCCACCCAAACTCTCGGTGATACATTACATAAGGAGCCAAGCCTCACTGAAGCCCCGCAAGCCCCACTGGCAGCCCATATATAAAGCTGTCAGTCGAGCGGCCGCTGCGAAAAGCTTCTTACTTTTTTCTTCACTACAATACACTGCTCTCAGCCCTCTCGGAAGGGCCCAATATCGTCTACGTTTCCTCTGACGTTACACTCGGTGTCTGTCAGCACGCCTTGAGAGTCCTGAAAGGAACTAGAAGAGGTCGTCGGGAGTAAAGAAGTAGAAATAGCTCTGTTGTTGATTGGGAGCTGTGTTCTGCGTATCATACAAAGGTCTGGGGAAAGCAGTCGGGTTTTTATACATATTTTTCTAGGCTACGGGATTTTGTCGAAGTCCAAACTCTCTACTATTTGTCTCTAGAGGATTCAGCTACGTCGGGGGCTTTTTCTCTTTTCCTGCGGCGGTCTACGTCGTTTTTCCTTTTTCTATTTGCAATTTCTACGCTGATACAGTCTTATCGCAAATCTTTTCTCGGGGTTTTCTGCAACGTTCGGCGTACACGGCCATCGGAAATTGGTTTTCTCCTTTTGCAGTTGATTTGTTCAGCGTTTCAGGCGTTGTGGGAGCTTCTGGTTGGTTGAGAATCGGGTCGGGAGTGCTTTCAGGTGTGAGATCCTCTCCTACGCCTACATTTTTCGCCTGTCCGTCGTGTCCGAGGACAAAACATTGTTGTGAAGCAAGGTTTCGGTAAAGGCGGTTATATTTGGTAATTGTCGGAGTGTCAGGAACGCGAGTGTGTCGATTTATTGTGGAAAGTTTTGACGGTATTTGTCGTTGTCATATAAAGGTGAATTCATTTATTCGTTGAAGATTCTAGGCGTATAATTGGCGTCAAAATATTATCGAGCAGTTCGAAGCGCACTACTACAGCGCCCCAGTATGCGCGGCCCACACCGGTCCATCTTCTTCTCCCTGCTGATCCTCCTGCTCTCCCTCAGCGCCATCGATACCGTGAACGCAGGTGGGGCTGCAAAACCCACCACCACAAAGACAACTGCTACTAGGACTAAGGCTACAACTACTGCGACGCCGACCACGATTGCGAAGCCGCCCACTGCTACGGGTGGGTCACGCAAGCGAGGCAAGCTCCCCATTGCAAAAGGGTGCCCCAGAGCCCGGCGGAGGAGCTAGGCGAGGAGAAATGGGAGCAGCAGGGAGCGCTTGATGATGAGCGTAATGGCAATGGTGAGCGATGGCAAGGAGAAGAGATGCTCGAGGCAGGCGAGCCACATTGCGCCAAAGGCGCAATGCTTCCTATAATACCTGGTGCTTTGCAAGTCTCAGCGACCGTCAGATCTTCCAGCGAGTGAAGGGAGCTATGCTCTGCCTGCTGCAGCCTCGTCCTATGTCACAACGTTTTGCTGCAAATTCACGGCTTCGAGTCTCGATGGGACAACACTCCTTTTTTTTCATCTATTTCATTCGAATCTCATTTTTGTATTGACAAATTCCGCCACCCCCTTTCTTGTCCCATCCCAGATGCCAGCACCTTCACCGCCCGCCATGTCATCCTCATCCTCACCACCTTTCTTCACATATCCCTCGTAGTTCACCTCTTATTTATTTGACGCCCTCCTCAGGATCTGAGGGAGGTGTCAGGGATATCTCATATTCACTTGTATTTCATATCATATCTCTTTACCTCTACACAATCCGATTCTCGGGCTGGCCACCCGAGCTCTCGGTGATATATTTACGTTACCTTTACATAAGGCTATGAAGCCATGTAAGACACACAAGCCCCACTGGCAGCCCATATATAAAGCTGTCAGTCATGGGGCTGCTGCGAAAGACTGTAACGTCAGAGGAAACGTAGACGATATTGGGCCCTTCCGAGAGGGCTGAGAGCAGTGTATTGTAGTGAAGAAAAAAGTAAGAAGCTTTTCGCAGCGGCCGCTTGACTTCGCAGCGGCCACTCCCCCTCTCTCCTCTCATTTTGCCAATCCTCCCGCAATATCGCCACTCCTCCTCTCTCCTTTCATTTCGCCAATCCCCCCACGGCTTCTCCATAGCCAGCAGCTGTAGCAATGCTCTCTACGCTCGCCACGCCCGCTCTAGGAGCATAGCTGGCGCCCCCCCAGTCCCCTCTTGTTGTTGTTGTTCTCTGATCTGCTGGGTTGTCTATCTATAAATAGCCGGCCTCTCTTCGTCCATTCCCTTCCTCCCCAGCAGATCAACACCAGTTCTTCTCATCTACTGTTCTAGCCCTTGTTTCTTGTTTTGCCAATACAATCTCTTGTCGCCTATCGCTCTCGCTCTGTCTTCTCTTCTTCGCTTCCGCCTCTGTCGTCGAGATCATAACAGAAGACTTGCCGGCTGCTACTGCAGCTGCGTACGCCTTTTGAGGTTGGGTTGTTGAATCCTTAGGCGGCATGGTGCTTTCTAAGGGAGCGGTGACTGGAGACCGTGAGTTCTTCTATCCTGGAACGTCCGCTAGTTGCGGGCGAAGCCAGGGCTCATAAGCACTTAGCAGTAGTCGGCAGAGGAAGCAGATGACTGAGAGAACTCTATGTTGTGTGAGATGTAATACTGTGAAGTATGTATTGTCTAAAGTAGAAAGAGGACCCGAGGTCCGAAGGGGAAGAAAAGAGTGAAGTCCCGTACGCGGAAGCGTGGCGTAAGCGGGAGGGAAGTCACGTGAGGAAATAAACTACGGGAACCCTAACCGGGGACTCGGGAGGATGATACGTCCAACACTCTACGCGTTTGATCTGCACCAGGGACTTAAGCTTTTTGAAGAGGGAGGCTGGTATCCATTGTTTTGAAATAGGAATAAGCGTAATGAAGATTGACCGAGAACGACATTCCTGGGATACTTTTAAATGCTTGTCCGGGGCAGTGCAGTACTTTGATAGTCGGCCTTGGCCACATATGTCATTGATCCGAGTCCCACTTCCCGACGTATGAAGGAGACGATGGCCCCAATACCGTGTCCCATCTTACAGTTCCGTCTGCCCCAACGAGTTCCCAATTGATTGTTCGCTGTCAAATCCGGTCAAAGGTGCTGACGTAATTATATTTCTACGGTCTACGGAACTCCGCTATCAACCTCTTTCGATTTCTTGTTCGACAAGGACTTGCAACCAACCCTCCCCTCCTAACCCTTCAACTTGAGTTTATTCCGGGATAGTATTCAGGAACGCTTTGGACGTCGAGGTGACGTCGGAGTACTGCGTAGGCAATATGTGCCACAAAATCGAAGCATTTCCTCTCTTCCGTGGCTCGGTATTGATAACGTCCAATTTTGTTTCTACTGAGAAGTATTTTACCAAGTATTCAACTAAGTATTTAGGTAAGAAAGTTCAACTAGGAAATAAAACATTGTATCCCATAACGCAATAATGGGGTAGTATTCAGGAACGATTTGAACGTCTTGAAACGGAGTATTCTGGCAATAAGCGGCGCAAAACGAAGCACTTTGTCTGTTCCCTTTGTCAGATGACGACTCGGGATACGGTCCTCCTCAATCACTCACCGGAGGTGTTCACGTCCGTAACCAAGGCAATCCACAAGATAGTGCGCTTCAACGGTCACTCTATCATCGCGTGGATAGACGACTTCCTGAACACGGCGCCCTCCAAAGACGGCTGCTTTCAGGGCGTACTCTTCCTTCTGCGCCTGTCGCAACTGCGTCCTGCCGTCATTCCCGGATAGCAATCAGGATTGATTTGAACGTCTTTGTCTTTCAAATGACGTCGGAGTACTACGCGGGCAGTAAGCGCCGCAAAAACGAAGCACTTCCTCTGTTCCCCTGGTCAGATGAAGACTCGGGATTCCGACCTCCTTGCGGCCTCCCTCCCGCCTCTCCGAAGAGTATAAAAGACCGGCGTGCCAATCTCGGAAGCTGATCTGCCAAGCACCATCGAATACTGTAGTTGGTCAGACATCCTTTCGAAATCGTTTTGCAGTACCCTTAGGGTTA